AGTAGTAGTTTAAAGAATTTTAAGAATAGTATTATTAATTAGTAAAGAGAATCTCGGTATTAATCTATTATTTCTTCTTATAGATAGTAATAGATAATTAGAGCTTATTAATAAGTTAGCCAAGATTAGAAGAAGAATCCGAGACTATATATTAGTATACTAGTATATCTTAATAAAAGGTAATAATCTTATTATATAGGAATTCGATATTTTATAAGGCAGGTACTAGTCTATATTATAATTTATATAGGTTATTAATTAGTAACTAGATGAGTTTAAATATTATCTTTTTAGGGTATTAAGCTATTATAATTACTATTATAGTAGTATTTCACTTATCTAAGTTTCGATATTAGAAACCAGGACCCTTAAAAAAGCTATAAATATTTATATAAGCCTCTTTATATATATATATTAAGAGAGCTAGTTATTATAAAAGTAATCTTATATTAGTTCCTTTAATATAATAGGGAAAGCTCTTACTAATACCTCTTATAGAAGCTCTATATATTAGTAGATATTAAGGAAAATAGCGAGTTTTTAGTTAAAACTATTATTAGTTCTATTATATTTCTATATCTTAGTATATATCTTTACTACTTCTCTAATTAGCTTTATAGTAAGAGGGCTAGCTAAAGGGCTATTTGGAAATAGTAGAGATAATAGGAGATTATTAGCTTTAGTTCTCTATAGTCCGGTACTAGTAGAAGCGGTTATAAATAATAAAGAAATAGCAGGTTATAAGGAAATATAAGTAATAATTAGTTTAATATATTAATTTCTTATAATACTATTATTTAGGGATATATATAATAAGGTAATAGGGCCTGCTTTAAGGTCTTATCTAGTAGTAATAATATTATTAGTAGTCTAGATATATTACTTTTCTCTCTAAATAGTATTAACTAGGGACTATATAATAGTAAAGCAACTATAATTATATTTAATATAAATACTACTATATTATAAAGTAGCTTGTAATTAGTATAGTATATATTAATCTAGTTAATTAAATATCTCGAGATTAAAGTTATTAAAATCCTCCTTAAATAATTCCCAAAGGTCCTTATTAGTTAACTTCTCTACCTTATATTAGAATAATCTGGTATTAAGGTAATCCAGGATTTCCTTATAATTAGAGCTAGCCAGGTTAATACCGTCCTTCTATTTCTTTATTTACTCGTATTTATCCTAAGAATTCGCTATCCCGAACCCTTAGGGCTAAGCTCTTCCCGGTATATATATATGGTTTATAGTAAGAGGAATTCGAGGATAAGATAGTTTATAGTAGGGTTCGGTAATAAAGATATCCAGATATTTGGTTTAGATACCAGATACCTAGTTTAGATATCTAGTTAAGATACTAGATACCTGGTTAAGATACTAGATACCCCAGATACCTAGGGATATTATAGGTATTAAAGTAAATATTTCGCCCTTAAATATTTCGTCTATAATAAGAAATTTAGGAAGTAAAATATTACGATTCCGGGAGAGTCTAAAGCTCAAAGAACTTGATTTAATAATAAAATCGAAGTAGTAGTTAAAGAGCTTTAAAGGCATATATAGGACATATATTCTGGAGAGAGGATCCTATAGATACGGGTATTATATAAGTAGAAAAGATAATTTCTAAAAAGGTAGTCTTGGGGCCAAAAGAAGTTAGTTTTAAAGGATAATAGAAGTTAAATAAATAAATAGTTAAAAGGCTAACCGCTTATTAATTAGCAAGAACTAGAGTCTTTTCCCTTAGGCTACCAGATACTTTTTTATAGAGTTAATAGGTAATTCCCCCCTTTAATATAGTTAAATTAATATTACTAAGGGCTACCGGATGCCTCTTTTAGTATAACTATTCTGTCTCTAATCTATAAGTACTAACTAATTAGTATTAGTTTACTAGTAATATATAATACTATTATATAAGTCGTGAAATGCTATTTATATATAGTTAGTAAAGTTGTTCTTTAGAAGTAGGGATTATAGTATTATAGTATTAATATATAATCCCTAAATCTACTAAACCTAAAGGGGTCTAGTCTACTAGTCAAATTACTAATAGGATGCGAGGTTATATAACTATATCCCATTACCTATATTCTATTACCCATATCCCATTACCTATATCCCATTACCCATATCCCGTATCCCGTATCCCGTGACTATGCACGTGACTCTCAAAGGAATAGCTATACTAATAATTAGTAATTATTTAAATTAAACAAGATTTATATTACTTACCTAGTAATATTATACTCGATATTATATTATTTTAGAGTATCTAATAAAACAGAAAGTATATAAATACTAGAGTATATATTATTTAAGTCTTTTATAACTAATAAATAAGATTTTAATTTAAAATCCTTATTTATAAAGTGCCTAAAAATATATTAATATAAGTTTTCTTTAATAATTATAAGAATATATAAACTTATAAAGTAATTCCAAGAAAAGCCTTTTAATTTATAGTTATTCAAGTATCTAAAGTAATAGAGAAGATTCCTTGAGATTTAATATTCTCTTATAATTCTTTTTTAATATTTAAACTCTTTTTAATATAGCTTAAATTAAGCTTATTTATTATGCTCTACCGCTTTACTAGTAAATTTAGCGTCACGTGATCGCGATAACACATGCGGCTAGCTAGTATTTAGAATACCAAAGCTCCTGTACTTACGAGCTTCCCTCCTTAGTTTAGAATCCTTGGATTAAGAGCCACTCTACTTTGCTTTCCAAGCCCAGAGCCCGGTTTCGTAATATTATTCATAAGCATTTATTAATATAAAGGAGGCGTTTGACTATTAAGTATTAGTATATATAATATAAAGAGAAATATAATAAAGACTTACTAATTTAAATAGTTTAAAAGTAATTTAAAACTCGGAGTAGTAACTACTCGAAAAGAGATATTATTATTAATAATAAAGCTTAATAATAATTTCTTAAAGTAATTAATAGTAAAGCTTTCTTCTCTTTATCCCCATTACTTATTAAAAAGGCTATTTATAGTTAGTTGAGATACTTGACTTAAAGCTTTACTTTTACCTATTAAATATATTAGTAAATATAGCTTTTTAATTAATATTAGAAGACTTACTATTATTCTCTCCCTCTTTAAGAGCCTTAAGGTTTATAAACTTATGAGAGCTTCGAAAATGAGTATAATAATTACTTATAGGTATATATATTCGTTAATTTAGCCATTTTTTACTATAATATTAGTTAGTTAAAAGTTTATTATATATTAATAGATTAACTTATGAATACCCTCGAACTAAGCACTTTATAGTACACGTACGAATATCTTCGGGATTCTCTTGTATAGGATCTAATATCTTTTCTAAGTAGCCTTCTTTAAAAAGAAAAGGCTATTTATTAAGAGGCTTTAACTCAAAATTAGGATGATTTTGAGCTAAGTTAAGGTTAATCGAGGATTACTGAGACATTTTCGAGTATACCTAATATAAATAAGTATATTTATAATAGAAAGTATATTAATAGGAGTAATAATTGAGTTTTTATATATAAGTAAAGTGAGAGTAAGAAATAAAAAATCAAGGAAAGTAATATATTTTTATAGAAAGTTCTAATATTCTAAGAGCTTCCTAATTATTCTTCTAATTAGAAAGAATTACCTTACTTCGAAGATTCTAGTACTTTAATATCTAATTTTTACTAATAGAATTATTATTATTACTAAGTACTTAAGTCGAGGTGGTTCTAGAAGTATCATTGGGGTTCGGCTCGCTTACCAAGCGTCACCACCCTCTGATTGGGTGGCAAGGTGGCGCTAGGGCGGGAGTGCCCGGAGCGCTACCTAATTAGGTTAGCTAATCACGTGCATGTGTCACGTGCGCATTAATCAAATTATTCATGAATATTCATGATTAATCTGATTAATGCGTGAATAGAATATGATTAATGGGTATTTTTCATGAATAGATTAGATTAATGGCCATTAATCTAATCTAATCTATTCATTTCTCACACTGCTTGCAAGTGAGTCAACTCCGACCTCTCTAAACCATTGTTAGAAGAATCTATATCAACCTTGCACTATGTCCCTCGAAACGTCCAAGGATCCCCATCAGCTCGCGATGTATGCTTCTTTGCCGCTGGAGCTCTGGATCATCGTCGCCGAGTCGTTCTTGGGCAAAGCCACGCTCTGCTCGTTATTCCCGGTATCGAAAGCTATCGACATAATCTTCACGCCAGCTTTATACAAGACTATAAGTTTAGTAGAAGGGTGGTTAAGGTGGAACGAAAAGCTCAAGAAGTTATGGGAGTTGGATTCTGAACCCCGTCTTCAATTTACACGACATCTCGTTATTAGGAATACAAAGTTTTCCCCTGATATAATATTGGATCCGAAAGCATTGAGAGCCTTGATTGGGAAGATGAGCGGACTTAAGACCTGAAAAGTTTGAGACGTGTTTGTTTCCTCCTCTTTCCAGCCAAACCAGGTTAGAACATTATAACAGTCTTTCTCCTTGAGCGAAAGCCGCAGCCGGCGCATTTAGGGAGTTTTAAATTCTCAATCATATCAGGTTGTTATCATTCTAATCTCTCTAATGGCTGATACATATACTGCGGTTTTCTTAAACAGTCTCCTGATTATTCTAGGTATCGAAATCCATATTCCAAACATTCATTCCTCCCTCGAGTCACCGACCTGGCCTTGAATTCTGACCTGGATCCCAGATGGCCCCGTATACTAGAGCTTTCCCCTTTCGAGTATTTTTGCAGTATCTTTGCAGCTTGGATCTGAGAAATTTACGAGGTTGGTTGGCAAGGCTCTGGCGGGATGTTGCGAGTATCCTCATCAAGCGGCCAAACTCACATTGCTGGGGCTTGAGCTGGATGCTGATACCTCCAACCACTTACGGTATGGGCAATTTATTCTTGGTGTTGTGGGTCATTTCAAGCACCTGCGAGAAGAATATGGAACACCCAACCTTCGCTTGGCAATACAGAAACTCATCTTGGGGAGAGGGACCATGGCGATCCCATCTGATGCATGGGTATCCGGCATATTGCACGAGTTAACGGAATTTTCAAAACTTCGATCTTTGACGATTCTCAATGAAGGAAGGCCAACACGGCATCGCTTCCGAGTGCTACTCAATCACAAGCTATTTCTCCAAGCTATAACTTTAAAGTCCTTACCAGTGTACTTTGTTGGCAGGGACATTGTGGCTTTGATCAATGCACTTTCGGACTACGGCTCTTTGAAGGAAATCCAGATTAGGATAGTCAGAGATTACAAGGACCCAAAGTCCAGCTGGTATCGTCCACTTGTTGAGCTTGGGGGAGGATGGAGAAAGCTGCTCCTCGGAGCTTATCTTTCTGACGTCCGTCCCGAAGATGGTTGGAATGAGGTTCTCGAGACAGTCTCCTCTCGATCCTGTGATATCAAAGAAATAGGCCTCCCGTGCATTTGCTGGGGGAGTCTGCCTCCTCATTCCCTTCTAAAACCACTAATTTCAAATCCAGGAAATGCTCAAATCACAATTAACCAACTTCGAAACCTGCGAGTGATGATAGCTGGATATCACAAATACATACTTAATGAGCGGATCACCAAGCCTGGTCTTGGCAGGAGAATTTTCAAGGCACATCGCAAGGAAGTGAGAGATCAAAGACTTGAATCAAGGCTGATCTATGTTGGGATTAGCATGTCGGTCTATACGTTGGCATACCCCATGCCTTCAGCAGCTCGCAAAACCCGAATACCACAACCACCGGCTCGATTCGCCGTTCGGAGGAGCACCATGATGGCTTGAGGTTGTTGAGTTCGAGCCCGAGGAAGCTTACGATTTTGGCTTTATCACAAATTTGGAGAAAGTCAGTTACCGTTGAAGAATTTGTTGGAAGTATCCAGTTGGGACTTTCCCAAGCGGACAGGACAAGGACTCTCAGGGGCAATATCGTCGGAGGGAAAACATGGCATACAGTATGTCTCATGTCACTTGTAAGATTTCAGAAACCTCAGTTATAGTTTCGAAGCCGAAGAGCATCCTTAACGCAGCAATTAGAGCATATCTTTGTTGCATTAATTCGCATTATTTACGCTCCTCGAGCTTTCTGAGATTCAACTGTTTTGGGACTATAATCTCATTTGACATATGAAAGCGCGCTTTGGTTCCTAACCAAAAGTTGCCCGAAAGAATATAAATGTTCCAGAGACAATTCCTGGGCTTTCCGTACGTGGTTGTGTTCTATTGGAGGGTAAGGTAACATAGGTTACGCGGTCCTGAAGGAGGCAAGGAGTCGGTGTGGGTAAATTTCAAGCCACTTCCCAGAAATTTGGCTAAATTTCCTAAACTCGACGTAAGTAGCAAACAATACCGATGGGGCAGAGACGAAAATACCTTTTCATCAAGACAAAAGAGGAGTATGTTCCCATCACGTGATACCCGATGTCGACATTGAAATCGCTTGGAGACGACTCTTGAGAATTTTTACTCCCGACCACCAAACACTCCCAGACCACAGTCTTGCTTCGTAACTTTATGAAAATGCAATGACTCCCCAAGGTTACGCCGGGGGTGATATGAACGAAGACGATATCCCACTTTACTGAGAGATAATACGCGTCTTACATCGTCAGCCCAGACAGCCAATCGGGTGGCAACCGGCGACCATTCAACTGTCTTACAGTTACTTGTCACATAGCAAACCTCCCATTCTTGTGCATATCAAACACTGTTTGCGGTTGTTGAGTCCCTGAGACGCGATCATGATTTTAATACTGCGGACCTCGCCCCTGCGGGTGGCTTCTCGGAATGTCTTTCTTGGGATGAGAAATATGGGCTCACTCAGCACACAAAACAGGAAATATGAAGCTGTGGTAGTTGGAGCAGGACCAGCTGGTCTTGCTGCCGTTGGCAATCTGCTGGAGCAAAAGAAAGAGCCAATCCTGTGGGTTGATGATCAGTTCCATGGCGGGCGATTGGATAAATATTATAGGGAGGTCCCAAGGTCTGACTCCTAGATTAATGACTAGATACGTGATCTAACTGCTTAATAGTAACACGAAAGTTAATCGATTCATGTTATATGCAGAAGGAGTCTCTGCATTTCGAGAAGTGGTGAAGGAGGCAAAAGCACCGAATGCGTATACCATCCTTCAGAATTTGGACCAAAACAAAACTTGTCACATTGCCGAAGCAGCAGATCTTGTGGTCATGTTGACCAGAGCCCTGAACGAATCGAAGGGGGTGTACAAACAGTTTGGAAAGGCGTTGCATGCAACATGGACAGAAGTGAGTTCTCCACGCTTCACTCCCTCATCACAGCCAGCTCATGTCCCAAGTCCAACAATTGGAAAGTCGTAGTCAGCCCCCCGGGTGGGAAATCGACCGGTGAAAGGTTCGACTCCAAAATGCTTGTTCTCTGCACCGGTTCCCATCCCATCACTGGGCTTCTCCCCGTTACAGGTATTGAGGAAATCGGGCTCGACCCAGCACTCAACCCGCCATTACTCTCTACCATGATCCCAAAAGACACACCATCAACAATAGCCGTCATCGGCGCCTCCCACAGCGCCATCCTCGTCCTTCGTAACCTCTATAACCTAGCTAGTACAAGCCATGCTCAACTCCGTATAAAGTGGTTCACACGCCACCCTTTGCGGTACGCAGAAGAGCGAGACGGGTGGATATTCCGCGACAACACGGGTCTGAAAGGTGACGTCGCACTCTGGGCGAAGGAGAATCTCGAAGAGGATGTCCTCCCCTCTTCCGACGTGTCAAAATACTTGGAAAAAATCTCAACAACGAGAGAGAAAGAGCAAGATGATTATAAGAAACACTTACCGACGTGTACGAATGTTGTGCAAGCGATAGGGTTCAAAAAGAATGCGGTCCCGCTGCTGAAGAATGGAGAAAAGGATTTGAACATGGAGTTTGATCCGTTGTCTGGTGGGTTTAGAGATGAGAAGGGAGTGGAGGTTAGGGGGTTGTATGGGGCGGGAATCGCGTGGCCGAACAGGGTTACGGATCCTGAGGGGAATGTCGAGTATGCGGTTGGCTTGGGGAAGTTTATGATTTTCTTGAAGGATGTGGTGCCGAAGTGGAAGTCTTAGAGGGTTAGGGAATCATTAGATGAATTGGTAGTATTTTCCGAAAGCAAAGAAGCATGCATGCATTGGCATTTGAAACTTGATATTGCATTGTCATAGCTATTAGCATCTTAAATTATTTAGATTGAATTCTCAAGAAGTTGAATAGCATAATATTGGTGACATTTGTCTGCTATTATTCCACATCTACCTATTCCTTGCGGCCACTAAATATGCAAACCAAGATACGAGCGACACCGCCGTAAGAGCAAAAGGAGGCAGTAGAAAGTTCCCCAACTTCTTGTCAAGTGCTGGGTAGTGTGATGCAACATAATACAATATGTCAAAGACTGCCACTCCAATCGTCAGTAAAAACGACGAGAATTCCTGGTAGCTCCTCCTATCAATGCGGGACATATTTGAAATAATCGTATCAAGTCTTTCGGCCAACTTGACGTCCGAGAATTCTTTCTTGACACGCTCGGTTCCGGCTGTCCCGATTTTCTTGAGCTCTATTCCGGACAGCTTGTGGAGGACTTTGTCCATGACCGCTGTCCAACTCTCAATTTTGTCTGGGGGACAGAGCCAGCCTGTTTTGCCGTCTACCACCGTTTCGAGAGGTCCTCCGGTGTTGGCAGCTAAGACCGGAACTCCAGCTAACATGGCCTCTAACGGCACGATTCCGAAGTGCTCGTTTGAAGGAGTATACACGAGAAGGCGAGCCGACTTTAGCAGCATGTCTTTTAGTGTGTTCGGTACCGAAAGTAAAAATAGTACATCCACGTCGTTTGGAACATTCAGAGCTGTAACAATCGTTTTCGTGGTTGCGACCTTGAGGCCAAGCGATTCGGCGAGGCTGACGAGTTCCTTGTGATAAACAACGTTCTCCTGGATGCGATTATCATAGCCTCCTGAAGTTTCATGAGCTCTGCTCACCAGCAAGAAGGTATAGGCATAACAAACCAGCAAGAACCAATCTCACACCTTCCCTGCCCTTCTTCCCCAGACCAGCGTATGCTTTGACTGCAAGGCCAATATCCTTTTTCCTCTCAAACCGATTGATGCTCAATAGGATTTTCCTGTCCTCCCAAGTGGCAACGGAAACATCTCCATCCCCAGTTCTCTTCTCCTTTATATCCACGCAAGGATAAACAATCTGCAAATCTTTTTTCTTCTGCAGCTCTGGCCAGACCTTCCCCACAACACTCTTTGTGAACCCCGAATTTACGGCCACAGAGTCAGCAAAGTTCATGCTCCATTCTTCCAGAAAATCAAACGGCAGTCGATAAGCTCGTTTCCACCACGCAGATCTCCCTTGCGCTAGTAGCAGGTCAGGGAAGTGGCAGTAGAACAGGATTCGATTGTCGGGGTATAAGTAGGCCAGCCATGGCAGTCCGGCGCTTAGTTGGTCGACAACAAATGCGTTGGGCTTCAGTAAGCTGATTTCGGACGTGAAGTATGTCCAGAAGATGAGGTGGAATTGGCGGAGGATGGCGCAGAAGATGGAAAATCGGGAGAGAATGGAGGATGGGAAAAGCCAATTGCCACGGACTCGGACATCGAGGGTCCCTGAATTGTGAATTAGAACCTGCCGCGTGTAACAGAGAGTTGTGCCATACCATCTCGAGCTTCGTCGAAGCAATGTTTTGGATCGCAGTGGCTGGTAAAGATGGCCACCTTATGACCACGGTTTTGCAATCCTACAGCAGCATCAATGATGAGTCTTTCGGCACCTCCTATCCCCAAGTCAGGATGGAAGAATAGGATCGTCTTCTTCTTTTCCCCTTCCGACATTTTGCAATGTTGGGGTTGAAGTATGGGAATCGGTCTTGCTGACAGATTTCGAAGTCGCGTCGCCAAGAACATCAGAGAGCCTCGCGCTAAAAAGCTTACCCTTGCATGTGCCTCGCCCCTTTAAGAAGGCTGAAGAGCAGCCTCGCGGGGTCCTGAAGAAAGGATCACCATGGAAATCAAGTCTGTATGTATTGGACTCTTAGGTAAGTACATGATGTGCATGAAAGTTTAGAAAAAAAGTGGTCGATTCCAAAGTGAAAACACATGGAATGTAGCCTTCTCTTGGCTACAACGGGCCGAGGTCCAGAAATGATGACTTTCCAGGGCTGCTGCGATCTTACTTTACCTCCATTATCGCTCTTCACCACTTTCCGTCATCCATCAACACAGCATAATCAAAATGGCATCTCAAACACTGTTCACGCTACCTATTCTCACATCCACAACCTCCGACAAGGTCACCGGAACTGTCGTCTGCACCTCGCCTTCTTCTGGGGTTTACGTGTTGACCTTCACATCCCCGCCTGACAACCGCCTCCTAACACCTTTCTGTCAAGCCCTTCTCCTTGCCTTAGATATCTTAGAATTCTCCTACCCCCACGGTGTCGTTATAACAACGTCAGGGATTCAGAAATTTTTCAGCAATGGCCTTGATCTCGATCACGCTTCTTCCACCCAGGGATTCTTCCCCAATAGTTTATTTGCTCTGTTCAAAAGACTTTTAACGTGTGTCCTTTACTTATTAAATAATTCATTGGTTTAGTCTCAATGCTAAACTACATTGCCAACTTTAGGTACCCAATGCCCACCATCGCTTTGATAAATGGCCACGCCTTTGCAGGAGGCTTCATGCTAGCCATGTACCACGACTATCGAGTATTCAACCCTTCTCGTGGCTTCCTCTGTCTAAATGAGCTCGATCTTGGAGTCCCCTTACAGCCAGCCATGTCCTCGGTCTTTAGGCAGAAACTCTCCCCGCAGGTCTACAAGTTGATGGTTTTGGAAGCCAAGAGATTTAGTGGGAACGAGGCCTTGGAAGGGGGGATCGTTGATATTCTAGGCGGGATGGAGGAATGTTTGGTGTTGGTGAAAGAGAGGAAGTTGAATGAGAAGGCGAAGACGGGTGTTTATAGCGCTTTGAAGACAGAGATGTTCCGAGAGACCATGGGATATGTCACACCCGAGGGATATGAGAAGGAAGAAAAAAGGAGTAAGGAGGCTTGGAAGCTGGATGATCAGAGAAGGGTCGAGGGGAATCGGAGGGTCGCTGAATGGGTGAGGAATGCTTCGAAGGCTAAGTTATAGGCCACCTATACGGAATTTACGAAGTATGAAGCTCAAGAAACACTCAAGGTCGTGGATGATCCAAGCGATATCGTCCAGTCATTATCAATACCAGCATAATCTACAATGCGACTCCTGCCCAATGCTCCAAACACCACCAACACCACCGCTATAATACATTCCACACCCATAATCGTATCACATCATACTCGTGAAAGTTTGCAGTCATGCAAAGCTGTCTTCTCCTGGCCATCGCGGCTCCTCCACCGGATTCTTGGAGGCAATAGATTCGGAAACCACCTCTTCTTGCTGGCCAGCACCTCGATCTGGATTCCCAGCATCAATGGGCTCCGAAAGCGCTTCTTCCTGCTCACCGGCGCCATGACCCATATTTCCAGTAGCACCCGGTTCGGAAAACGCCTCTTCATGTTGAGCCTCATTTGGATCCGGCCGTACCAAAACACCATTCGCAAGTAAGGCTTCCCAAACTTCGTCCTCGAGCTGTGTCACTGAACGATCGACGGTCAAACCATCCATAATTTTAAGACGTGGATTTCCAAGAAAGATTAGCATTTCGTAAACTCTCCTTAACATCTTCGTGTTCATATCGAGGCGTTCGACATATTTCCGATCTTTGGCCCTGTCTGCACTTCCCTGTGTGAACGGATCAGGAGCATCAGACTGATGATCATCTCCAGAACCATCAGTAAGGATCACTCGCATCTCGACTAGAGGAGGATAGAAACCAAGCGTAAGAGGGTTGCCTCGCATATCTGCCAGTGTCAAGTTCGGGAAGTGTTTTAGAACGAAGGTTGTCGATCTCAATCTCGTGATGCGGTTACCGACTAGATGAAGCTTCTTCAGTCGGACAATTCCCACGAGAGGACTGAGATCTTGTAGGGCATTGAGATTGAGATTCAGTATCCGGGTATTGGATATCATCCGACCCAATCCTGGAGCGAGCGACCGCAGTCCACAGTTGGCAAGCTCTAGATACTGCAAATTGAGGAAATCGACCTGAGGTTCGAATGTGTCGAGAAGATTTCCTGAGAGGAAGAGCTTGCGGACTTCAAAAGCTTCGGCAAGAAATGACATATCAATCCTAGAGCCTGTTTGCTGTTCTCGCAGAGAGACGCTGTCCAGATGCGTAGTTTTAAGTAGGCCCGTTACCTTGCCAAGACGATTGCGATCAAGGTAGAGGAGGCGGAGATTTGGGAATCTGCTAACATCGATGGACTCTAAATTGTTCCCGCTAAGCCGAAGATACTTTAGAGACCAAAGCAAAGCAGGATCGCTCAAGGAAAACTGGGTGAGTTTGTTCTCCTCTAAGTCGACAGTCGAGAGTGAACGAAGCTGTTCAAGATTTTGTACTGTGGTAAGCTTGTTGTTCCGAAGGTCCAGATCCGTCAACCGCTGAAGCTTAGCCCCGCTGAAATCAAGGGTCTCGACCAGATTTCCGCGCATTCGAAGGGTGAGCAGTCCATCAAGTTGACTGATTCCCTCCAGTGACTTGATTTGGTTATTATCTGCACGCAGACCCCTTAGATGAATAAGATACTTGAATGCTGACAGGGATTCAAGCTCGTTATTAGAGACATCTATGTATTGCAAGTTGCTGAGATGGCCCCACGCTGCTAGGTCGGTGAGACAGTTGTGTGAAATGCGCAAGTGTCGAAGTGTCTTTGGAACGCCGTCTAACTGGCTGATTTTATTGCGGGACACATCAAGGTCTTCGAGCTGCTCACAGAATTCGTCGAGTTTGTGCAAATTCGTGAGCTGTTTCCCTTTTAAGTTTACCATTTTCATGTGCTCCCAAAATGGTTCGTAGGGCTCGGCTTCTGTGAGCTTTTCCACTAGCTCCTTGATGGAAAGCGACAACGTCCTCTGCGTGTTACTCCCATGCACGTAGCGCTGTTTTTGAGCAACATAACTCACGTCGAGACCGAATGACCCATCAGAATTATGAACCGTAAATTCGGAAAGCGGCGTAAGTGTGAGAGTCCCAACTTCGTGGGTTGGATGAGGTGTGGCCAAAACAACGCTTGCCTCATGCCTTGGGGGCGCAGGCGTAGAAACGACGACGCTGATACTTCTTCGATTTCGATCCTCGTCGTCTTTGTTGATTGAGTCCTCGTCTTGCTCATCAATTCGAGATACAGGCCGAACTGAAAACTTATGACCGCCAAGACTGAGTCGCCGAGATGCACTACGATAAAAGGATCGACTCTTTGTCGAGCCTGCTTTCTTGCTGTTTTCTTCCTTGGTAATGACCAGGCTCCCATTGCCAAAATCGTCGTCGTCGTCGGACGGGCTGGCTTCATCTGCCTCACGATCAAAGCTACTCTCGTCCTCATACTTCTTAGTCTGGATGACCGACGCTAGAGGCGATGAGAAAGAGATCGTAACGTTGCGACGTTGTGGGCTTGCTGAATCAACTCGATCCTCATGAATCGATATCTCCCTCTCGACTTCTTCGACAACCCTTTCCGTTGTCTCTGTATACGTGGATTTGTGGCGATGATGTACGCTTTGAGTCGTCTGAGGCGCAAGTTTCGCTAAAGGTGCTTGATCGTCTCCCCAGGAGGTTGCCCTGGTATTGCTCTCTGGGACTGTACCTCCGCTGGAGGTAAACTGCGTGAGCTTTGAAGGCTCTGACGAGGATGGCTCATTGTTCTTGATTCTTGGTCTGTCTCTTACAAAATCGGCTTCTTCGAGTTGGGCTGCCCTGTCCATGGTTTTGAGATGGTCTTGGTCATCCTGCTCCTGTGCGACTCGAGCAGCTTCTCTCCGCCTCGCAGCAACAGCCTTGATTCTCTGCAATTCTTGGGTCTCATCAACCGATAGATCTGGAATATCTCCAAAGGGATCATCCTCTGTCTCATCTGATGGCAGAAAATTCTTTCCTGCATTTTCACCCGCGATTGTCTTTCGCTTGACCCAAATGTTCCGCTCACGATCAAAGACCATGCCTGCAACTTGCTCGGGGATGAGATGTGAGACCGTGTGAGGAGCAATTACTCGGCGAGAATCAGACCCTCTTGACGATCCTGTGGGGATTGAGCGGGACGTTGATTGACCGGATGATGTATTTGATCCATGAGAAGGGAATTCAGCTTGGTGCTGTTCCTCATCACCAGGAGGTATAGATGACGTTGAATGTTTCCGCTTGCGCTGAAGGTCGGGATTCTCTGAAATGCGGATATTTGGCGGGTCGCTCTCAATTCCGTCGTTTGTGCTCAGTAACCTGCCAGATCTCCTCGAGATTGTCTCATCTGTTATGCGATCAATAGCCTTCGCAGCGTCTGCAGCCTCTCTAGCCATCGCAATAGACTTCATAGACTCAGCAATCACCTCGTCCATATCACTCATTTCCTGGTACTTGCGAAGATGATCGAGCAGAGCGGGATCCTCCTGTTTTTTTGGCAATCTGGCCACAGGCGCGCCTTCTCGGCTTGGCGGCCTGGAAAAGGGTTCCTTGGTAGACTCCTGGTAAGAGTCTTCATGCTCAACCTCTGCAACACCGACTTCAACAGACTGATTTTGGCCGTTCTCAGATTCAGACTCCTCCAGACTTGTCAGGCCACTGTGTGGTCTTGCTTTGCCTCGGATGCCTGCCATAATTTTCTTTGCCTCATCAAGAAAGTCCTGCGTGGTGACAGAACCTTTCCGACTATCAGCCTGCATTTGCTGGCTCGCGCCCAAAGCTGTAGACGCCTTGAGGGGTTCCGTAGAATCAAGCTCTGCTTGTATCTTGGCAATCTTCTTCTCTTGCAGCAACCGGACATCTTCTGACGACGTGGGATCTATCTCCTGAAGAGGGGTTCGGCCGTGTTGCTGGCTGCTTCGTTGACTCGGAGTTGGCGTACGTGGACGTAATATTTGGCGCATTGCAAGGACTGTTGGGTTTGCTGCTTGCTGGTCATTGTCGTGCCTAGCATCCTTTCGCTTTCTTCCAATGACAGATTGCATATGCTGATGAGTCTCGACCAAAGAATCGAGATCTTCAGCCAAGTCCTTCCCATCCTCATAGGTAATCTCAGATTTGTGCAGGGTTCGCCGACGTTTGGGCGTAGGATCTTTCAATGGAGTTTTTGGTAGCCTCTTGCCTGCTGTATCTCCATTTCCATTCCTCTTTCTTGGTGTCTGAAGATCTTCTCTTCTTTGAGAATTAGGCAACTCAGAAGGTTGGTCTGAACTACTCGTATCTGGTCGTACAACCGTGCGAACGCTGATGGTATGCTTCATTGTGCTTATTGTGTTGGTGTGTCTGGCCCGACGCTCGATGATCACTTCATCGTCAAGAGCTGGTGAAGGCTCAAGCTGAAATCTGAAAGTGGTTTGAGTATCTGGGTTGAGGACTGGCAATGTCATGTTTTCTTTGTCTTCATCACCATTTGATCGACTTGAATTATATGACACTTCTTCACTGAACTGGAAACTGTTCAGATCTCCTCCACCGAAGTTGTTAATCTTTGATGTCTGCCGGTGAGCATGACTCCGTTGCGAGACCTTTTTTGGACTTGACGCTGCTACAAATGCTTCATTCATTTCGGGATGTGTCGATTCATGAGTCGTAGACGAGGGAATATTAACATCGCTTTCACCGCTACTGTTGCCCTCAAATTGACTTAGTCTTCGCAACAGGGTCTGGTTCGTGAAGGTGTCGTATGTTCCAAAAAGTTTTAAGGGGCTGCCGGATGGATTTTTCTGCTCTCTGCTCGTTGACTTGGTTGGGCTAGGATGAGCTGCACGTGGCGGTTGTGGCGATCGAGGGGGTAATGGAGGCTGATTGTGCTCGTTCGAAGCTCTTGTCTTCTTAATATTTGGAAGTTGCTTCGGGGTGCTGGCTTGCATGGACTCCTCTGGTAAAAGGGCTGATTCGTCGATGGCCGGGAGCGAGGAAGGGCTTAGCATACGTTTTTGGAAAGAGCCTTCTTGGGATCGTCCCCCTCTCCGGAGATTGACAAAGCGACCATTGTGTGCGTAATCATCAGTGTCGACCGTCATATCTGCTGGAAGATCTTCCGACAAGGCATCCTGATTTTGTTCAGATGAGAAGGAACTTTCTTCTCGAATGTTTTCGAGCCGGCGCTGGAGCTCATCAGCGGGAAGATTCAGTGCTGTATAGTCGATTTTTCCGTCAGTGGTGTTGTGTCTTCCAATATATATTGGACTGAGTTCCTCGTTCCGAATGTCACTTTGACCACTGACAGTTCGTCCGGCTTCATCGACGCGCCTTTCATGTCGAACCACGGAGGATGCAGCGTCAGAAGTGTTGTCCGAATGGGCAGCCACTCCTTGCTGGCTCTGAAACTTCAATTTGGTCAGCTGGAAGCTACTGCTTCGACTTAAATCGTTAGCTGAAAAATCGCTCTCGCATTCGTCCGCCAATTTATATTTCATAACCCGCGGTTGCTGGCGATTCTTGGTCCCTTCATCAGATTGCTCCTCGGCAGCCTGATCATCCTTGCGCAGAGTTTTGTGGTCGAAATTGTATGGAGGCGGACTTGATGGCATGGCGACACTGCCCTCCTCGAAGTCTGCTAGGGCTAGTTTGGTGGGCGATTGTGCTGGGGGTGGACGGAAAATATTCTCAAGGCCTGCCGGGCTGAAGAGGTCACGTTGCTCACCGTAAGCAACCTCTCCATGTATGAGCCGTCTTTTCCATTCGGGCGTCTCATTTCTACCCTTTTGAGGAGACAAGCTGGCGGATTTATGTTGAATGGTATGGTATTGTACAGACTGTGTAGTCGAAGCCGAAAGGGTTCGAGAAAGACGTCGGCCACGAGTCCCATTCGTTACCTCGCGGAGTTTTGAAGGATGCTGTAGATTGCGTTGTGATAGCGGGATGTTATTCTCGTTCAGACTTCGTTCGCTCAGAGGACTGTTCGCGCTATCCTGCCCGGCTGTCCATGATCGCTTCTGGGGATTGTATTTTGGTATGCGACTTGATGCGACGCGAGCTTGGGAGGTGTCTGATGTGCTGTTTGATAGAGAGGGCAATGATTGCACTGGAGATCCTGATCGAGGCTGAGAAACCCAATCCTCGGAGAGAGAATCTAGCCACGCTTGCTCCATTGCGCCGGAAGTATAGAAGGAGGTCGATTTGTTATGCCATAGATGCAATGGCGTTGTTGTGTTCAGCTTCGCGTCCTGTTCGAGTTTTGGATTGTATGAATAAATTCGAGGTGGAATTGGCTTGTTTCGAGCACATATAGCTGCTGTTAATATCTTTTGGCCGTCCTGGAGAAACGCGTGCTAATCGACCATTCATTAGACCGCGTCGAGAACATGCACAGTTTTGCGTTGCTGGGGCAACAAAGAACACAAGTAAACCCCCACATTTTTAATCTTAGCTCGACATGGTCAACAATTTACCCAAGGAAAAAGAGCTTTCCTTTGCAGGAATAAGGAATTTACAAAATGAGACTAACGAATGAGCAACTTTTTATTATTTAGAGCAATCCCATCGCCAAACAGGCTTTAAACCTTAACATAAACTGTCCTGAACGCACCCGTGGATCAATTTCAATTACTTGCGGATATGCTTTGCATAGTATCAGCACTTTCTAAGTAGAATGCTATCACATTTAAGCTTCCCACGTAAGGAGACAGCCATCGAGCGAGCTGTAACTTTACATGCGCTTTGGCAGCATTCTGTGAAAATATTCTCACGTGACCTGCATGCACTCAAACACGGTCGCGAAAATCACCGCGTCAACAAGGCTAACGGTTCAACCTCGTCAACCTACTGTAGCTCGCCTCGCCCCGCGATTCAGTGGCCTCACCGTTCAACTTCATGCCTCAAGACACTCAACATTATGGATTGCAACGATAACGCAACTATACTAAACACCGAGGAGCAAGAAGATGAGCCCTTCTACTGCTCGCCGGCTTATGCTGAGGGGGATGTCATATGGCCCGGATCCGACTCAGAGGAGACTGCGGAGGAGACTGAACGGAAGCGTTTACGATACGAGCACCACGCCAGACGATACCTGCGAGGCCATTTACCAGTATTACAATCTGCGGCCCTCAGAGGACCGTTGTCGGGATGGGTAAACCCATGGCGTTGGGTTTCGAAGCAGGACGATTGGTGGCAGCCTCGTTCAGAAGACATGCTTTTCACACGAGAAAAGGTTATGAAAAGAGCAGCAGACCATGGGCTTGGTTATTTGGGTCCCACTGAAGCTCTTGCGTGGTGCAAGGCTTCCGCGCAGGCGGAGGCAGAGGCTCAACGGATTCATCCGGATGGAGGGCGATCGGAGAACAGGGATACTCAACCTGAAATAGGAAACACCTTGATTGTATATGCTGCAGAGTCGCCAGAGGACCTCCCTACAAAAGACGAATCTTTGACGCTCAACGTAGAACCAACAAACCCTTACCTGGACCAATCAATGGTCAATCACCATAGCGAAACTCCATTTACTAGAGGAAATACTCGCGAGACTACAAGAGGTACAAAGAGACCTGTTGATTCCCACTGGCTAAAGGGATCTTACGTTTCTAAACGTGCTCGATGGGATGGCCCGGCAATTGCTACACCTACACCGCATCTCGAAATGGGCGAAAGATACCAGCGGCGGCACCAGAGCTTTCCAAAGCGGAGTGGATCAGACAATAGGACAGGCACCGAACCTTCCCGTATTTCAGTCAGCTTTGCAGACATACCGTCATCCCGGAGACAAATGGATATTACGTTAGACCCCGACTCACCAGATGCTGCTTCACTCAGCCACGGCCAAACGTCGGCGACACCTGCACTGAATTCCACATTTAGAAGATCATCGTTAGAGCAAAGTGTTGGCATTCTCCAGCAGCGGGAGGAAGGAATTGACGAGCTCCATGATGTATCGCAACAATCAATCCTTACAAGTTCGTCGCGGAACAGATCTCGCAGAAAGCCGCAACGACGGTCTCATGGTTTTGCTGATATTTCTGTTTTAGACAAAGCACCAGATGATTTGAATGCAAAAACACCCCGTCAAAATCCGTCTCCTAGTATCTTATCTTCCGGGGGCGGCACCCAGAATGGTCCCTTGAGCTCCAAGTCGAATGAGCTTCCAAAGCTTCCACGCAAGGCTCTAGAGCAGAAAAATGATGGAAATGCGCACGAGGTTGATGAATACAGCTTCATCACAGAAGTAGCACCGTCCTCTCGAGACCTGGAGACGTTCCAATACAGGAAGAAGCGGAAGAGAATGGATTCTGAAGCATTGAAGCGAAATCCGAATGACCGGAATCCCACGGCGGACTTCCAAGAGTCACCAGGGATGATATCAGAATCAGGGCAAAACGATGAAGATGAGGCATCAGATGATCAAGACTCAATCGAACCCGAAAACGCGAACAAAACAAAGACCTCATCCCGGATTGATCAGGCACCAATTGTAGAAGATGAGGCTCAAGAAAGGAGCAACGAGTCCGATCAAAGTTGGGATTTTATAGATGATGCTATAGAGCAACCGCCCGCTCTGCTGGCGGACAGTAGAGCTCTAGTCGAAAATACGTCCCCGAAGCGATCTTCTCATAGAGATCATAATTCTCCAACTCCGATTCCACAAACGCTCAAACCTTCATCAAAGACCAGCAATCAGCGCTCAAAACTCTCACTCAGATCTAGCCAACCTTACCAATCACAGCCATTGCTAGATCCGCGATATCCCTCACCAGGGCCATCGGCGGCGAAAAGGAGGGTTGGTATTTTTCAAGATCTAAACGATGGGAGCACGCAATCATACAATACATCTCCACCCAGACCGACGCTTGAGCTCCCATTGAAACCTTTACCGCAAGCCAACCCGGACAACATTCAGCATGATGCAAGATCATCTAAAGATATTCAAGATGTGATGGAAGACATTCAAAAAACTCTTTCCCAGAATTGTCCGGGTTTTTCATCCCCAGCTAGCACCCAAAGCGATAAACATCGAAGCCCCGAGATTGGCGATCCGAATGAGGTGGGATCTCTTCACGAACCTCCGCTTGGTCAACCACATGCTCCTTGTTCCATTGACGCGAATGTCTCATCCCAAACTTCGGTAGCGGGAGAGGAAAGAACTATGGGTCGAGCAGTCTCTGAGATTTCAAATGTCAACGAGCTGCAACGAGCTAAAAGCACTCCACACAATCAACAAAACTCACAGCAAAAATTTCCCCGTGCTGCGAATGCAGGAAAGGACCCCGAGCCTGGAGCAGAAGCAGAGCCCTCTAATACAATACATACACCTCACGTCCAAGATGGCTCCTTCGAGGTCATCAATGGGCAACAGGGACAGGCAAGAATACTTTCAAGCGGCGTAGTCGGAGACGTTTCAATAGACGAGGCCTCCATCACTGGCGCATTGGGAGAACCTCGTGCAGCTGCAAGTGATAGAATTAAGGCTGTAAACAATGATTTGGAGTCAAGCTGGGAAGGTTGCGGGCCGCAAAGCCCGTGGGCAATCGAGAATCTTGAATCACTTTCCATGAATGGCCACGCACGAATCAATCATGGTGGACAGCTGAACAGCGGCACTTCTCTGGTTGACGGTCTTGATGAAAGACTCGCTTCTCCAGAAAGTGGCTCTCTCTCCGAGAAACCGGATTGGCACCATGTCGAATGGCCCCAGACACCACCAATTGATGTGATCACGCCCTTCAAAAACCTGATGAGTCCAACACCAGCTCCAGAACCTATAGCTTCTCGCTTGCAAGGTGACGGATTGCCCAATACCCAATCACTTGTTGATGCTGCTACAAACAATCCGTGGACCAGCAGCTTACGAAAACCGTCGTCCAAGAAATCTAAGAAACGAGTGTCGTTTAGTGTTCAACACCCGGAGGAGAAAGAAACCTCGCAGCCGGATATTTTCGACAGTTCTAATCACTCGAAGCGGAACCCTGGTTCTCCTCCACCACCAGAACATGGCTCTTACGTGGACATGTACGACGACGGCACTGCAACTGTCCCTAAGTTTATCGGCCACTTCGTTGCTGCTAGGCAATTCAAAAAAATTCTTCCCCAGAATCGAAGCTCTCCAATGAACAGTAGTCCCCGGCTCAGTGCCCAGGCCGAAGCATTTATTGCAGCAGACCGTGAGGCCTCTGTGGAGCAATTGCGTTCATCATTCTCTCCCAGATCTCTCTCCCGAAAGCACACATCAAGGCGGGACCGTGCAGAAGAGGACCCCTGGCTCAGAGACAGATCACTGGGATCTCTCCAAGCGAGTCCCAAATTGCCGGAGAAAGGGAAGGGTAATCTCATGGCAAGCTTTGACATGGAGGATGCTATTGGCGACATGTCTGACTTTTTGGGGGATTGGTCAGTTGACGCCGAGCTGAAGAAAGCAAAGGGATCCAAGGAATCGAAGGAATCCGAATCTAGCGGTCGCCGTGAGAGTAATGGCTGCAGGAGACGGAGGCTGTTTGGACTTGTGTAAGATTGCTAGCTGGCATATCAGATTTTGCACCATGGTGATGGGGCCATGGGGTTACAGGTAGACCTGGTAGAAACATAAGTCTCATTACGAGTAAGTGGCTTTCGGTAGCCCTCAACAAAAGCCGTCTTTATCGAACTTGTGTCCTCTGAAGAGCCAGAGGTAGGCCACGTAATGTTAAACTATCAGCTGCAGAGCCTCATCCAAATTTCCCAACGTCTTTGTTTCGAGTCGCGCTCTGTTATTTTCCACGTGTCGGAATGGGACGGACGGGACCCCTGGCTCCGTCCACAAGGTGTTCATGGGGGCCATATCATCATATTACCGCCAGCTCTCCGAAGCAGGGGGGTTCAAACACGGCCCGATGCGTGGCTCTCGACTCGCCCAATAGCGAGCAGGTGAACAACGCAAGTATGGTGAGATACCTCTCAATGGCCCAAATGGAGAATTATACTGTATTAAACTTGCGCTTGAAGTGATTGGTAAAACAGGCATGGCCTCCACCCAGAGATAGTGAAGTCATGATCTGAGAGGCGGTCAGCCATCCCCGGCGAGACACGTTGCCGGTTGATAGGTTGTAATTGAAGGCAGGCCTGAGCAGAGAACGAGACTTCGCAAAACGGCGTGCCAGGGTAACGGTGAAAGATTCGTGGGCAGTGGGCTCGCGGAACTCTCTGATGCGGGCTGGCCTTGGGCCGTTGTGTGGTTGTGTGGTTGTGTGGTTGCAATTATACGGAGGGGGGAATAATGGCAGACTTGCAGTCAACAAGGCTGGCAGCAAACTCTGGGCAGGCTGCCGATGGACGCGGTTTTGAGGTGAAACCCGTGCAAAGTTAGCCTTGTGGTCGGATGGTCTGCGACAGGGGAAGCACTGGTGGCGCTCTATGACGGCGTTGGTGGCTTCCGCACTTTCGAAAATCAACATCTCAAAAAAGAATCTGAGTCCTCCAGCGTGCATACACCACAGACAATCCCCTCCATACAAGCTGCGCAAAGACAACGTGCCGGCCAGTCTCTAAGGAACAGGGCTCCCGTCTCGTCACCAAACCTTCTCCCGTGGCGACACTGCATTCGTAAACTCAAAGCCGGGCCTGGCAATCCTAGTCACACAATTCCCCTTTACCTGGCACTGCCATTGCCGCCCAATAACTGCGAATCAAACTCGCACATTGCATGAGGATTCGATAGATGTCCGCCTCATGTCAACTTCCCTTCCTGAGCCCGAAAATGCCGCACCCACCGGATCGGTGAGAGAAGAGCAGGGTCACCAAAGCTATCGGCATGGCGACCAGAACAAAAGTCGGCCATGGACTCAACCTCCCAGACCAAGCTCCACCTCATTATTGACACAGGCTCTAGCTACAACTTACGAAGCAGACGAATCTCCTCATACAGACATTAGCACAACTCCCCACTTTCGAGACGCGCTGGGAACGCAGCCATACCTATCCCCCAGGGAGGAACAACGAGGCAATGGCATGAATACCACGGACAACACGCAAACAGCTGCACGCAAGATGGCAACGATGACCACAGTGTCTGCAGGCGAGCTGCGCAGAGATGACATGATAGACATCTCATCTGCATCGCCCACCAGTCGATTCACTCTCCACGACCTGAATACTGTCAATGGGCATCTCATAAACCATCGGACGTTCTTGAAGAATGCCGGAGGCAGGGGTACCTCTCTAGAGCGGACAGAGAAAGAGAAGAGGGTACAAGATGGTCCGAAGAGTCTCTATTCCATCAATGCTGGTGATACTGGCATGACCCAACCCGCAGGACCCCTGAACCCCACTTCTTCGGACTCAATTTCCAACAACCATCCAACAGAAGGTGTGCGAGCTGAATATAGATCTTGGAGAGAGCCTCGTCCAAGCATCACTGCTGAGAAGACATGGTCGATTGGTGCACAAGGTGGCGATGGTAGCCATGGCGGACAGGTGGAGAGGTCTATTACTGACGCCCTGGCAAGAGTTGAACCCAGCAATCGAAGTAGAAAATCCAGCCACAGTTTGCGGTTCTTCAAGGAGGGTCTGCCAGAAGACAGGATGAGAAAGCGGGACAGCATTGTTCGGGGCCGTTCCAATGATCACTTCCCCATTCACATCCAGGCCAAGCAAGACACCGAACAGACCCAGACTGGATCAGAGCCGCCACCTCAAAAATTTACTCGTGCTTTGAGCAGCGGTTCGCTTGGAAAAGGAGGTCCTCCCCACTCTTCTGTCGAGCAGGGAAAACCTATGACCAAACATAATCTGGATCCTGCCACGAATCTGACCGAAGGCCTCGCACCTGCCGAAGACTACTTTGACGCTTCACATACCATTGAAACGATTTCAAAGGAGCAACTAAAATCGATGCCCGCTCAACTACTTGATGATATTCGGAGGCGCCATAATTTGACCCCTGGAGCACCAAAGTCTTCTTCCTTTTCAGGAAGTCTCCCTCTCACAGCGTCAGAGAGGCCAAAGCCTGGGAGTCTCAAACCAGAGGAAGACAAGGATGAGCCTAAGGAATCTAAACCTCAGCGAAAAGACCTTGGTGACCAAGATGGTGCAGATCTGTCTCTTGTGAAATCACTTGACGAGGGTGATGATTCTGGAGAGGAGCAAGTGTCTTCAGCCGTGTTCTTACCCCATCAAACACCACACGAATCTCCAGAAATAGATAGAGTTGGCACCGAGGGTGCATCGGGATTAGGTTGGAAGGACCAAACCAAGCCGGAAACCTCTCAATGGCTCGAAGAGCATGTGGTCCTGTCAGGCGATGTGGATAAAAGGTACCTCGCCAAGGACGTTAACGCCCGACCTCTTCCATCCCCTGGCCTCCCGAAACAGCCAAGCGCATTCCATGAGGCTGATACACGATATCCTGACTCCAAAGTTGTCTCGGACATTGACCGAGACTCCCATGATGATGAAGGTGCCTACTCTACAGTTGGCGAAGAAGATCTCGGTCTTACTGATGCCTCAGACACAACGCCAACAGGCTCTTTAAAGACTCAGCGGCGCTTGTCCAAGGATTATAAGCAACACATCCATGATCACCAGCAAAAACCGAAGGCGCCCTTGGACGCGATTGAATTGATCCCATACCGTCACCAAGTTGGAGGTCACACAACAATGTGGCGGTTTTCTAAGCGTGCTGTTTGCAAGCAGTTGAACAATCGCGAGAATCAATTCTATGAAACAGTGGAGCGCTATCACCCTCAGTTACTGAGATTCCTCCCAAGGTATGTATATTTTTATTCCCCTCCCAACTGACGGGCCTGAAGCTGAGTCCTTGCAAAGCCCCTTTCAACGCTTCCACGAAGTCCACCAAGTCCACGTGCTAACAACCTCCTTCTTCTTCTAGATATATTGGTGTTTTGAACGTTACGTTTGAAAAACAGTCACGCCGGAAATCTGGGAGAAAGGAGGGTGAAGAGTCTACCATTGAGCAGCGTCAAGACATTGGGCAAGAAGACCTCGGGTCGAAACTGACTGCAGTTGATCTCAGTTCTACTAATGGACATGCTCCCGTCGAGAAGCAACCAGCAGATGAACGAATCATCAGTCAATCGATCCAGTCATCTTCTGTCCCAGTGCCTACCGTTACTTTTACGGATAACAGACACATTCTGCCTAGTAGTTTCTTACATGGTCATCCAAATTTTGTTGACTCGCAGCACCGATCCATGAGCAACGGTACAATATCAATTTTAACGGGTCCTCCTACCGGCCCTCCCCTAGTGTCGCCAGAGCGTCATGACGGTGCTTCTTCTCGGCCAAATATGTATGAGAAACCTGCCCAGAGCTGGGGCATGACGACTGTTAATAAAGATTTACGCAACGAAGTCTTCACAGATGCTTTCCTTCGTCAACCGATTCCAATCCAGCGGCACAAGAAGCCAGCCTCGCAGCAACGTTCTCTCACGGGTCGTCACCCACCTGGCCTGCGTAATTCAAGTTCAGAATCTAGTCTCAAGACTTCACAGCATAGCCAGACAACCTCACAGCTAGGGGAGGAATCGATTCGGAGAAAAGCAATGAAGACAGCTGCTGAACAGAAGAGCCGTTCGATGCACCCAGATGCCCAGCCAGCCGCATCGAACAAGTTACAGGTCGAAGAGAAAGATTCCGAACTTGACGGGAAGACGGGCACTAGTGCACCTGAGCCCGAACTTGCTCACGCTGAAAAGACTCCTACGAGTAAACGTCAACGGCGCTATTCTAGCGGTAGTCTGCGTCGGAAGCCTTCCGAAGTAGCTGACGATAGAGGCATTCTGCAGTATTTTGAAGAAGCCGATGATGTAGGCTACAAGGGCGACATCGAGGAAGATCTGTTTGCAATGGACCCCGAGCCGCAGCTTGCATTGGCCGGAAAACCTGCTGATAGAGCTGAGAAAGCTGCCGCGATTAATATGGAGGTTCCCCCGAACGCGCAGCCTTCGGGCACCGCGGGCATAGGAAGCATGCTACCAGCTGCTCCTGAGGATCCTTCAAAGCTCTTGCAAGCTCCTCGGCCACTTAATCCGAAGGAAGCACGTGCTCAACTGGGAACCCGGAAAGAGTACTTTCTTCTTCTTGAAGATTTGACTGCTGGAATGAAGCGCCCGTGCATTATGGACCTCAAGATGGGAACTCGTCAATATGGCGTTGATGCAAACGAGAAGAAGCAGCTGTCGCAGCGTCGGAAGTGTGCGGAGACAACCTCCAAACAATTAGGTGTACGGGTCTGTGGGCTGCAAGTTTGGGATGCGAAAACTCAGACGTACATCTTCCAAGACAAGTACTTTGGCCGAGATCTCAAAGTGGGGTCCGAATTTCAAAACGCTTTGATGCGATTTTTGTATGACGGTGTCACCTATTCCAGCGTTCTTCGGCATATCCCCACTATTTTACTAAAGCTTTCCGAGCTTGAGGTCATCATTCAGTCTCTTGCTGGGTACCGGTTTTACGCAGCGAGTTTGTTGATGTTTTATGATGGAGATGATGAAATAAAAGATGAAAACAATCTTGCAGGGAGGAAGGAGATTGATTTCAAAATTGCGGATTTCGCAAACTGTGTTACAAAAGAAGATTTTCGTTCAGAAGAACGGCCTTGCCCTCCCAGACATCCCGAGTCACCAGACAACGGGTTTTTGAGGGGTTTAAAGAGCCTGAGAAGCTATTTCCTGGCCATTCAGAAGGATATATACCACGAACTGGGCATGGCAGTTAAGGGGCTTGAAAACGGGCATAATGAGCGCGTGTTTGAACATGGAGATGAAGACGAAGATGAAGAAAGTGGAATGAGTTACTGACTGGCATGTGCAAACCCAAATTCTGTTTTGTGGATTTGATCTCTGGCGTTTGGGCATCGCGTGGAGGTATTGTACGGTATGGCATTCGCATTGTTCGGCGTAGTAAATCGGATTCAGCGCATACCCTTTGATCGCGTTTGCACCTAGAGTTCAGGTGGAAGCGCTGTACATAATTCTGTTCTCAGGAGCTTGAAAGGCCGCCTGGTGGTGAGGGTTTGATCGTTGATTCAAGACCTCGGTCAATTCTAAAAACATTAAATGCACATTATGTCGCTCCAACCAGAGTCCATTTTGGGAGAAAGATAAGAGGATTATGGAGAGTTTCCCTCTTAATCCCTATCACAGTGTCACGTGCTACGCGTAACTCGACGCGAATTTAGTCGCGTTATAGTGCGAACCTAAAATCCATGACCTCTCGACATTTTCATTACCACGGCAGTTAATGCTTTAGAGCCCCCTTCAAGATCTGTCCATCTCATCGGATTCACCGCCAATTCTCGTCACAATGCCTGTGGAAATTATAGATCTTGTCTCCAGTCCGATTTTGCCTCGGCCTGCTAGAACCAAAGTAAACAAAACCGTACCTCCCTGCAAAGCCCTAACGTATGAAGCATCCAAGCCGCGAAATGAAGACTGGTTTGACCTCTCGTCTGATGGAATCAGCCTTCCACCATCAAAAGCCCTGGGTGTGAAATCGTCACTTTCTGCGAAACAGATTCTACCGTCGAATGGCCTCTCAAATCCTTCCCGACCCATGAATCTAGTTGGAAGCAATGAGTTCTATTTCCTCTCAGATGATTTTGACACCACTATATCGCCTCCGAATGCGCCTACGGGCAAGCGATCGGCGACGTCTTCTCTCCCAAAGCCGAATTTGGACGGTTCCTCAAAGCAAGATCGTCCCCGAAACCCCGCCAAAACGACGAATAACGTCGAATTTCTTTCAGACGACTTCGATACTGCTCATTTCGATGATCCATTTGCCTCTGATGAGCCATTGCCGAAGAAACGACGCCTCGCCCCGTCACCAAAAGCTACTTCGAAGACCACAGGGCCGAAGAAGACTGAGTTGAAGATGTCGACCTCCAGTATCGAATCTTCATCCAAGATACATACATCGAAATCGGCTACCGGCCCAGGCTTGAGGCGATCAAAAACAATGAGCACCCTCCTCGAGTCAGATCCCATAATGTTTACGAGCTCACCCGATCCATTTGAAGATGCTGCTCGGCGAAGGAAGGGAAAGAGAAACACCACTTTATACGAAGATGGAGAGGAGGACGATCCTTTTGATATTGGCCCCTCCCGGAATGAGATGGGGAGGAAGAAGGTTCCTTCTGGAAATGGAATATTGGAGTCTAGCCATGGTAACAGAGGAAAGGAATTTGCGATTGAGAATTCGTCGGATTTCGATCTCCCGGATATTGGCTCCTTGGCATCCAAGCCGAGCTCGAAGACTGCCAAGAGTTCACAGATTGTTCTGGCCAAATATAATGCTGAAAAAGCTAAGGAGGAGACAGCAAGGGACAAGGCAGAGAAATCGAAAGAGAAACAAGCTTCAAAGGACGCCGAGAAGGAGCAGAAACGATTGGCCAAGGAACAGAAAGTCCGAGGCAAGGAGAAAGCAGCTGAAATGGCGAAAGTCAACACTCTTCGGACGGATAAGAAGGTCTCTGCACCTGAAATGATTGTTGACATTCCATCATGTTTGAATGAGAAGCTTGTTGGACAAGCTCGAAATTTCCTTACTCCCTTGCAGATTGAACACTCCGACTGGGAGAGCTCGCTGCCTGTTATCAAGTGGAGAAGAAAGGCCATCGCTGAATGGAATGATGATATGGGTCATTGGGAGCCCGTCCCCTTGCGAATCAAGACCGAGAAACACATCATGTGTATATTGTCTGCCAAAGAATTTGTGGATCTTGCAATGGCGGACGAGGGCCAGGATTTGGATGCCCATGTTCTGAGACTGAAAGCCAAGTTCGACTTCTGTGAAATCATCTACATGATTGAAGGGCTTGTAGCGTGGATGAGGAAGAACAGAAATGTGAAGAATAGGCAATTCGCAGCTGCGGTCCGCAGTCATCTCAGTCAGGAAGAGCAGGCTCCAACTGCAAGTCAGAGGACGAAGAAGAGGAAAGAGCAGGAGTATGTCGATGAGGACATGATCGAAGACGCTTTGCTTAGGCTACAGGTCATTCATGGCACGCTCATACATCATACTGCTACCATGATTGAGACCGCAGAGTGGATAGTAACATTTACACAACACATTTCTACGATTCCATATAAGTATGGTTTCCCTTCGGATTACCAGGCAAAAGTGCTAACGCCGTTTCTTAGAACTAAACAGCGATCGCTCGATACAGCTTTCTGTATGGAATCCGGCCAGGTGAAAACAGGAGAAAACGCCGCAGACACCTACACCAAAATGCTTCAAGAAATCATCCGCATCACGGCCCCAATTGCATATGGTATTGCAGCTGAGTACCCAACTGTGCAGAAACTGGTCAAAGGTCTTGAAGAGAATGGGCCGTTGGCATTAGAAGATTTCAGGAAATGTGCTAATAAGGATGGCGCGTTTACTGATCGGAGGATTGGACCATCGATCAGCAAGAGGGTTTATAAAGTTTTTATGGGAAGACATGCTGCCAGTTGGGATGTTTAGATGGTCCTGCGAAGGAATGGGTGCAGAAGTGCTTGTTTTATGTTTGTATGAGTATTGGTGATTGTGCAAAAGTCCTCTAGAAGGCTAATTCTTCATTAAGATCCGAGAGAACGTATTACCTGTCTATCCCGACTTCCCAAGGTCACTGCAGCAAGGACTTTTTGACATTGCCTCAAAGTTTGCAAGCTTACCTTTCTTAAGAAAAGAGGTCTTAGATCAAGACATTCCCTGGCTCGAGGTGAAATTGGTATCGAGGTTTTGTTGCACATAGACTGTAAACATCCGATGAAAGACTACATTGAGATGAAAGGGGTTTTCTCTGATGTGATGAAAGGAATTCTAACCATCTGCTGTTCGGATGGTTTATGCGCGTCATGCAACGAATATCAATGAGATGAAATAGAAGATTAACCATCTGATCTTTGGATGATTGGGGTGCGACTCGGTGTGCCAGAAGTTTTGGTACGTTGAGAAAGTCTAACAGTCAAGTTTTCTTTCTGTTTGGGTAATCTGCTTTCCCAAGCATTGCTGCATATCTCTGATCGTCCAAAGTTCTCCTCGGACATTGGTAGGTCAATTTTCCTTCGTTGGGTTTTGCTGCGTATGGACTCAATGTACAGGCTTTCTGGTACATTGAGATTGTTGTTGAGTGAAGAGTAAATCTTGAAGTCAAGCGCTGTTAGGGAAGATAGATCAGGCTAATACGGAGACGGGTGAAGTGAACCCTGAGCCACGACAGCCACGCAAAGCATTTGTCAAGGCTATGAGGCCATTTGTAATAAAATTTCAGGTCACGAGTGTTCCGACAGTTTGGTTTGCTCTTGTGAGTGACTGCCGCCTGTCGTTGGTCGAATGCACTTCCACTAAATACTAAGTACCCAGGCAGCAGGCAAAATAACATGCCACAGCCGTCTTACCCGTTCCCATCTTTCTGCACTTGACAGCTCGTAAGAATTAGTGAACAAGCAAAGCTTGAGCTATAACGGGGAATTCATTTTGGCACATGCTTTGGCAATGTACTAAGAGACGGAGGCCTTGGCAGGCTTGGTGGTTTTGGCCTTTTAGAAATAAATGCATGGCGGAAAAACAATAGGAGAAAGAAAAGTTGCGATCAAAGTAGGGGAACATTTCGAGATATGTACACTCTAAATTTTTCGGGCTTGAATAATCCTTCTAAAGAGGGGATTTGTAAATGCCATCAAGCACTCTCAATCTGACCTACCATACTCATCTTACCATAACTATCCACAATCCTCACCTCAGATACCTTACTCTGCTCCTCATCCATAATAACTCGATACCTTTCACCAGCATACAACGGACTCGTAGCCCGATACGTAACTTTCTTCGGAACAACATCTCGACCCTGCACATCTCTCCACAGGTTGACCATGTTGATCAAATTCAAAGGTCCATGGACCACTAGATCTCGATGTCCTTCAACATCGCGGCACCATTCTCTATTATAATGAATTTTATGGGCGTTGAATGTTAGGGCTGAGAATCTAAAGAGTGTGACTGGTGTTTGGGTGAAATCTCGTGTGTACTTCCCTTCTGGGAGAGGAACCTGGTCCGGCTCTGAAGCTGGCGTTTGGGGAGTTGTGATTTCGGGGCGGAAGATCCAATTTCTAGCCACAATTTTTTTTTAGCAAAGAGTCAATTGGCCCGTGTATGGAAGCTCTCGATTCCCGCCAAGGACCCTACCTCTTATCAATCAGCGCCACACCACGTTCATTCTCATAACTTTTCTCCACACCAACAACGACCATCTCCTCACCAGCTCTCGTATTCTTCCCCACCGCAGATACCAATTTCGTCGTTTCCGTAACTTCTTGTCCGATCTTCAGCCTATTCGTTTCCCCTCCAATCCATTCTAGCTCTCCACCCGCCCACATCCGCCGCGTGAACGGACGGGGAGGGTTAAACGTCGTATCCGTTCCATCTCGACCTAATTCCTCCTCAACTTGTGACGGCGTGAAATATGCCAAGTGGTAACAAGCTGGCAATGGTGTGCCATTCTTTGGGAGCGATTGGGCGAGCTCAGGCCGAGAGAGCGTTGCGGAGAAGCGTTGCAGTTGGTTGGCGCCTAGGAATTGGGTATGGGTGTGCGGAGGGAGGGATTGGGATTTCGAGAGGAATTGCGAGGCAATTGATGGTGCGGAGGTTGAGCTGTAGAGTCTTCGAAGTGTGGGGACCATGATGTGTGTTGGAGAGGTTTGGAGGTGAGGTTTGGGGGAGACGACCCCGCATCAGCCGAGGTTCGGGAGCTAGTTTGGAGGGAAGCTATTTCCAACCACCTCCTTTAATTTCGATACTTTATTATGCTGGGCAAAGAGACTGAGGGATGGATGCCATCTGGTGTCACAATCGCGAGTGGAAATGGAGATGGAATACAAGTTATACTTCTTAACAACGGCAAGCGCCTTATTGTTGACTTCACCCCAACCGAGTCCTTGGACCGCACCATAGAAGGACCCATCCTCAAGCAGTACGAGTCTGCACTTGCCAAAGATGAGGATGAGGATGAGTATGAGGAAGAGGAAGCATTTAATGAAGTGCAAACACTTGCTCCAAAAAGTGGTGCACCTACTTTCGCTCGACCTGCTCCACCCGTCGCGGCAGGATCATCGCTGCCTGACTTGCACTCAGTGCTGTACCCGGAAACCTTTTTCTTCCACTTTAATACTGTCAAAGGGAAAGTTGACGTGGTGCCTCATGAGGACACTTGGGATTTTGATGAGCCTCCTCCTTTTGATCTGGATATCACAAACGAGCTGGCCTTGCCAACTTTTTCCTCAAGCGACATCAAAGTCTTAGGAAGATTCTGGGGAAGGCATTGCCAAGGTCCTGGCAGAAGGAAAGGGAATGTTTTGCAAGTGCCCAGATCCTTCCCTCTGGCAAGCACTCGAAAGCGAATTCTCGTGTCTCCAAACGATAGCACAATCTCCGCCATCCTCATCCATCAGAGCCCCGAAACCCACCGGTCTTGTCTCGCGCACCGAAACCGGAAAACTCGTTGGGATCTTGGAAGATAACATTCCTCACGCTCCGGACAAAGCGTCCACTTTACAAGCGATAGCAGAGGAGATTTCGGCTATCTTGGAACTGCGGAGAAAGAGGTAGTTTTGTTCAGATCCGAGAAACTATTGACCGGATTCATGCGATCGGCATTATCTGGGGAGGTGGCTAGCCGCATAATGTTCTTGTCGACAGTGATACAGATGATGCGTGGTTGGTCGGCTTTGGGCGCGGATCCACTGATGACTTGGTTGGTGAGATCATGGAGACGATGGAGGTGATGAACTGGCTATAGCAAAGATTGCTGACTTCCTGGATGCCTGATGCGAGTACGTACAGGTAGTTCCTAGCATTAAGCCCTTCTTGTTAAGCTGACAAGTGAAACTCAGCTTGGTCACTTGTTTTATTCAGACTTTCGTCTGATCTTGGAACACAAAGATGGCGTTATCGTTCATCTCGCATCATCGTTGACGTTCGGAGGGCTGCCATGCATGCCACTCTGGATTTCTCCCGGATTTTACCTTCTCCTGGGACCGGAGAACCCATGAAACGGCTTGGCGCCTCAAGAGGGTGTTTTGTTTCTTGAGGCGCAGCGTTCGTCTCGTCTATTGTTTAGGCTCTTGCAGGGGGCAGGGGGGGCCTGTTTCCCGCATTGCCGAGAGTCCCCTGACGACATCACTCACCAAGTCTTAAAACTCAGGATTGTCACAGCATGAAACGGACCTCAATACGAGCCTCTGCGGTAGCGAGTCGTTTGTTATTTCTCAAGGCGCTCGAATCATGTGAAGGATGATGCCAGTGGTAGATTTCAAAGGACGTATCTTTGATTTTTTGGGGGCCTTCATGCCTCCCGACACTCGACCTCGACTCGACGAAAACGACTTACTACCAAATACTCTTACATGTGTATACCTCCTTTTCTCGCCTTGCCTTGATTCCGAAAACACTTGTGATCCCAAAAAAGGATCAGCGCTAGTCATTCACACGTGGAACGAAAGAGCGTTTTGATGAAATGAAATCTTCCCGACCAGCCCATCCCATCATTCCACCATCACTCATTAAACCCATGATTCACCCAACCCGAAACAACTCCCCCACCAAGCCCTTCACTCCAAAAAAAACCCCCCCCCAATCCAAAATTCCGCCTTCATCAATTAAAATTCTGTAGCTGAGAATAATTCATGAAGTGTGAAGTCTCTTATTCGTGTCGTTGCATCTCGACTCCGGCCATTGCAATATCTCTGGTATCTCGTCGCTCTTCCATGCGCTTGATCATCTCCCGTTCCCTCGGGCTACGTGGGCTGGCATCCTGTGTCAAATATTAGCAAAAAGTAAGATCATGCAAATATCAGGTGAAACTCACAATGCCTAACAAGGCTGAGATGCTTGTAGCGCTGTTCTTGGTCTCTTGGACAGGGGTTGGAAGTTGATGAATTGGCTTCGTATTGTACCCTTGATAGCCTCCGCTCGGGGCGGTGTGGGTATCTGGCGAGACGCACGGAGTAGGGGGAGCATTGGTAACGATTCCGCGCTTCCAAGTCTCCTCGAGAAGAAGTGGTGAAGCTCCCTGTCCGTATTCGGCAGCGATGACACCCCAGAATGAGACACGGTGAGCTTCGTAGATGTGGCGGAGACGCTCCTTGTCAACGTTGGTCATGGCTGATTGAGAAGTGGTAACATCGCAGTCGAGGCGCAGGGGCGCCTGGGCTGAGTCGGAAAGTGCACGGCGGGGTAGAGATGGCTTGGGGAGGATTGCAACTGGGTGGCTGAGGTTGCGGGGAGGGCTGTTGGAGTTGGATCGAGGGAGGAGGGTCGATGCAGCGGGAAGCTGAACGTGCTGTGGAGACCGAGGAGAGTAGTTGTAGGTTGGTGGGGTGACGGGGTCGTTCTCGTTGATCGGCGATGGCATGGACTGGTTCATGATGGGTGAGTGAGAGACAGTCTCAGCACTGGAGGCGACCGAGTCGCTACGCTTGCGGCGGTTGCTCCCATGAGAAAGTTGGTGGTAGTGAAGACGGCAAGCCAACTCAGTCTTTTTCAGGTGAGCGGCAATATGTTTGTAGGGCATCTTCTGGAGACGAGTTTGGAGAAGATAAACTTCCTACATTGCTGTGTTAGCTAAGAATGAAAAAAACTAGGAGAACAAATATTCGTACCTCATCCTCGCTCCAAGCTCTGCCACCGCCAGTGGATGCCTGCTTTCTGTTCTTCTGAACGCCGAAATCGTGTCGGTTGATGGCATCCACCGGGGAGTAGTTGGACCGGGCCACATGGGCAGAAGTGTTCATTTGGTTCGTTGCTAAAGGCATGACGGTCGTTGATCGTGAAGAATTGAAATTGTTGCTGAAAGTATATAGTAATATCAGACTTGTAGAGCCAGCTAGTTTTGAGAACCCAAGTGTGTAAAAGGGCAGTCCGGAGCTGCGGTAGAATATATAGTCTTTCCTGTCGAGGATGATCGAGAGGAATATAGCTGGAAGAGCAATATAAAGACTGCAATAAAGTGGACAACGAAGAATCTACAAAAAAGAATGTAAGCAGCCAAGCCAGTTGGGCGATAAAAGAGAGTAATTATTAGCTGCGAAAAAGATAGTCGACGTCGAGTGGAGAACAAGAGGAAGAAGGAAGACAGACAGGATCGAACGGATCATATATGAAGCATTGCCTTGCACAGGATCATCTGGAGTATCCTGCTCCCGTGGCAGGTCGAGGCCGTGCACTTCCTCTGAAGTTTGCCGGGGGCAGCCGTGGCCGATGTTCAAGAGGTTTCTGATTATGCATGGCTTGATTTCATATCTCCTTTGGGATACGCTTTTCATCCCGTTTCTGATCATACTGGCGTTTCTTGGTGACCGGGATGGATGTTTGAGATCGCGGGGTGTGGGCTTCAAGTGTCACGGCTTCCATGTCACTGCTGCCCTGACCTTCGAGAAGCTCTTTGGAGTGGATGGGTAAAGAGGCAGCATGATACTCGGCCCAGTGTGTCCGCTGGAGGTGCGATCCGTCGATATCTGGGAGCAGTAAGGCCATGAGAGCAGCAATTTTGTAGCTGCAGATTAAGACTAATAGTGCAGCAGTTGTGGATCAGTGCTGGAGCTGGTGCTGCTGCACGTTGAGTTGGGACGATGTTGACTGAAGGGAGGTGGCGACGACGCCCCAGCCAGGCTCGCTCTCGCTTGATTGGGTGGTTGTGGGGCGGCCGCGGCCTTGCAGGCCCATGAGATGAAACCCAGTGCCCACGCTTGCCCTCGATTTTTGTTTCCACACCAGGCGCGTTCCAAGCAATCGGCGGCGAGGGGGCTCTCGAGCCACCACCAAGGGTCTTAATTCAGATCATCGCCTGTGAGTGGGCGACAACGACCGCGGCTGCACGATTGACACCGTCCAAGATCCAAACAGCGCCGCTGGTGGACTTCTGCAGACGGCTCTGGCTGATCCGCCCCGCCTGTGAGTGGTTGCCCTTGCCCACGGTGTTTCGCAGAACAAGCCTTCCACGCACCGCAGACACAATTCAAACACTCAATTCAGACACTCAATTCAAACAAAGTTTCTCATGGCGCGACAAGAATAGAATAGCACCGCCAAGGAGCCCCCGCCGGCCCCTCCATGCACGCAATGGCGAGCCAGCGCCTGAGGAACCGTGGACGCCCCGTCAGAGGTGATTACAAGGGTGAGGCAGGTCGTGCTGGTCCAGCATCATCACCAGTCCCTCTCCGTTCTCCGCGTTGTGTCATGATTCGAGCGGCTTTACAGCGTAAAGTGCTTTCTTAGGTACGCATAATAGATGACTAGATGACTCTGGGGAAGAACGACTAGCCGACCGAGAGTGCCAGCGCACGCAGATTCGCAGATTCGCAGAAACGGTGCGAAATTGCTGGTGTTCGGAAGGGTCAGTCCCCGGACTCACCGGACAGAATCATCCATCAGCCCATTCCCAATCGCCCCCCTTGATCCTACCCTACACTCGCTACCGGAGGCCAGGCGTAAGGCTGCTGCAGATTGAGGTGTTGAGAGGCAGGAGACGGGACTCAGGCGAGTCTGGCGATGCGGTTATTGTGCGGTTTCGTGATCAGATGGAATCATCTGAAGCTTCTGCAGGATCTTCTCTACGCAACCGCACTGTACACCACTTGGGCCTAGGGCAAAGCAAGGTCTCCCATTGAGCCGCTGACAGTACCGGCAGCCTCCATCACGAAGCCGTCAGTGGCGCGGATTCGCGAAATCCTCAAACGCAGAATGTTCGGGTGCTGTCTCGAGGACCCTCGGCCATGGCCCTCCAGGCGAATCTGAACACACAAGGCATTAAGATCTCTCTTTACCGCTGTCACAGATCCAGGAGACCGCCGTTATCGATGAGTGTAGATTGTAGAATGTCGACTTTTGACGGGCAGCAAGGGCTCATCATGCGCTGTGCTTTATCCGATCTTGAAGCATGTTGCGTTGTTGGATGACATTTGTTTCCTCCTGCGTTTCTTTCTTGCCTGTTTTGGCGGGGGCTAGCTTCCTCCGTGTGTCGTTTTTGGAGATTTAAAGAATGAATCCTCCGCACTTCTCGAATTACATGAAACTGCAAACGTTGTTTCTGTTTCGAAACCTCTGCCAAGATGGCCAAGCAAGCCTCTCGGGAATATCTGATCCGCTCGAGTCATATCTAATCTTGATCTTTGCCTCGTCAACTACGGATGGCAGGTGTCTTCAACATTGGACGAACTCTAGCACGCGCTTGTTGAAATTTCTGCAACACAAGAATTGTTCGTCGTGGTCTGAGGAGAATTAGAACAGGCATCGTTTGTGATTGTCCCGTGTTATTGGGACACTGAGAACATCATGTTGAATGTCATCCCGACAACAGGATCTTAATCCTACTTCCCATAATCAGGTTTGCTTCGGATAGAAGATGACATCTGAAGAGTAGCTCGTGCAGCGGAATCAGAACACCACTGTTTGTGATTGACCCGCGTTATGGAAGGCTGAAATCATAATGTCGAGGACCATCATCCAGGCATCAAGATCTTATCGCCACTCTAGTGCTGGTTTTTCTTCAGATAGAAGATGACTTCTGGTATCTTCATGGCTTCGATGCAGTCAAGCGTCACGTGTGAGTTTTGCAATCCTTCTATTCTGGGCTCTGACTGGCGCTTTGTACGTCAGCTGTCAGCCAGTGGTAATGCTCCATACATCAAGGATTCCATACATAGCATTACTGCATAGTCAGCGCAGGATTCTGCATTATCTACTAGTCATCCACATGGTTCAGCTCCGCAAGAACACAACTCTATCGAAGACGTCGAGCTGTGCTACTATTATGCGATGCCATGCCATGCCATGCCATGCCGTCTCTCACGTGAATAGGGTTTCTCAACTGAAATGCTGAATTGGTCCAAGGAACAAAAATATCTAACATCGCAACTTGCACAGCCTCGCTACGAATTTTCAGTGTGGAGGCGCCGATCTCAACTCTCAGATGCGGAATGCAGCGGCAGCCTCCCAACAAGGGTTGTTGCATGCAGGCATGGTCACAATGGCATCTCTCGTTTCAAGAGCAGCTGATTGTGGCGCCACAGAGGGCACAGAGAAACTATTTTAAAAAGCGGCCCAAACATTGTTTGACAGGGAAAGTCAGCTCAAAAACAGAGCTAAATCTTCTAAGATTTGTCGTCTGGCTGCCACACGGGGGGCTTTAAGAGCAATCAGAGGAATTAATTCATCGGCGATTGAGGTGTCCCGGGTCCCGATGACACCGTGACACCGTGACACTACAGTACAACGGAAGAAGTACTCGGGACATTTCCTGCATGGAGACAAAAGTAGAAGTGTGCCTCATTGCGCGCGGCGCGCAGCCGATTCAACATCAGTTCCTCACTAGGCTCAACGAGGCACTAACCTCAACGAAAGCACGGGAGACCAGAAACGGGAGACCTCGTCCACCTCAGTAGTCGTTCAGACCCGCTTCTCGGGATGTCAAGAGTCAGTCGCGGCCGGGAACCCAGGCGACTCGGCCCGGGCGCGGACGGGTCGTGGGGGACGTTTTGGGAACTTGGAAGGCCCGCAAATCTCCTTTGGCGAAATAGCTCCCAGCTGCAGCCCCGAATCGACATCGCGAAGGACGAGAAAGGACTAACTTACGCCACAGTCCACACGATCTCAACGAAACGCCTCGGATATTAATACAGTAAATCCTCCCTGCCAAACTGCCAACTGTGCGGCAACGAGCCCCACGCCCATCCTGGATCGTAGACGCAAGCCCGGGTCCCGGGAGGTTCACACAGTCTCTGGTGGAGTTGGACGCTGCCCGAGTTCTCTGGCCAGAACGCGCGCTGGGAATCTCCGTGTTTGGTGGACAGGATCGGTCTTCTATCAAGATTAAGTGACTTGAGCCATCCAAGAATCCAGGTTGAAGGTTCGAGAGAGGGAGGGGTTTTCCAAACAAAATGATGTCCATTTTAACGACGAGATACCTGGTCCACTGACGATCATCGATTCACAGCGCATGAGCCGGCAGCAGGGGGTTCATGTAATAGTGGCATAAGATGATAAGCCACACAGAAATGGCACAAGGGAAGCTCCATCAGCGCGTGGTCATCAAGCCCAGAAGGCAGGGGACGAGAGTAACTTGAGGGGTACATCGGTGACTAAATTTCGTTTCGTCTCCCGGCATGAAGCTGCGAAATTGGACGATCCTTGTACCACTACATCGTGATACTTGCGCTGTAAGTGCTGGTGGCAGGCCAGCACAAAACCCCGCCAGCTGGATTGCGGGGAGAACCAACAGTTGTCTCTAATTCTCTGGATGAACTGAACCCATCGCGAAAGCTCTGAGCTCCAAAGCTCCAAAGCTCCCAGCTCCCAGCTCCAAGCAGCGCACCGCAAAAACAAAGCATAGATCTTTGCGCCTTCCCTCATGCCTGTACTGCGCTTGCACTTGCACCTGTTCCGCTTGCTAATCCCCGCCCTCGACATTAGCATATTAGCAGATTAATATTGATCAAAGGGTTGAAGCTCAACATCACGCGATTGCAATGCAATATGGCAAACATTCGCATTCCATCAACCCCGCTGGACGTGCTAGCCTTGTAGCTCGGAGCATCGACAAGGACATCAGCATTGCCCAGCCCCCCTCCCCCTAATACATCGTCTGCATGAACGCGCTGGACAAGCGCGTTACCCCGCGATTTTCGAGATGGGAAGCACAGCTTGCCAGCTCCCCTGGGCTAGGCTCGTGATTCCCCATGCAGCCAGAAGCTGCAAGCTGCTTTGGGACAGCAGGTTTTGGCAACTGGGAGTGCCAATCACGGCCCACAGATACCACCATTCATGCAAGATACTCAAATGAACTTAGACCTGCTCCAGAAGCGTTTGCCAGGCTGAGCTCTCGTTTGCTGTCCGGGCCGCACAGTGCACACCACCAGCCCCAGGGTGCGCTTGTACCACGCCCGTACCGCCACTATCGCACGCTCTCGGAGCCGTGCAGACCTCCACTCGCGGAATACTTGTACCAGCTTGACTGGAGCCAGTTGAAGCTCCGTCGAAGCTCCGGTCCCCCCCTAGCCCAAAGCCCTGTTGTTTCGGAGAAACATTTCAAGAACCCCCCAGCAACTTACCTTCTTGAACCTCGTTGAGTCGTTGGACTTTCCTTCCACCATTCCCCAACCCATGTCGCTCCAACGGTTACACAACGCCATGCTTTAAACGCAGGCTTGGGACTGGCGATCTTCGGTGGGCTAACATTGGGCGATGGAAGTCTGCACCCACACCTTTCCCGCCCGTGCACGCAGCAGTTCTAGCCGGACTGAGCATGGGCCCGAAAGAGTACTTCGGGGAGCTTCTGCAGCGGCGGCGACGGCGAAGAATCTAGCTTACAACGGGCCATGACAAGTAGTTCATGTCTTACCTTCACACTGCCGGCCCTGCCTGAAGGCGTCTAATCATGGAGGAAGGCTTGAGACTGGCCTCACCAGCCGCTCGAAGTACACCTCAAGTACCGCCTGTCCCGATCGCAGCAGACAGGCATTAAACTATTTCTTGCACCGGCTGCCGTTCCTTGTCAAAGTCTTTTTCAATGACATCTCATTACAGCGTTCTGCATGAGATGTACCACTGGGGTACTTAAATGTCCGAGTGGCCTTCGGACTTCGAAGTCATCAGATCACAACCATCGTACCTCTCTCTTCCTTCAGATCGCGCGCAATTACCCCCCTCAGTTGGATGCTACACGAAGATTTTGTTACCTATATTCCCTTGCTCGATATATTGCTGGTTGCTTCCCGACTGAAGCATTAGTTGGGTCAAGCAACTGCACGGCTCAGCAGCAAGATATGCAGGAAGAGGCATGTCGGCCCTGTTGACTAAAATCTACCCTATCCGAAGTACATGAGATCTCAAGTACCAGAAGTACCTGATACCTTCTGCACCCCAGTCTTCCAGCCTCATACGCGGACGATCTTCATCGGCCAATCCACACGCGAGACCAGCGGGTCCAGAATCGCGCACAACAAACTGGACGCTTCTCTCCCGCCTTCCTAATTTCACGTTCTTCAATATCAGGCGGATGCGCATCACTTTTACTCTCGTCGCCAATGTCTAAACGTGGAAACCAGACTGAACCCGAGACCTCTACTGCAATATTACCTTCCCAAGCTCGTCCTTCCACAGCTGACACATCAGTCAAGCCAGAAACCTCGTCGCCGACAGGACCACGAAACAAAAGACGCGCATCAGGATCCTTACCGACGCCTCTCCCAATGTCCGCACCATCCAGCTCTTCGGGGGCTCCCCCACCTCCTGGTGAACCTAGCATGACCGATTCCCCAATGCAGCCTCCGGCAAAGAAGAGTCGAACAAATACTCCCTGGACACCTGCTGAAGAGCAGAGGTTGAAGACCATGCGGGATGCGGGCAGTACCTGGGCAGAGATCGCAAAGGTGAGATACAAAACAATCCGGGGGCTGGGGTCGCACACGAGTTTCGGAACTGAACATGGACTGGTAGACTTTTCCAAGCAGAACCGAAGGATCCGTCAAGAAGCACTGGTACAAGGTAAGGTTCACTTTTAGTCCTGTCAAGGTTTTCCAGACTTACAAGTTACAGGATATGCATTATGCAGAATTCGCGGAAGATGAAGTAAGCTACTCATGGTTGCGATCAAGCAACAGTCGCTAACACTTGGGCAGAGTGTAGCTCTTCTCAACGCGATCAAAGAATACGAAAACAATAAGTGGAAGGAAATTGGCAAGAAGGTTGGAAAGCCTGCAAAAGTTGGTTGGCCTAGTCGTTTCCCATTTAAACCCTTGCGCTGACATTTACTAGGCATGTGAGCAATATGCTAAAGAGCATTTCAACAAAACATAGAGCTAGGCGAGCTGAAAAGAAGCTTTGCATTTTCGTCAGAAGTACCGGTGGCTCTCCGATCCGAAAATCTGGCAGGGCTTCGATTACACACTGCGGCCGCACACGCCTTTTTACGTACAAACCCTTGATGACAACGGCTCGACCTTTCCTTGTCTACTTCAAAGTGTTCAATAGCATCGACGGTGCGGCCGCATATATGGCTGGCGTAGGCGGGGAATTTTCTCTTTCGAAATCTCGGCGCTTCATGCACGTCTAATTCGCAAAAAACTTTTCGATTCTTCTCTCAAATGGTCTGATCTGGCTTCGTGATGGATGGAAAGGATATGCGGCTTCTTTCAGGAAGGTCTCTTGCATGTTTTGGGACTGAAATCTATGACAGGGAAGTTAGGGAGATGGGATACCCGGTGGAATAAAGGTGTTGATGCGGGAGGGATACCTCTTGAATTCGAAGACTTACCTTACCTGCCTCTGGTGGTTTACGTTGGCGCGTTTCCGTGAAAACGAGTGGTGTACTGGTGCGCCTTGGGATCCTACTAATTCCGGAAGTCTAAAGACAGGAAAATGCTGGATATTTATGGTTGGAAACTCTAATTCGGGTCATTGCATCCCTCGCATGCTTCAGGCCCTGCACCTTTCCGAAACTGGCCGCCACACCCGGTTCTTGGGATTAACCCTCCGGATTCTGAAGAATATGCTGTCATGATCTCCAGGAGAGAGATCCGCTGTCAGGTAGAGCCGGCTAGCAAACATACCAACATCAGACTCTCTTCCCCTTCCCAAAGCGCGGAACACGGCACTGGGAGTGTACCTGCAGAAATCGCATCAAAGACCTCAATAAATTCAGCCCCGCACCTCGTTTAAAGGCACGTGCCCGGACAGTCAGTTAACCTTGCTTTCGACTCGAAACTCGTTTTCCGTTAAAATTCCCACACCCTTGTCAGCCACAATTTCTCACTAAGAATTGCTTCTTCGTGGTGGCTTGCGGGGAACGACAACCGCAACTGCGTGAGACACTGAGATAAGAGCGCAAATCCAAAATATTGGAGGAGGGGACATCGAGCACATCGCAGGTCCTCCCGTGGCGGGGGCAACGGCCGCTGGCGTGGCTTGCAGGGGGTGGCAGGGAGAGGGACTGAGGGGAGCGTTTCATTGAGACCTCTTAGACCTTCCCATTCCTGATACAGTATTGTTTAGTTGCGCCAGCCTCGGGATTTGGACATGATGAGGCATTTGCGAATGTCTGACTCGTGGGTGTTGCCGCTGACTACAGAGCCGACCCGGTAGACAGACACTGCAGATGAGCAAGACACACTTCACTGCATCCTCGCGCAGTCGGAACCGAGTTGCATGGTATCTGAGGTTTGTTTCTGACTGTGCTCAATCAAGCTTATCTTTTCACACATCTCTGGAGGATTATTGGCGTCTGTGGAGCGGTGTCCAGGGAGCGAGCTGAGCTGAGCTTGGCTGGGCTAGGCTGGGCTGGGTTGTGCTGCACAGCATTCGTATATAAAACGCTCGACCTTCTCTCAACGACATCCCACGAACACCAAATTCGTAATCGTGCTGTTCTCGACACACGTGCGGTCACGGAAATGAAATCGCGTGTCCCGCCTCCATGATTGAGGTGCCGTGACGGCCGGGAACGACTTTTTCTTCGCGATGGAGCAGCCCATCAATACGAGATCGGCCTCCGCATTTTCCTTGGAGGACACCACCGAGGACACCACCGAGCACACTACCGAGCATACTATGTATGACACGGGCTAGATGGGTGACAATAATAGGACTGGTTTAGGAGAGGGGCCGCGATGATTGATTGGGCAGAGAGTGAGGAACGCCGTTTTTTGCAAGTGGCGAAATAATACTAACTCTTAAAGTCTTAGGAGTAGAACGATCGCCTCGGGTGCGGGCCTTGATTTGTGATTTTTTGCATCGCGTTGAGGTGTCTCTCTCCAGATGTGGCGTGGCTCCGTAGTCCACCAGCCCCTCCCTGTCCAGTCCAGTCTGGAGGCGATCGATCGTAAAACCCTGCTCCATTCCTCCCCCTCACAATTCTCACTCTTTCCGCATCGTTTGTCTTTCTTCACAACAATCCACTCTTACTCCTACGGACATCTGTTCCAATTTCCCTCGCTGGACTTTCATACACACTCGCTATTTCACATCCTCTACTCGCTCTTCTAATTCTCCCATCGCCACTTCTCTTAAGGAGGCATTGACTTTTTTCTGCAAGGGCCAGCCAGGGTCAAGAAAGGCTAAATCCGGGACGCTGTATTTCAAGGAAAAGGCGACTGAACCCAGGATCAAGCTTTTGGGGGATTACCATTTGCCATTGGGACTCCTTTCTACCTGCAACCGTCCGTTGGAAGTTATCTTGGCTCGTCTTGTATCTTTACTTCTTTTAATCAACGTCATTTTTGGGGAGGAGGCCACTGCGTCGTCAATCGCTCGACGCCATTTTATTTCCTAGCATCAATTTCAACGGCTTCTTGCATGCATAATGGTTCGAGCATCAACTTTCGTCTTCGCTTTGGCCACGGCCTCCACAGCTTTGGGGCAGGCTCAGACTTGTGATCTGAATAATAAATGTCCTCAGTCTACGCCCTGTTGCTCGCGTAAGTGGAACCCCTTCAACCGGGAATTGAAGTTGGCAGTGTGGGCTGACAGATGTGTTTAGAATACGGCCAGTGTGGTGTAGGAGCATATTGTCTGGGAGGTTGCGATCCTCGATCTTCATTCTCATTAAATTCCTGTACTCCCGCACCCGTCTGCGAAAGCAAAACATACACCTTCGAAAACCTGGACAGCGTCGCACCCAACAATAAATACCTCGGAGATGCATCAAAGGCGGATTGGGTCTCGAGCGGAAATCCTGTGCATTATGGGAGCGATGTGCTCCTGACAATGGCTCCCAGCACGGTTGGAACACTTCTTGCAAGCACGTCGTACATGTGGTATGGGAATGTCCAGGCCAAGTTCAAGACAAGCAGAGGACAGGGTGTTGTCACTGCGTTCATTCTCCTTTCTGATGTGAAGGATGAAATCGATTACGAATTTGTTGGGGCAGATTTGGAGGTTGCTCAATCCAATTATTATTTCCAGGGCATTCCTGTCTGTAAGTGAGATCAACGATCCCCCGATGCTAAGATATTAACCCCTGTCCAGATGTCAACGGAGCCAATACCACCATTTCAGACACTTTCCAGAACTACCATACCTACGAAATTGACTGGACTCCTGATACTATTACGTGGTTAGTGGATGGAGTGGTTGCCCGGACAAAGAAGCGTTCCGATACCTGGAATGCAACTTCAAACCAATGGGCCTACCCACAGACGCCTGCTCGCGTGCAACTTTCTCTGTGGCCTGCTGGGCTTTCTTCCAATGGCCAAGGCACTGTTGACTGGGCTGGAGGCTTGGTCGACTGGAACTCCGCTGATATTAAAAATAACGGATACTACTACGCCTCATTCACATCTGTTACGGTGAACTGCTTCAACGCAACTTCTGCCCCAGGCACCAACACGGGAGTCTCCTACACATACAACGGTTACTCAGGCACCAACGACACCGTCGTCGATGGCAAGAACGCCACCGTCCTTGCCTCATTCCTTGCAACTGGATTAGACATGGAACTCGGCGCCTCCTCCGGCACAGCCTCAGGAGCTCAACCTTCATCCACCGCGGAAACGATCCCAGGTCAAAGTGGCGGCAGCCCAGCCAATATTAACAGCCATGGGGACACTGGAAGCTCAGACTCATCAGGTTCAGGAGGGTCGTCCACTGTGACAGGCTTCGTGCAGGGCGCCACCGGCACGAGCAAGAGCGGCGCCGACAAGCTCGGCCAGGAGAAGGTAGTGAAGGGGAGTTTGTTCGCTGTCATCGTGGCAGTAGCCGCCATGATGGCTATGTGATGAGAAATGAGAAATGAGAAATGAGAAAACATGGAAAACATGCATTGGTTGGGTCATAGTTAATCTGAGTATGTTCTGGAATTGGAAAACGGAACGTGCATCGCGGGTTGGTGGGTATTAAATAATATGGCGACAACTTACTACTTAATGGCGTTGGCCGTCCACTCTTTTGGAAATGAATGCATACGCTTTGGCTGAAGCAGGAGAGGACGAGAGAGGACTTTCTTGTATATGTTGATGGGGGTTGTGGATGGGATGCTGAGGCAGAGTTTGCAGCTGTATGATGAAGGATGAATGAAAGAAATGGGAATTTGATCTGAAGTTAATTTAGTGTGTCAAACGTTCTGAGAGCAGGTCTTGAGTGTGGTGGTTTAGTTGACTCACTTCAGAATTGGGCTCGTTTCATGACTCACTAGTTGCCTGACTATCTGTTCAGAGAATCGGCCTTGAGTTCAGGGATCATAGATCAAGACTGTAGAAAGTTTAGTTTGAATATCGCACCTCACTTTTGCGGCTCACCTTTTGACTTCATTGTCGAACCGGCTTGCATTCAAGTGAACAATTTATCCCTCTCTTCGGATTTTCGTTGCACATCTCGAAGAGGATCGCCAACACCCGATTGGCCGGTCAGTAGCCTGGTCAAAAATCACATTCACTCTTTCTCTCAAGTGCTCCAGTTTTCGTTACACATCGTACATCTGCGTCGCTGCTCGCTTTTCTTTGACTTTGCCTTTATTGTCCGCTCTCTCAGGGAGATTCACTCTCGAATTGAATTAATGAGATCTCATTGTACCGGAAAAGTCCAGGAGCTTCATTTACATTGCCCGTTCTTGGTTTGCTGCACTTGAAGAGACTTTCAATGCTCGAAAGTTGTATTCCCCAAACCTAGAGACTCAGGAGTACTTTTCTTGGCACCACACAACCAGCGCCTTCATGTGTTTAGATCTCAGATCCAAAATCATGCATGCATGCATGCAGTCAGCACCACAGTATCCGTCTATACACATAGATTTCAATCTCCTCCGTGCGCCCAAAACGCCCACGCCATGCTCAAAAACCAAAAGAGGGGTACTCCCATGCTCAACACAAGAAATACAAAAAATCATGCAAAGGAATTCTAGCTCTCTAAAGCCATAAACACACTCCCACCAAGAACACCTCCCACCACCGCAAAGGTGAGGAAGCCGGCCGCAACCTTGTCTTTCGTCTCGATAGGCGCCGACCGATCCATCGCTTGACTCATCCCAATCCCAGGAGCCGTGATCCCCGCTGCCGCATTCCCGATACTCGTTCCTCCGGTACTGTTCGTGACCGGAACCACAGCTTTCGCCTGCGGGATCTGGATCAGCGCCGAGTTGATAGCGCCCAGCGCGCTCATCTGCTGCCCGACTCCCGTAGTGCCATCATAGGAAGATGTAGTCCACTTGAAGCCGCAGGTTGTGCCTTGGTTGCCCCCAGAACATGCTGCTGCAGCGGCTTTCGCTGAGGCAGCGAGGAGCGGCGCGATGGTTGTGAAGGTGAAGGGGGCTAGGGCAGTGGTCTGGGCTAGCCAGGCCGTGAAGTAGGCTTTGAAGGAGAGCTGGTCCGTGTCGCAGGTTCCGACCGTCTCGCAGGCTTGCTCTTCCATGATGCTGTTTGTGAAGAAGATGTTTGCGTTTTTGAGGAGGCCGGCAGTGCGTTCTTGCCAGGTTTGAGAGCCTTTGGTCTGGAGAGGGGTTAGTGTTAGGTTTGTGGTGGGGAAGGGAGGGAACGAACGTAGTTGAACATGTTGGCTGCTCCGTGGAGGAAGATGCCGGAGTTGTAGGTCCATTGCAGACGAGTGGTTCCCGTGCAGTTGTCGGTGACGGATGCGCCATCGAACACATTGTAGGAGGTATCGATTAACCCAGTTGCTGCTTCCCAGTCCCAGATCCTCTCCGCCCATTGGGCGTAGGTATCGTTGCTGGTGTAGCGGGCTAGCCTAGCTCCCAGGTTGAAGAAGCAACCGTTCGCAATACTATTCTTGTAGGTGAAGCCGTTGTTAAATTGGAAGATCTGCCATCTCAAACCACCACCGCAGCTCGAGGTATCCCACCGGGTTGCCATCTCGTTGAAAACTGCTTGCGCGAGAGCTAGCCACTGCGGTTGGTCCGGAGGGGGATTCTGGAAATTCGTCTCTGCAGCGAGCATTGCTGCCATGGCCCAAAACCCTTGATCGTCGTTTCCTTCGTCTTTGGTTTGGTTCACCGGCATGTAATCCCGATTATCGCTGGCTTGGAATAGCAAGGCTTGTGTGATCAAGTCGTTGTATGATGAATCCCCAGTCCGGGACCAATAGTCGATCATAGTCATGAACATTCCTCCAGCTTCCCACCAGAAATATGGTTGTGGTAGTAGCCCTGGAGTCATTCCCTACTGACATTAGTTCCAACTTCTCAGCGCCGCCAAGGAAGGTATTGACGTACTGTGTCGTTTCCGTTGTAGAAACTCATCAGTCCGTGGGCTACGGTGCTTGCCGCACTCTTCAATGAGTCTGCCATACATCATTCTGTCAGTATTGCTAAGTCTAAGAGGTACACCCGCGGGAGGTCGAGCTGCGTACCAGCCGAGGTGGTGTCAACAGTAATAGCAATCGCATTCTGGGCCAACAGTGCCGGCCATAACAAACTTGAAGTCCGCATTGTGATATAATATTGGTGGGTTCGGTGTGTCGTGAGAGAAGAGGAAAGATATCTGGGGTTGACGATTTAAAATGGAGCACCAGGCCAAGTGGAAAGGATCGTGGTGAAGATTTGAAGTTCAAAAATAGTTGATTAAAGGCCCTGTCAAAGGTGCGGATTGAGACGAAGAGAATGTACTCAGAAAAATAATGAAGGCAAAACACAACATGAATCAATTCTGGTTGCCCAAAAATAGAGTTGTTGAAAAGAAAGGATGACTACACGAGAAGTTTGTACACTCCACGGGAAGAGGGGATCAAGGACAAGCGCCTGAACCATTCACGGGAGCAGAAAATGAAAAATGGAAACGAACTTGCCCGATCCATTCACCCTATTCCATACTGAGATGCTGCCGCAGGGGTGTGGTGCAGTCAACACGAGGGTTGAAACCGTGAGAGTATCATTCTGCTAGACTTGACACAGCTCCTCGGACACCCAAATATCGGCCAGCCATGATCATAGCTCCGCCACTTACGGAAGAGCATTAGCGCCGGAGAAAGGACTGCAATTGGGACGAAGCAATGGCGGCGATGGACATCGTGTGTATCCACAAAAGCTTCGCATTGCTTGGTGATGCTTGTCTTTGTCCTGTTCAGAGGAAGCAGAAACGTTGGGAGTTCAGGGGTCATGGCTCTCGCTTATCTTTGATCACGTGGTTTCTACGTTAAGCTGTTGCTCTCTCCCTCTCTCTCTCTCTCTCGGTTTATAACCGCATCTCCTCTAGCCAGAAGAGGTCATTTTATAATTTCGAACTCATTTGCTATAGCATGTGGATCATATAGTCGTGGATAGCTTTGACGCCTCCCTTAAGTCCAAGCTCCGAGGCCTACGCCGGGCAAGGCACATTGCAGAGAAATATATCATTTGGCATCTGCTCGTTGCATAGTAAGAATTTTGAAAAGGTTAGTTTGTATGCATATTGTGCGAAGTCCTATCAGAGAGTTTCACCGCTGTTCGGTATTGAACTTTGACCTTGGGTCAACTTAGTACACACTGCATTCTTAACACTGTTAAATTCCGAGAATTCAGCCTCGATTTCGAGGATAGTGTCAATGTTCCTGATCTTTCGGATCCTTGAAGCGATATTGCGTCTGGTTTGGTTCTTGTAGTGCGGTTCGTTTTGCACTTTTCATGGTCATGAAATCATTTAGTTTCCCCCATTATGGAGAATCAAGAATGCATTAGTTTCTTAGGGTTACCAACTAATCTGAATACTTGAGCTGGAAAAGGTGTCTGCCTGCAGCCTCCAAAATATCCCTAGAATCAAGCCAGACGAGCTTCTTGTGCTATTACGAACAGCCAATGCAAGCTCTACCAAGCTCCAAATCCACACTTTTCCCAGCGTACGACAATCACGATGACTTGCCCTTTCCCTTTCCATTATCCAATACAAACATCTCAGGATTCCAGTCATAAGTCCGCCTCAGCCGCCTCCCCATGCGCATTGCAGCTCGAAGGAAGACCCTCGAGTCTGGCTGAGGTGCAAAAAACTGGATGGGGCGTATAAAACGATTGCTGAAGTGCCAAAGATTACCGCAGAGTTTCAAAGGCGAAAATTCCATTGCAGACATGAAGTAAAGAAAGTCACCCCAGCTTATGGCTTCCGGCCCATCCTCATCGGATGGCGTGTGGAAAAGGGCTTTGAATACCCGAAAAGCTCGCGGGTCAAGCTTGAACACCCCTTTCATGGTATCAAGGAGAACCGCCTGGCTTGCAGCATAGTTTGTTGGAGAGTTCTTGTTCTGACGCTTCAGAGAAGATATGGTCTTGGTAAGATCCTTAGCTTTTACCTTTACCTCATTACGTCCATCCATCTCAATGAAGTCTTCTTTATAGGGTTCAATCCACTCCGGCATGCGCTCCAGCTCGTGCTTGACTGAAAAATGATGGGCGAACGTTTCGTTCAGTGCTTTTCCTGTCATCGCCTCATATTGCTTGTCCACCTCTTCCCAGAAAATATCAAGATTTTTCTCTGCTCTCCACATAGTTATAGCATTATCCCTAGTTTGATGTTGATCGCATGGGTAGGAGAAATCTGAGCGGAAAGGGTGGCCAACTTTGTTAAGAGTAAAAGACAACCGGTGTCGGCCAAACTCGAGCACATGTGAATAGAGTTGAGGCAGCTGCCCGATGATCCAGATGTCACTTGATTGATCCGATTTGAACTCAGCGGCCCATGGATGATAATTTTCGATTTCATGCTGCATGAGCACACTGAGCCCAAGATCGGAAAATTGCCCAGCGACTAAGAGGGATATTCTTTCCTAGGTGGGGGAGTCAGCTATTGCTTGATACAGAATGTTCTCGGGGAAATGGGGACATTGTTTCCCACGTTTTGTTCCGGCTGAGCAAATACGAGCTTCTCCATTTCGTCGACCAGATCTTTATGGCCGTAGCGGTGATACTCGTCATCATTCTGTAGTTTAAGGTATACCCACAGCAGTGGATCACGCTCCTCATCAATATCACATCGAATCTTCGCCATCACTTTCCCATTCAGGTTCTCACGTTCCCAGAGGTTCCGTACTCGTGGAGATGCAGGTAGCATGTTATTCATGTTCGTGTGTGGGTTTTTGCTAGAGTGAAGTAGCAGACCTCTAAGCAGCTGTACATGTTTTCTGTACTCTGGTGGCAATGGATATCTGGGGTCAAGTTCTCTTGCATATTTCTTTTGAAGACTTATCACAAGCCGGACTTGTTTAGCAAGAACATCCCAGACGGCAACGGCACGGTAAGCATTGTCCACCACGGTTGACAGCGTTCGGTCCCAGAATTGAGGGTTATCGTAAGTCCAATGAACATTCCCTATAGAATCGAGGATGAGTTCTGCTCGATGTTCGCTGTACTGAAGAACAGTATCCTGGAAATATCCCGGATCCTCCCTCAATGCCCAGATATGGTCTTGCGCAGCAGAATACCTGGCGTTTATAAAGTCTTTCAGGCGGTAGAAATTGGTTTCTACAGGAATTACGTAAGGAGCGTATGTAGCTAGGATCTCGATGGTTGGCCACTGGGAAACGATCACAACGGGCCCCAGCCTTGGTCCGATAGGAAATTGGCTAACCAAAACGTCTGCTGGCTTGTTGAGGACTGCTTCACACCACTTGACAAGAAATTCCATCACTTGTTCCTGAATTTCCAATATCAACATTCCATCACCAGGCTTGAAGCCGGCTCTCGGGTTGCTGTTGTCACCCCAAGCCACCAGCTTGCCATAGGATTCGACGGTCTCTCCGTCTAGGTGCATTGTGTAACCATTCAATTTCAAAGGGGGGACAATCGTGTCAGTGTCAAGCCCTAGACGGCAGAATTCCAACTCGTGATCGACGAACGTGGCAGGGGAGTAGCGAGCGCGGGTGTTGAGTAAGCAAAGAATAGGTTTGTCGCGGATCAAGTCCTCCATGTTGATGTATGGCCATATGAAAGTGTTCACTGGCCTTTTGACTAATATTCCCTCTTCTAAAAGTTTCTTCTTTTCCGTCGCAAGGTGGTCGATGTCCGGCCTATGGCACAACGGCATATTTGGATACCAAGCCTTGGATAAAATTGTTTTCCTCCATACCTTCGTCTTTTTGATCCACCGTTTCCGCAAGGAGTCCTCGTGCCGGTCCAAGATCTGTCCCAGCAAATTCCAGTTGTACAAGAGCAAGGAAGAATGTCCTGCAGCTTCCAAAGCTACTTTCCCGGCCAGCTTCTCGGTTTCCGGCCCAGCGGCGATCTCGACCCATCCATCTGGGTTTGTTGGGGCAGATTCTATCGGGGTCATCTCCATTTCGACAGTTGGCGGAAGGATGGACTGGACGGTAATATAATTGGCGTAAAAGTTGATATTTCTGCGGGATTCTGATACCAATAAATTTGCCCGGGCGTTTCTGTTGGGGAAGGAAAGAGAGGAAAAATCGATTCAAGTAAAGAGCGCTTGGATTCCGAGTGCAGCGGCTCCTAATTAGGAAGTGACGATGGGTTAAGATTGCTTCTTCCGAAAGCTGCCACTCCCAATAGTCCCCGCCCTTCAGATTATGCCGAATATCCCGAGATACACCCAGGCAACAGGACTGACGAGAACCGAAGTAATTGAACAGTAATATGATATTCCACTGGAACCTACTCGTACGTACTAGGTGACCACAATTCTCGAGATCCAATGCTGTAGTGTCTGGTAGGCATCAAGTTCGATAATTCGTCATATGATGGACTCTTGTTTTGTTCCATTTGGAAAAACCTCTTTCTCTTCGTCTTGCTCCTCGTCCTCGTCCTCGTCAAGATCTTCCAAAGGAAAAGTCAGAATCGCGGCAATGCCACCCAAGCCCTCTAACCTCACTCCACTCTCATGATCACTGCTCAATATTCTTGCCTCGCCTCCATCTTCTTTCACCTTGTCGACCAATGTCACCCAACGTTTCCTTGTCCCGATTTCTTGGCTCCTGAAAAGAGCATTGCTGATTAGTAGCACTCCTCCTCCACGTCCGACAGCACCCTTCTCAACAGCTTTTTCGACCTCCGTCGGTCCATACCATGCTCTGCCATCATCCTTTCGAAGCAGCGTCATGAAATCATCCATAAATCTGGTTTCTTTCGAGTACTTCGTATCCTTCAACTTCGTGAGGACTTCCGGGCTTTTCAGCACCTCGTTCAAACTGTGAAGATGTCCCGAACTCGAATGGACCACAACAAGGTTGCCTTTATTGGCCAACACAGCCTTGTCTCCAAGCCGAGTCGCCTCATCCATGATATATTTCTGGAATCCCGCTGCTGTGAATCCAGGACTTGCAAGTAACAATGGCCTTGGCAGAGTAATGTCGACATGCCGCTTCAATGTCTCTAATGTGACCTCGAAGAACTTCGTCATCCCTTTATCATGATCGCCTGCTCTACCCGACCGCTTTTTGGGTATCCCTGTCTCGATTCGCTGCTTCAGAATAGTCTGATGTTCTGTAATGAGGCAAATATTTGCCAAACCTTCTTGCATAACAACAGCTGGTACTGTCCCTTCTTTGTCCTGCTTTATGGCCTCCCTCACGACGTCCAAAGCTACCGAGTCCCAGCCTTCCTTCTTCTCAAGTGTGAAGTTCCTGTTTAACTCCAGGTCGAGAGTATGATGCGCTCCGACTCCCACCCACTTGTTCTCCTCCGCCACTTTGCCACCGACATGTAACTGTCCTGCTTGCGGGTCGAAGTCGATGGATGTGACGCGGATGAGAAGAGTGACATGCACCCTTTTTGAGGTTGTACTGCCGGTGACACCTTCAGTAGTTATTTTGCGGATGGCAGATGCACGTAGAAGGTCCGTGGGGGCAATGAGGTTGTAGGCATGCCACTGTGCGGATGTAAGCAACGTGAAATGATCAGGGGACAGCTATGTAGCTCGTACCATGTCCTCTGGCTCTTCGGGGAAGAGGGTGATGGTGCCCGAGCCATCACGCTCGATATTCTGCTTGATGAGGCGCATTTCGTACCGAGATCTCTGCAGATTATGGTATGGAGTTTAATAATGCGAGTAAACTTTTAGAGGTGCTAAGAGCTATTTGACCGAGTTGTCGTCTGTTTGTGAATCGAAAAGGAAGAGTAGTCGCGTAGACATTTGGTCGAAATATGTGGTGGGGTAAATTTGTGACGTGGTGAATGGAAGTACTAGTAGTAGATCTGGCCAGTCAACGTGCAAATAAGGTACAGATATGGATTGGCTATGCTTACTTCAGTTTGGCATGCAGCTTATTCTTTGGTGGAGCGGAAAAAACCCAAAGTTTGAAAAGAGAGCCTCAATCTCGAGTTTCATGAACGAAGGTCACATGACGTCAACCCCTCTTTGACAAGCAACTTCGAGACTGCTCGTGGAGTTATCTGCTCTTTAAAAGGTCGCTGAGATTTTGCGATGTTTAGTTGCTGTGGGATCCATAGCTGATATGAGATTGGAGCTCTTGCAACGGCAAATATTCCACGGAATTCAAGGTCTTTTGCTACTTCCGGCTTCATGCTGCACACTGAAGTCCTTCCTTGTTTGGTGTGGCGTCAGAACTGGGATATGATTTGAAATCGACAAAACCCTCCCTGATTTTTGCCTTATCTCATCTTCTTTCCATCTTTTGAAATTAGTTCCGATCTTCCACCAAAACCAAACGAACAACAGCCCTCTCCAGCAAAGCAATGGCGAATCTTACTCTCAACTCAAAGGTCCAGCTTAATAGCGGTTACGATATCCCACGGTTGGGATTTGGTGAGCAGCATATTCCTTATTTATGATTCTCGTGCTGACCATGAAGGGGTCTGGCAAACGTAGGCATGGCCAAAATCGAGTCTCCTAGTTTTGTCACTAATATCCATGTGAAGCCCAACAGATATTTGTGAAGAAGTCGTCAAACATGCATTCAAGTCTGGTTACAAACACGTGAGGACGACCCCTTCTAGAGACTTTCCAAATCTAGCGCTCTTCCTAAAGCCCTACAGGTCGATTCTGCAGCCGCCTATCGCAACGAGGCTCCATGCGGCAAGGCTATCCTCAGCTCTGCACTCAATCGTGAAGATATATTCTTCACCAGCAAGGTTCCTGCTCGCGCATTGAGCTACGAGAATACCCTTGCTCAGGTGGAGAAGACTTTGAAGGAGACCGGGCTTACTTACATCGACCTTATGCTCCTTCATGCTCCCTATGGAGGTCGAGACGCTCGTAAGGGTGCTTGGAAGGCTTTGGTTGAAGCGCACAATGAGGGCAAAATTTGCTCTATTGGAGTCAGCAATTATGGTGTTCACCACCTCGACGAGATGGAAGAGTACATTCAAGAACTGGAGAAGGAAGGCAAAGGCAAAGGCGGTGTGATCAGTGTCAACCAACTTGAAATTCACCCTTGGTTGCCTAGAACTGATATTGTTGAGTGGTGCCAAAAACGAGGTATCGTCGTTGAGGCTTATTCTCCTCTTGTGCGTGGTGAGAGAATGGAGGAAAAAGTGTTGCAGCCTCTCACGAAAAAGTATGGAAAAACGGCAGCACAAGTGCTCTTGAGATGGAGTTTGCAGAAAGGACTTGTGCCTCTTCCAAAGAGTGTTACTCCGTCCCGGATCGAGGAGAATGCCAACATCTTTGACTTCGAGCTGACTCCCGAGGAGATGAAAACATTGGAGATGGATGAATATTCCCCTGTCTGTTGGGATCCTACAATTGCGAAGCTTGAGCAATAGGTGTTTTTGTGTATCGATCAAAGGATCTCCAAAATTTCGAAGGTCAGTTATAATCTAAGTGGAGCAGCTTTACCTGTTTATTTTATTACCATTTTATTACTAAACTTGGACGTGAGACCGTGGTTGGCAGTGGTTGGCTTACAAAAAAGCTCCTGAAGTACTTGACTGATCCCGCATAGGACACAAAAAGCGGCACTAATTTTCACTGTCTTTTGTCAAAGTTGCACATTTGGAGGTTTAGTACCCTAGTTCGAGAACCTCGAGATTTTTAGAAGGTGAAGACTTTTCAATGTACAACGAACCCAGAGACCATTTAGACTAGAAAGCGGTTAAACTGTCCAAGTACATTTAGTGCCGCTTTTTCGTCCATGGCAAGCTAGTCTCTCCTCTTCGATGAAGGTCTAAATATATCTCCTCACGATTGGGATATTAATATCTAATCAGCGTTCTCAATGCAATGAGGAAACCCGAATCTTGATAATAGTAGGTTTGCTTGAAGCAGGACACTTACAACGAATGATTGTGAATTTGTACCAAAGAATCAGTAGTGAGCGTCCAGGCTGAAAAAGCTTCACTTGCGAGTTGCTGATCCGTAAAGGTCACCAGGGGTGACTTCCAAATCCACTAACAGGCCCAGAAGTTAAGTTTCATGCCTCGAATAAATACTTTTGCATGAGTGAAACAAAACAGTCTCATTGTCCCCCCCCTTTAAAAACCTTTGGGGGGTTTTGGATAAGTCACCAAAGGTTGTCAATATTTACCCCGCGTTTAGACGCGTCCCCTCCACCAATCGCAGATCGCCAACCGAAAATCCAGACTTTCGTCTCAACAACATTTTGACCACACTGATTGTACTCATTTCTCTTTGATTGCGCCAGATGCCGCGACAATGGCCGGTCGTCAGCGAACCTTCGAGCTGATACCTACGACGCTGGCGAAGTCCCATGGCAACCAGCCGACTTATATGACCAGCAAACAGGTCAAGAAAGCATACCAGGAAGCGAATCGGGGACCGAGGATATCGAGAGCAGAGCAGCGCCGACTGGACGCCGAGGAGCTACAGAGGCAGAACAAGGAATATGAGAGGGAAAGAGTTGCAGCCAAAGCCAAAGCTGCCCGGGAGAAGAAGGCGGCAAAGGAAACTGCGGATAAGGAAGCCAGAAGGAGGATGAGGCTGCCGGAACCCAGTCGATTCGTACGAGCGAGCCAGCCTACAATATCGAAATTCGTCAGGGGTGGTAACAATGGGAAACGGTCGTGGCAGGAAATGAAGATGCATACTTTGGAGGAGGACTCAGAGGGTACATTGTCTGAGAGTGGGTTCGGGGAAAAGGACGATGCCCAACCTCCTGCAAAACGAGTTCCGGCTGAGGATGACTCGGAGGATGAATTTGGAGACTTTCCATCTCTATCGCAATCAGACCTGCTAGAGAAAATCGACAGTTCAATGGTATCTTTAAATGGTGCTGGAACAGGATCTCCGGCTGTGGTAGCAAAGCAACCAGCCCTGCCACCCTGCCAAGAACCATCGCAAAGCCTGCCCGCGAGGAAATCTTCCGAAGATGAATACCCACTGGACAACTCACAACTTGTTGCGGAGATGGTCAACACTCAGCTGCTGTCGGAGGCCGCGGAAGCAGTCCAAAGGTCGGATGGTACAGAACTCCCTGTGCCCAAGCAAACCACACCAAAGCCAACGCTTTCAAAGAAGCCACAGCAACAAGTGCAGCCAATTCCGAGGGACATTTTACCCAAACCGACAGATGCAAAAAACCAGAAGCTATCAGTATCCAGATCTGCAGACAGTAATAATGCCCGCACCAAACCTGCAAAGCCTACTGTGGTTTCTAGACCAGTTTTGCAAGAAGTATCCACCAATATGCCACCTCCACCAATCCCTCTCAAAGAGAAGAAGGCCATATCATTCGCACCATCGCCTCAAAAACATAGATCTCTACTCCAAATAACCACCAAAACGACCAACAAACCAAAACATATTATTCCTCTATCAGGGACTCAAGTCTTCCTAGAAAATCATCTTGACGACTTCTTCCCCAGCCCGACCCAAGAAATCCGTGAGCTCCTCTCCGATGTAGACGACCTTCCTTCAAACACACAAATAGCACGAGAGCTCAGTCCAGATTCCCCCAAGGAAGATTTGAACAGTTTGCCACCCAACAGAGCAACAATGAGATGGCCTAATCTGAAGCCTATAATAGAGGAGAACGAATTTGACAACTTGATATGCACTCAAGACCTCATTCTGTCTTCGCAAGAGCTTCTTGAGATCACGACGCCAAGTCGACCACCGCCAAAGTCACACGTTGAGCCCGAGCCAGTGAAACAAAAGCCAGTTCCGAGGCCAAAACCGAGATTTTTCGAAGAAAAAGATGATGACATCCTTCATGCTGTATTACATGAGAGCAAGACGAACGCTATTCGGTCACATCGTCCAGCACCCCAAACAAGAGAGACGAAACGCCCCTTCTTTGAGGAAAAAGAAGATGATTTACTTGCGGCTGCTATTTACGAGAGTAAGATGATGGCGGGGAAGCAGCAGATGGTAAAGGTACCGCTAAAAGAGACGAATGAGAATGAGCGGAAAGAGAGGACGCTGAAAAGGAGAATTTCAAGCGCTTCGACGGACTATGGAGAGGATGAGTTTAGTGGGGAGGAGTGGGAATCGTTGGTGTTGTGATTACGTTTCTGTTTTCTTTATATGGTACTTTGCGTAAGGCAAGCATGGGTTGGATGGCAGCATTGGGAATTCTAGGCATAGCATGGAAGTGAAGCATGGTTGCATGGCAGCATTGGGGCGGAATGGAAAGGCATTGGTACTGTATATTTGGGAAAGGATTGCTGCATTGTTTCTTTGTATTGTTCGGAGCATTATAGAAGGTTAGGAAGGAAACGAAGATACCCATAGCATTTTCAGACGGAATGGCAAGTAGCATATGGAACGGCATATTCAGATCCAATGAGACTCGTTGCCAGTGAAGCATTTGAGGCAGTAATTCGAAAGTCGACAATCTTTCATTCATTGCATAAAGTAAGAAGAGCCTCTCAATCGGTCTTGGGGTATGCTACTCTCATCGAAATAAACTAAAAACAAGAAATCCAACAGAAAACGGGATATCAAGGCTAGGCGTGATACCCAAGCAAACTATCTATTCTTCCCATATCATTCATCAAGTCATGAATCATCTAGTCAATCATGAACCATCTATCCGCGCACACAATTCATCAACGTCTCATTCCCTTGGATCAAGCTCGGGTTCTTCTCAGCGATGAACTTCACGGTTGCGATGACCTTCGCACGTGTGGGGATGTCGAGCTGCTCCACGGGGTCGCTGAGTACTGAAGTGAAGATTGGGAGGAGCTTCGGTGTTAATTCGATGATTGAAGAGTTTTGTTGGGAGTCTAGCGGGTAGGGTTAGAGGTAAATATTAAAAGGACGAGAGGAGAAACTTACACAACCCAGCAATACAGTCGAAGATTGGGGTATTCTCTTCATAGTCTTCAGTCAATGGCAACAAGTCGACCATGACTGGGAGAATGTCGTCAACAGGAACCTTGTCTTGGTGAGCCATGATCATACGGGAAACACATCCACAAGCGTTGTCAAGTGTTCTGGCGCGGCGGGTCTGAAGGAGAGGCTCGAGCTTAGACAGGATGGTGTTGAAGCTGGGGAGATATGCGGCCGAATTGGTCGAGTGGAAGATTAAGAGGCCGATAGCATATGCGGCGTTTGACTTTGTCTCTGGGTCCTCGTCCGAGAGTCTGTGCAGGAGAAGCTTGAGAAGCACTTCGGTGAACGGAGCGACCCCGGCTCCCATGTTTTTCGTGCATTCTGCGATGACACCGACGGCTGTTGACCGCTCATAGTTGGTTTGCGAAGAGGCATACTTCATGACTGGCTTTTGGTAGATCTTCCACACTTCACTGAATTGAGAGCCGAGAGCCTTGGAGACACCAATAATCACATCAAGGGCGGTATCGATGACAAGCCAATCATACTCGGATGATTCTTCATCGTCTAAGCCTTCGTGATCATCGTCATCGCCCATGTCTTGTTGGCAAGGATGAGCCTTCGAGATGATCGCACCCATGGTGGTGGTCATGCTTTCTGCGAATTTGTCCTGAGTGAGGATGGCGGGCCCGCAAAGCTTCAGCGTGGCGGATACATTCCGATTTATATCGGTGACAACAGCACTACAAGTTTACATAGTCAGTAAACCTATCTCTTCATGTTGCAAGAAAACAAGGTAAAATTGATGGTTGATCAGAATGTTGATACGCGTTCGCAGCATTGGCAACTTGTGCCTCTGAGTGAGCTGGGTATAACGTCATGTTGTTCATCATTTCAAATGGAGGGAAGAAAAATTTGCAATGCATACCGATCAACTTCGTCATCCCAGACGGAGAGCGTTGCAATTGAAACCACCTCGCCGAGCTTGAGGACCTCTTCAGAGGGTTGAGACTTGAGAGGCAAGCCTGGAGTCCATTTCTCTCCGGTGTGGTCCTCCATTAAGCCGAAAAGGCAGGCGTATGATCGCCACAAGGTACCTATAGCTGCTTTTCGTACTCCTTCGTACGAGTGTTCAACCAAGCCAACCGTGGTCTCGACAGTCTTCTCAAAATACGGCATAAAGTGCTGACGGGTGTTCGATAGGACATCTCCAAGCACTTCAACTGCAACTTCCTTCTCCAAGGCAACTGCAGTGACAGCCGTGAGATCATCCCAATCATCGTCGTCATCATCGTCTCCCATCTCATCGAGATCATCCGGAGCATCAGTTGCAGAGGCAACCTTCACCTTCTTCCCTGCAATAATGACCTCCTGGCCAAGAATGTCCTTTGCCTCTTCTCCCAATTCAACCTCAATGTCAGATTCCTCTTGCTCCAAACTCTCCATAAGGCCCTTAACCACACCGTCAAGAAAGGGTGTGAATTCTTCCTGATAGACTTTGGCAAGTGTGCTCCAAAGGATGTAACTGGTCTCCCGTAATCGAGGGTGTCCCAAGTGCAGTGCTTCCTCACTGGCTTGCATCAAGGGCTGAACGTATGGTTGGAAAGCCTTAGCACCAACAGCTGTAGCCATGCTGCCCATAGAATCGCAAACGGTACCTCGAAGGTCAAGTTCTTCTGTGCTCTCCTTGAGGGTGACATACTCTGATAGAGCTTTCATTGTTGTCTCGAAGTATGGCAAGAAGGCGTCCATAGCAGAACCAGCGATAGATCCCATTGCACCAGCAGCACTTGCTTTGACATTAAGATCTGTGTGGCCGAGTAATCTACCAAGACGAGGGACCAGTTCAGGAATATATCCGACGATTGTTGCTTTATCAACACCTTCAGTTACTGAATCTAAGGCACTGCAAGATGCTTTCAAAATATCAAGATTCTTTTCCTGATCGGCTGCATTTGCTGCTTGGACGCTGGCAGAATCGAGGTTCTTAAGCAGTGCTGGGATGAGTTCAGCGTGATGCTTGCACAACTCTTCTGCAAGATCATCGGCTAGTCTTGCAACCCCATTGAGAGCAGCATTTCGGACACCAATCTCGGGGTCATTAAGAAGCTTCAGGACTATCGGCATCAAAGTGTCGAGCTGAGTCGCAATGAAGTCTGGAGCGCCTTCTACACACATGCCAAGTGCCAGAATGCCAGCTTGACGGTATTTGGGCTGCTCACTGTTGACATATTGTGGCAAAGCCGCCAAGAGCGGGACAACGACTTGACGCGGAGGCAGACTCGTAGCAAGCAGGTCCAAAAGGCCAAGGGCCGATTTGTGTGGAGTGACATCGTCATCATCTTCCTCGTCGTCAATTTCTGTTGCGATCTGCATGCTCTTCAAAGTCAGAGTCTCTCCCATGTCTCGGATAGCCTGGATCTTCATCTTTCGGTATCTGGCGCATTGCATCAAGAAAGAGAGAGCCTGTGACCTAGATTCGTCCGGAATATCGGTGTCCGCGGCGAGGTTGATCATGAATGTCAGAAGGTCTTTGAAATGCTTGTTCAGAAGAGCAGATTCGCAGCCAAGAAGTGTCTGGAAAACCTCGAATGCTTGCATAACACGTTCCTCATTTTGCTCATCCACCGAAGACTTCAAGACACCGACCATGCCAGGGAAGATCTCCACGAACCGGGCCAAGTTCTCTGGATCTTCATCCGGCTGGATTAACATGGCAACTCTGCTCAGGCACAGCATGGTATTGATGCGAACTTCAGCACTTTCTGGATCTTTGATAGTGTTGCTGAATAGCGAGAATAAACCAGGTAGTTTGTCTTCGAATGCATCACCTGCTGTCTCTAGCAAGGAAAACAGAATAAAGATGCCGATTTCACGGTGTGCGACTTGCTTGGACGTGGCAGCCTGATGAAGGAGGCCCGGGAGCGACTCCCATTCACCATCCTCGAGATCATTTCCTGCAATAGAAGCAATCACACGGGCAGCAGAGTGCCTAACCAGGGGTTTCTCTTCGCTGAGGGTTGACTCCAAAAGCTTCTCACGAATCGCTGGCTTTTGGTCTGCCGGCAAGGAAGACCAATGTTTGGGGATCAAACGTTGAGCTTCGACGGCAGCCTGTTGGCGGAGTTCGGGGACATCATGAGATGTGAGGATGTGCAACAACCACAAGAGGGACTGAGGGTGAGGGTAGTAGGTCTTTCGCAGCTCTGTCGTTGCAGCCTTCACTCGGTTGGTGTCCGCTATTCAGATGTTAGCAGACTGAGCCTGGGTGGACATCGAAGCTTGGACGCACGAATTTGAATACTCTGCAAGAGCTCGAGGAATTTCTGTTGGTCCATGTTGACCTGCTGTACGACTCCACGTTCGTACCAACAAGGGCGAGTATAAGGGATAGCACGATGATGTTTCGAGTTCAAGACATCGAACGCGACGTGGAGGGGTTGCTGGAAAAAATAATAAAATAATTTCTTGAGCGCCTTAGCCAGCCAATTAACCGATTTCCAAGGTCAATGCACACCCCAAGCGAATGCACACCCTTTTCCCACCAAAACTACCCATTTTTAGACCTTAATAATTAAATAACTAATAAGTAGATTACCCTTAAAATTTCCATATTACTAGTTTCATATATATTAAATAAGACTATAATATAAAGTTTACGTAATATTACATATTACGTAATTAATATTAAGCTTAAAGCTTATAAATTACTAAGTTTAATATTATATAAATAATTTCATAAATAAGATTAATAAATAAAAACTACTTAATTTTATATTAATAATATAGCTTATAAAATACATTTATTAAGAAGTTTTATTTATATACCTTTATAATAGAAAGATTTATTCAAAATAGTAATATTTTTAAAAATTTGTTTACTAATTATATTATAATAATTACTTTTTGATTTTTTAATAAAAACTATTATTCTTTATATATTAAAAGAAAATGAAAGAAGAAGTATTTAATTATATAAGAGTTTATAATATATTTTGAATTTTAAAATTTATAACCTTAGTTTTTATTTAAAATAATTATATTATATTAAATAAAAGTATTATTTATAAAACAATTTATATAATATTATAAATTAATATATAAAGTATTAAAAGAATTAAATATATTATTAAAAATAAGCTTATATATATTCATATATTAAATAAAAAATCTAGTATTATTTTTATTAATTATATTATATTAATTATAAGGTTATATAAACATTTTATATAATAGAATAGTAGCTTTAGATTAGTTTTATATAAGGTAACTTAGCTCTTTATTTTTTTGGTTTTTATTTCTTAATTTAATCTTTTTTTAAAAAAAAAATTTATAAAAAAAATTAAATATAAAACCAGAATTTTACAACTAATATACTATTCTATATGAAAATAATAGCCTTAATTTATAATTATATATAAGATAAAGTAAACTTATAAAAATTAAGTTAAAAACATTTATAAATATAGAGATATTAAGTATTAAATTAAAGTATTTAAGATTCTTAAAATTTTATATAAAAGCCAAGTTTAAATAATCTTAAAATCTTAAAATATCTATATTTAAAACAAAATAAATACTCTATCTTCTCCTCTTTCCAAATATAAAAGAGTTATATTATTATCTTTAATAGTTATTTAGTAAATAATTATTTAATATTATGTATTTGGCTAAGATTAGGGTGTGCATTCGCTTGGGGTGTGCATTGACCTTGGAAATCAGTTACGTAGCTAGAAGGGTTCACCCACCAACCGCCCAAACCCCCATTCCGCCCAACCAAAAAATCATCGCTTTTCATCATTAATTACAACACAACCAATTAATGAATTTTATTGATTTCGACGCCATTTTAGTCGCATTTAGTCCCTCTTCAAATCTGGCACCATATCTATCAAGAAGAAACCGATTATCGACTACCCTAATAACCCTGACAAGATACCGTATTACGAATACTTGGAAATAGCTTGGGAGGCCTATATTAACTCGAATAGGAAGCTATTAATACGAAAAGTAGCTAAATACTACAGGGTTAAATAGGAGACTCTGCGAGATCGAATTAATAGTAATATAATATATAAATAAGCGGCAGAACTATAGTAGTACCTGATTCTAATAAAAGAATAAATAATTAAATAATATATTATATAATTTAAGATTTAGGAATAGTCTCTAATAGTTTCCTAGATTCAGAAAATAGTAAAGAAGTTTTTAATTATAAAGGAAGATCTATAGAAAGTTGGAATTAACTAAATATAGAAATATCTTAAATATTATTTATAGCTTAAGGCTTAATTTATTACATTATTAGATAAAGATTAAGTTATCTTAAAAAATCTAAATTAAATTTAATAATTTTTTAAACTTTTCTAAACTATAAAAAATAAATATAATATTTATAATAATAATATATTTAATATAAATAAGAAAGATATTATAATAGAAATATTAGTAAAACTTAAAATTATTTATTTCAAGAAATATAAAAAGATAAGAATAATATAATAAGGAAATAAAGAATAGGTATTATTAATTAAATATATATCTTTAAATAAAAAAGTATTCTCTATATATATTATCTTTAAGGCCAAATAGCTTAATAAGGCTTAAATATAACGAATTTAGGAAAAATAAAAAGGAAACTTATATTATTTCTAATTAAAGTTAGATAAATAATAAGCTTTACCTTAAATAGTTTAAAATTGTTTTTAAATTAGAAACTATAAAGATTAAAAAAATAAAGTATTAAATACTACTTTTTAATAGCTATAAATCTCACTTAATATATTAAGTAGTTTTTTACTATTTAGAAAAGAAAATTATCTTACTTTATTTTCTTAACTATTTTATATATATCTTTTAATTATATAATATTAGTATTTCTGAATTACTTATAAATACTTATTATAAGATTCTTATAGAAAAGACTTAATAGGAAACTAGATATTCTATTAATAAACTTATGTTTTTAGAAATTCTTTATAAGATACGAATTTAAGCCTTTATTAAATATAATATTAAGAGATCTTAGGAAAAAATAAAGCTCTTTTTATTTAATTCTAAAGTTATAATTAGCTTACTTTTAATAATTATTCTATAATAAGAAGTAGCTAAAATAAAGGCACTTCTAAAACCTCCTAATTAACTAACTATATTTAGATAACTAGCTCCCTTAATTATTAAAACTCCTATTAATATTAGTATTATTAAAGTTATTATTAAAGTATTTTTTAAGTCTAGCTTTAATAGCCTTAAAAGTATACTTGAAATAATTAATTTATTATAAGATTAATAGCTAAAAAATCTAGAGATTATAATTTAGAAGCTTAGTAATTCTATTATTACTATAATTATAAAAATAGTTCTTACTAAAGAAATTAATTAAGAGCTTATTAAATTATCTAATTATTAAAAGATTTATAAGAAAGCTTTTATAAAAGCCAAAGACAAGATTACTAATATAAGAGTCTTAAGCTTAAAAATAATAAATAAAATAATATGAATTAAAGCGAAATAAAAGAAAATAAAAGCAAAAGAGCTTATAAAGTAAAAGAGACTCAAGGCTATTTCAAAGTAGTAAAAAAGCCTTTATAATTAAATCTTAATTAAATTCAGGAAATAGAGCCCTAAAATCCTTTAGGAAATTAAAAATAATATAAATCTTAAGTATTAACTATTAATAGAAATAAGTTTATTAAAAGCTTTAAAAATATTAAGATATTATATAAAGAAAGTATTATTAGTAAGCTCTTTAATTAAGTATATCCTTCCTTATATTAAGTTTAATAATCTCTTTAATTTTCTTATAAAAGTATAATTAACTAATTTTCTTTCTTTTATACTTATAACTTCTTTCTATTTCCATTTTATTAAAACGAAGATCTCTAGTAAAGTAATTAATAAAACAAAAAATAAGGAGAGTAAAGGAGGTAATTAATAAAGTAATTAAACCTTTAGAGACTCTTATAATTAGTAAATAAAAAAGTAAAAGAAAACTATTTTATAATAAAGTATTTATAAAGGGTTTAGCTAATTAGAAGACATAGATATAATATAAATAAAATGGCTATTTTTGAGCTTTTTATAAACCGAAATTCGATTCTATATAATATCCCTGGGAAAGATACTTTAGTTCTAAGTAGCAAGTATAAGGTACCTGAATTTAGGCTTGTTTCTTTATTAAATACAAGTTACTAATTCTCTCTTATAGGATTACACTCGCACAAACTACCTTATTTATAATTCTATTAATACTAATAGCTTTAGAAGGTATTAAGAAACTAATTTCGGTATTAAAGATCAAATTTTAATAGGAGTTTTAATAGTTATTAAGGAAGAATCAAAAATCGCGATTTTTTGGTTGGGCGGAATGGGGGTTTGGGCGGTTGGTGGGTGAACCCTTCTAGCGTGGTTTTAGCGCGAAGGCAGGGCGGCCGCGCCAAACACGACTTTTGCCAACTTCCCCTTCATCAGCACCGTTGTCTTGCTTCACTTCACGAAATTTTATGTTGTGCCCAACTTCACTGGATATATGGGCCAACACTCTAGCTTTCCAAGATGGATTCTATTGAGTATTTCATTGAAAATCGCCAGTCCTTACTTGACCTTTACCATCGGGACCAACCGTACCTGGCTGGGTTTGATACCGCATCGCAATATTTTTGAGCAAGGCAAGCTCTCAAATCTCACGGGCACAAGAGTTACAAGTCACCGATATGCGATAAGACATACAACTGGATAACTTCGAACTGGTGAATCGGACTCGCTGAAAATTTGCCTTCTCTGTTCTCAGCGTCACATCACATCACAGTCATAAAATGTCATCTAATTTCTTGCAATTATACACGCAGTACAGTGTTTATGGAGCTCATTTTCCGATTCTCACCGCGGTCTCTTTTATCAACTGCATCATTTGCAGCGAAAACCATTAATTAAGTTGTGTTTTTCCAACTGCTGCTTCATTTTGGGTTGGCTTGGCACGTCGAAATTTCACGATGGAACGGAACCCGGAGTTCGTGAGAAAGCCACTGTTTTCTGCACGCTTCCCGAAACAGAAAGGCGTTGCGGTGCCACGCGAACTTGCCCTTTGCGTCGAAGGCACAGGGGGCTTCGCTTGTTGGAAGGTGCGAGTGAATTCCTTTCTCAGCACAATAGAATCCTAGCTTTCTATCGTTGCTTCCCCTCCTTACTACATCATCACCATCACCAACGCCGGGTAATTCTTTCCCTTCTGCAAATACTTTCAGCCCACATCTTCTTCTTGCAAGTGGAAGATTCCGCATCGAGAAGTTTTGACACGTTCATCCTGGAATCGCCAGCGATATTTACACATCCCCTTTCATTCCACTTCTACATCTGGCGAACGCCGTTCCACTTTGGAACGGGAAACCTCACCGGCGATGGGTTCTTTCACACCGAATGACAACCCCTTCGCGGGTATGCGAAACACTATCAAACATAGAGTTTCATACTTCTATGATTCTGACGTCGGCGATTTCGCATACGAACCTGGTCACCCGATGAAGGTAAGCTTATTTCCATACCAAATTGCTGTTTCTTGTTTGGGAGCTCAGAGACCTAGAGCTTCACGGGAGCTTGAACGCGCAGTTGTCTCTAAAGCTCGGCTCCTCGGTTCCTCAGCTCCCTCCTGTATCTTCGGAAACTCCCATACTAATTCGATGATTATGAAGCCGCATCGCATTCGACTGACCCATGCTTTGGTGGTCAGCTATGGTCTCTACAAACGAATGGAGATCTTCGTAGGTTCCTTACCCTGACCTTGACTGGGTTCGATTTCTGGACTCGCGCTTACAATGAACTTCAGCGTGCTAAACCAGCTTCCCGCCATGACATGACCCAATTCCATAATGACGATTACATCGACTTCCTCTACAGAGTCACGCCAGAGAACATGGATCATTTGCGCGCAGAGCAAATCAAATACAATGTGGGCAGCGATTCCCCAGTTTTCGACGGCTTATTCGATTTCTGTGGTATCAGCGCTGGCGGCAGCATGGAGGGGGCAAGTCGTCTCAACAAAGGCAAATGCGAAATCGCCATCAACTGGGCCGGAGGTCTCCATCACGCCAAGAAAATTGAAGCAAGCGGCTTCTGTTACGTTAACGGTAAGTGCATCCAATCTGTTCAATGCACCTTTAGCTAATTCAAATCTCTGGTAGACATTGTCTTGGCTATTTTGGAGCTTTTAAGATTTCATCGAAGAGTTTTGTACATCGACATAGATGTACACCACGGAGATGGCGTTGAAGAGGCCTTCTACACAACTGATCGAGTCATGACCGTCTCCCTCCACAAATAGTAAGTGATCAGGACGCACAATATCTCTAGCCTGGACTGCCTCTGGATCCTATCTCAACTCATCCCTTTAGACAATTACTAACTCGCGGGTTTACAGCGGAGAATTCTTCCCTGGCACTGGTGACGTTCGTGACGTTGGCATCGCAAAAGGCAAGAACCACTCAGTCAATTTCCCACTCAAGGACGGCATCGACGACGAGTCCTATAAATACATCTTCGAGAAAGTGATTGGCAAGGTCATGGAAACTTATCGACCAGAAGCCATCGTCTTGCAGTGCGGAGCAGACAGCCTCAATAGCGACAAACTCGGTAGCTTCAACTTGAGCAGTGCCGGTCACGCAAATTGTGTCAGTTTTGTCAAGTCTTTCAATCTCCCACTACTCGTGCTTGGTGGAGGAGGATACACTATGAGAAATGTGTAAGTTGGAGAACGAGCTCAATTACTCTCTAAATTTTCTCAAGCGAGTAGTCACTAATTGTCCCTCGTCTTGCTAGGGCTCGAGCATGGTCTTACGAGACTGGGATATGTGTTGGAAAAGAAATGTTTGAGGAGATACCTTATCATGAGTACTATGGGGTAGGGTTCGACTTCTCTAGGATTAAGCCTTCGAAACTCACTCTCTATAGTATTACAGCCCTGATTTTAAACTGGCAATTCGACCCTCCACTGCCGAGAATCACAATTCGAGGCAGTACTTGGACGAAATAACTACTTTGATCTTAGAGAATCTCAAGCAAGTCACTTTCGCACCTTCAGTTCAAATGTCCGACATTCCCCAGCAATCCATGGGCATGACCGCCGAAGAAGAGGCCAAGCAAAACGACTTAGATGAGGATAAGAACAAAGATGTTCGGACGACCCAATACCGAAAGGACAAGATGGTTGTTGATGAGGATGGCTATGTGAGCGATAGCGAGGGTGAGGATGATGAACTTAGTCCCCGTCCATTAAAGAGACGTATGAGGTTGAATCAATGATTCGATGGACTTCTTTCAAGGCTTCGTAACGATACAGTACGAGTTATACCCCTCATGGATTCATAGCAATATCAATCAAAGGCAATGTTGTTTCCCCTACGAGAGCAATAGCCCTCCCTTGCATTCCAACTATAGCCTAGTGATAGCAGTTCTCCTATTCGGGACTAGGCAAAACCCCGCATAACCATACGACATCCCACGTCCTTCTCTGGCCCCTTACCTCTCAACCCCCACTGATAATCCTTTTCTTCCAAACTTCGACATCTCACTCTTCACAATGGCAACAAATACAAGAACAGAATGGTACAAAGACAACTTCCTCATCTCCATCAACCCCTCCCTCATTCAACCAGCAGCCATCAACGCAGCGTTTGAATCGGATTTGATGTACTGTAAGCCTTATTATTCCCATATGACTCTGACCTTTCCTTCTTTAGCAGCTGAGAGCGAGGGAGCTGTTTCAGAAGCAGTCATGACCCCTTATGCTTAAAAGCAAGACGTCTTCATCATACTCAGCTCATTCGGATCTTTTTGGAGTTTAAAGTTCTAATCCGTTGGACAGGGACCAAAACCATGGACGAGGGGGAGTTGAAGAAGATGCTGGAAAACAGTCTGTGCTTTGGACTTTATGTTTTGCCCGAGTCGTCTTCAGCCATCACTGGTGCGTGGTGACTTCCAGATCCCCGCTCCATGGAGCGGTGTTGAAAAATTCTGACGGTGAAAGTTGATTGTAGGCAGAAGCAGTCCAAAGCAGATTGGACTGGCGAGGTTGATTACGGATTATGTTACTGTTGCGTATATAACTGATGTTTATGTTTTACAAGAGTATCAGGGGAAGGGGCTGGGTACCTGGCTTTTGAGTACCGTGGATGAGACGTTGAGGAGTTGGAAGGGGTTGAGGAGGGTGTGTTTGATGAGTAGTGGGAATGACGCGTGGTATGAAAAGGCACTTGGTGTTAAGGAGTTTGATCAGGGGAATAAGAGTGGTTTGAAGTTTATGACGAGGAAAGGCGGTGGGAGTGTAATTGAGGATTAATTGAGGGAGAGGGCGGGGAGGCTGAGGCGACTCTGCCTAGAGAGATTATATGACAAAGCTTTCAGTAGTAATAAATTATCAAACATCTCGGGATGCATTGCCTTTGCAAAACTAAATACGCAATCCAAGGGCCATCATGGAACGTACGGTGGATTTTTGGGGCCAGTTTACATTTGAGCGCGACTTTGAATCTCTATTTCGTTGCGCGTGGACAGAAAATACGGCTCTCATTATCAACGTCCCATGTTGGGCTGATTGTTCAAAGGTTATCTCTGTTATATGGCCCCTGTCAACAGTTATCACAACAGCCCAAGCATACCTTATTGACGCCGAGTTTAATCCCTATTTTCCCTTCCACATCTTATAAAGCCCTCCGGGGAAAGTTTACGGCACGGAAACAGGACAGGAAGATGGATCTGACCATTGATTTGATATGTGGGGTACTTTGGATCTATCTTGGAAGGGCTGAGTAAGGTTACTGGGCTGTAGCTTGGTGATACAGAAGAGTGAGAGCCTGCCACGTTTGGAGCCCGCTTAAGATAGGGGGCTGACTGGTCCGAAGTTCCGATTCCCCCCATGACAGAACGTACAGACTCGTTCTGACGGAAACACGTTTCTGGAGAACGTTCACATGTAATCAATTAATCCCGCAGCAAGTGAGCACAAAGTAAGCAGCACAGCGTGAGACATTTTTGATGTGGGCCTCGGACGAAGGGTTGAGAAGGAGATGGTTCGAGTCAGATCGACATCCCTTGATTTTTGAAAAGGACGCTCCTGGCTCCTGCGGATGAAAGAACGAAAGGAAAAGCATATAAAGTTTTCGCTGCAAAGCTTAGCGATGAGAAATCGGAAAAGGGGGAGATGTACTTGTATGGGACGGGACCTGGCATCTCTTGGCGTTCAGGGGATAAAGTCTCTTCCGGCGGAAGGCGGCCACTCGTGCTCAGCCACTTTCCAACCCACCAATGAGTTGCGTGGCGTGCCTGCAAGGGGAGCCACAGGTGCAAAAAAGGACTGCGACTTGCTCCGCATTTGCAACAGTTGTTTAGGAGCAATCCGGAGCATTCAAGCTTGAGCCTGAACCCGAGAGGACACAAGCAGTCTTTAACTTACCGCTCCGCTCGTACGGCCAGCAGGCCAATATCGCAAGTCCCGGCCAAGTTCCTCGACGATAATCGCCGCCGTCCCTGGTGGTCCCGAGCACAATGCCGGGCCAGTGAGCCACAAAAGCGGGTGTGGGGAAGGGCACAATTCGGGGGCGCCATCCTGGCGTGGTGACACTGCGCATGTGGAGCTGTGATACCGTGGAACTCGACCGCAATGTCTGAATGCCGCCACACTTCACTCCACAGTCTCATCGCCGTCATTCTGATCCCAGTATCGTGACCCCCCACAGATGTATGTGTTTCTTTGCGGGCCGTTTGGCGCTGGAAGAGCCGCAAAGCTCGCGTGACTGTTGCATTCGGCGGCCTGGGTCTGGGTAAATGCGTGACCAGCCTTGCCAGTGCACCACGGCGACTTCACGGCTCAGGTGCAGCTTCACTTCCTCCCTCCATCACTCTCTCCATCCTCACTCCCTCCATCCTTCACTCTCTCCACCCTTCACTCCCTCCGTCCTTCCCCCACTCCTCACCCACATGCCGGCATGAATTGTCTCGACCGTGTCTTCTCAATCATGAAACGGGGCCCGCTTCCTATTCTCCCCGAGAAGCTGGCGCAAATCCCGTGAAATTATCGGAATGCGCTCGATGTTCTCGTTTGCGAGGCCGGAAGTGGCCAATGTGAGGAGCTTAAAAAGGCCAGGGCCCACTCCGCTCTATGGAAAAGCACCCTCGGCTTGCACAGCTACACTATCTGCACTATCAGCACTATCCTCTAACACCTGCCTGGTCCTGGCCCGCACGCACAGCCGAATCTACAGAATGTCTCCTCCTTTAAATAACGCTGCCGACCCCGTTGAGCGGACTGCCTCTCCGTACAGCAATCCGTACGAACTGGGTCCCAAATCCAAGATCCTCTCCTCCCGCACCTCCAACTACCACAGCACCAGTCTTCGAAACATGGTTACCGTCAATACCGTCAACAAGACCGCTCTTCACCCTGGCGGTGTCCAGTACGTTCCAATTCGGCGAAGTCACTGCACTCGTCGTCCCCCAAACTCCTTGTCGAAGCCGCCACTAACTCGGTTTCCAGGCCGGTCAAAGAGCACACCGAGCTCGAGGAAGAGCTGCACGAGAAGGCACACATCGACTATGACCGTGTAGCAATTGTACGCACTCACCATTCACATTGTCGTCGTCGTCTGCTAACAGTCGTCTTCCCCAGGTTCCCAACCCCAGCGTCGCCGCCCTCTACGAAGATGCCCTTGTATACGAAACTGGCTCTGCCATCACATCCACCGGTGCCCTAACTGCATACTCAGGAGCAAAGACCGGTCGTTCGCCTCTGGACAAACGAATTGTCAAGGAGCCCGGCTCAGAAAATGATATCTGGTGGGGGTATGCATATCCAATCTGTCCCGCTATTGCCATGGACTCCATTCTGACTGCTCACAGACCTGTCAACAAGCCGATGACACCCGATGTAAGACTACATTCTCATTCAGCTATTCGATCCCGTGGTCATACAGTGGCCTCAGCCGCAAGTCCCATGACCGCTGCCATTCTTCTTACGAAATTGCATTCCAGTCGATCAGACCCAATGATCATCAATTTCACAACTCTATCACAATTGCTTCTTCGCATTGTTGCACAATTACATTCCTTTTCCCCGTAGCTCCATGCACGAGCAAACGTCAATCCTCTCGGTTGTTCCTTTGTCGACCCCGCATTTTCGTCGAGGGGTTGGCTTGACGCGCTATTATGTCATAGCTGGGCTTTCATGCGCGCCACATGCGGAATTTCAGCACGTGCTCGCCTTGCTTTTCGCTATGTCGCCGACGCCTGATCTTCGTTTGCTAATTGTTCTTGCAATAGGTCTGGCGAATCAACCGTGAACGAGCGATCGACTACTTGAACACACGAAATCGAATCTACGTCGTCGACGGATTTGCAGGATGGGATAAGAAGTACCAAATCAAAGTTCGAGTTGTTTGCGCTCGTGCCTACCATGCTTTGTTCATGCGAAATATGCTTATTCGCCCTGATCGAAAAGATCTTGAGCATTTCCATCCTGACTATACCATTTACAATGCCGGGTCCTTCCCTGCCAACAGATACACGGAAGGTATGACTTCAGGAACCTCGGTCGCGATCAACTTCGCCGACAAGGAGATGGTAATTCTCGGTACCGAGTACGCCGGAGAGATGAAGAAGGGTGTTTTCACTGTTCTCTTCTATGAGATGCCCGTCAAACACAACGTTCTCACCCTTCACTCCTCTGCCAACGAAGGCAAGAATGGAGATGTTACAGTTTTCTTTGGCCTTTCAGGGACTGGCAAGACTACACTATCAGCCGACCCCAATCGTGCTTTGATCGGTGATGATGAGCATTGCTGGAGTGATCGCGGTGTCTTCAACATTGAGGGTGGTGTAAGTTGCTCCATATCTTCTTACTCGAGGCACTTACTGATGAATTCAGTGCTACGCAAAATGTATTGGCCTTTCTGCTGAGAAAGAGCCCGATATTTTCGGTGCCATCAAGTTCGGTTCTGTTCTCGAGAACGTTGTGTTCAGCCCTGAGACCCGCCTCGTTGATTATGATGACTCGACTCTGACGGAAAACACTCGATGTGCTTACCCCATCGAGTACATCGAGAACGCCAAGATTCCATGCTTGTCGACAAATCACCCTACCAACATTATCCTCCTTACCTGTGATGCTCGTGGTGTTCTCCCACCCATCTCCAAGCTCGACTCCGCCCAAACCATGTTTCACTTCATTTCCGGTTATACTTCAAAGATGGCAGGCACTGAAGATGGCGTTACGGAACCACAAGCAACCTTTTCATCTTGCTTCGCCCAACCTTTCTTGGCTTTGCACCCAATGCGTTATGCGAAGATGTTGGCTGACAAGATTGAGCACCATAAGGCCAATGCTTGGTTGTTGAACACTGGATGGGTTGGTGCCGGTGCTACCACTGGTGGCAAGCGTTGCCCGTAAGTAATATTTAAGCCGTGAAACAGTGAACTTTGCTGACGGAGATAGACTGAAATATACCCGAGCTATTCTTGATGCCATCCACTCGGGAGAGCTTGCGAAGGTCGAGTACGAGACCTACGAGACGTTCAACCTCGCCGTACCAAAGACTTGCACTGGTGTGCCCTCAGAACTGTTGAATCCCCGAAATGCATGGACCGCTGGCCATGACAGCTTCCGGGACGAAGTTACAAAGCTTGGCAAGTTGTTCAATGAGAACTTCAAGAAGTACCAAGATGAGGCCACTGCAGATGTCATTAAAGCTGGCCCCGAGGTTAAGGTTTAGATGAGGGTGTGAGCGAGTCTGATGTGGGAATTGACAGATTGGAAGGGAAATACAAATTGCATGGCGTTCCCCTCACGCTGCGTCTCCTGTAGTATACTTATTTCGAGCGCAAGCGACAAATGAATTCAAGGCATTATGAAACGGGGAATGGGGTTTATTGACATATGCATTGAGTGATGCCAACTTAGACTCTTAACACCCGGGTCACGAGCGAGATCAGCAGGGCAAATCCCTGTCTCGTGGAAGGCCCAGAAAGTATCAAAACTTTGTTGGGACAACTTCCAAAATAGAAACCCCATCAATGACTCATTTGATCAAGAGCATACAATTAATTATACCAGCTGATGCTTTGAAGATGCCTAAGCTCATTGGAGGAGGAGGCGATGCGTTAGTGCTAGGGTCAAGCCGTCAAAATATCCACAACTCAATGGCGAGATTGGCTCATTCTGCACATGATCAAGCTTGCCACTCTCTTCATTCTGCAGGAAAATCCTCAGGATCCAAGGTTTTTTTAGCAGATGTTTCTCAAAAGCACCATCGAAAGTTCGATGCTCCAACAGAAACGGAAGGCTCCGCCGTTCTGGAAGACTCACGAAGCACGATGCCCGAAAAATCGCGGTGTCTCAAAATGTCCTCGCCGTCCTCGCCGTCTTGTTCTTTCATACTTGCTCGAAATCTGGCGACCAGGAGTGCGTGGAGATTTGACCGGTCACGTTGGAGGTGCCCACGTCACTGTGAGGGAGCGAGGTTGCGGAAAGAACCAGCATTGTGTAGCTCTGGAATGCCAGAGATGTTAATACTTCTGGACTGGCATAAATTTGCCGGCCATCCGAGCCAATTTCTACTTTGACTAGTCTGAAGCATTTGTTAGCCCATGTTTCTCTATCTCCTTCCCGTTCTTTCTCCACAAACTTTCCAGACAAAAGGTGCTCGATTCATATATCTACCTATCTTACGCGTATCTTACTTTCGACTTCGCACTGCGGGCAGTTTCTTTCGTATGCAGTCCTATTTCTGTGAGACACGTCAATTCTGGAGATGCAGCTTAATGAGTTATGGCGCATTAATTACTCGATAAACTTGGAAGCTGCGAGAAAGACGCCCCTACCATTTCGATCAAGAAGAAACCGTCTCAATCATGAATATGACGGCCGGCAATACGACAGCAATACCAAATGCAGACTCATCTGTCTGCGATGCGTTGGAAAACGGAGGAACGATAGTATTCTGTCGACATTGGGTTTCTCAATCGCCTTTTCCTTCTTCGGCCAGCAAGCATTAACACAGAGATTGAGGAGATTGAACGGAGCCGACGCTGTGGTAGAGGAGCTGAGAAAGATAGAACCTCTTTTGGGGGAAAGATTAAGGGGCTCGGGAAGTGTCGAGAGAGGGCTTGGGTAGAGGGATTTTGGGGGCTGCTGCTGCTTCCGAGGGCTAGTTGTTGCGAGATTACTCTGAGATCCTGAGCACTAGCGGGGAATAAGATTTGAGACGCGAAGCACAACAGCTGGATTTGAAGCGGTTGCTTCCAATGTACCGAGCATTTGAGAACATTGCCGAAATCCCGGTGAAGGACTATGGGTGGTTTAGACGTTATTGAGGAACGAAGGGATTGTGCTGGAAGTGAATGGAACAATGTGTATATGATGGAGCGATCAATGTACAGAAACATGTCGGTTGAATCAACATGCCAATCCTGCATTGTACCAAACTGCCTAGGACACCAAGCTATATGATGAAAGTATTGATTGACATCTTCGGCATGCCTCATAAGCCAGCCAATCTAGACTTGGAGGGCCAGCTCATCAACGTGATCAATAGGGGTTAGATATTGGATGGGCGGGGTGACTTAAGTCTTGGTTCAGAAAGTTCAAAAACTTATTGGGAGGATCAAATGACCTTGAATAATTTCTCAAAAATATGACAATTTCTTAGACTATGATTTGATCAAGAGCATATAAACCCCTTTTGAAGTACCTCCGGCCGAGCAATCAGTGTTTGAAAACGTTGAAGTTCATGGAGGAAGCCCAAATGCTAGCCTCACAGTGGACGAGAAAAGCGGACTGAGCTCCAAATGTCCCAAGTCAAGTTGAACAATATCAGATCGTTTAATCTAGATGTCCCTCAGTTTCTAGTACTTTCAAAGTCTTTCAAAATCCTAGAAACCCTCAATACTAATTTCTGCTCAGTCCAGGTCTGATCAAATGTCCCCACTTTGATTTGGACATTGAAACAGGTTGAAGCTCATTGGAGGGAAGGCACCCCAACGCCAGCACATTTGCATGCTCCACATGCGGTCACCACCCGCTTCGACGACAACCTCCGAACAAGCAAATACCTGGACTGTCCTGCAGCTGAGCCATTCGTTCGCAAGAAAAGCAAGCACAATATGCCGTCGGAGCGTTTGCCCTCGCAATCGCAGGGCCGGCCCGCGCACGGCACGCAGCGGTCAACAAGCTCTATTCATAGCCAGACAGACTCGCCCTCAACGACGCCCCCTCAACATACGAAAACGAAACCCCTGAAGCATGTAGTCGGCGCAGGACGAACTCACGCAAGGATACCGTCGAATCGAAGCTTGGTCAAGCTGACAAAGACGCACGGCAATGATTCGCATACGGACTTAAAGAAACTCCCGCGTAACTCCTCTGCAACCAGTCTCAAGAAGAACAACTCCCACACGAATCTGAAGCGAAACCGTTCCTCTGCAGACGTCTCCAAGAGACCGAAGTCCTCTCACGGACCAGACAAGAGGCCGGCATCAGTTCACTTCGAGATTGGGGACCAAGATCAAGACCAGGAGGACGGAGAGGAGGAGTGGGAAGAAGCAAGTTCTGCGTCACCAGCCTTGTCTCGATCCGCTACGCGATCAGCAGCATCCAGTAACCATTCCTCTGCGAAGCCCTCCGCAAACAACTCAGAACCGCACTCCCCCCCTCACTCCCCTACTGCATCAACAGAGCAGCTCCCGAATGGAGGGAGCGAGAAGCAGAGCGCGCGCCAGCACTCCGCTGACGCAAAAGTAATAACAGAACGACTGCTCCAGCGCTCGCACTCCCAGAACACAGCTACTACCAAGATGTCCCTCGCGACCGCCACGCCCACAGCCTCAGGGCACTCCCCTCCCCTAAATTCTCTCGAGAAAAGCCAGACCTCGACACTGAACGGAACGATCTCGACCTTCAACGGCACACCCAAGACAGGAAGCAGCAACAATGAAGTCGTGTCCCGCTTTGTCAGCGGTTCCGGCACACCAAGTGAAGCGTCCCCCTTCCTGCAGAACCACAAACCGTCGACCTCCATCACAAATGATGCGCCGCAGAAGAAGAACGAAGAAGTGAAGAGAGCGCAGTCCATGGGCAACTTAGCCAGGCATAACTCCTCCGCAGACGACGACTCCGAGTCTGCTCTCCTACCACGATCTCGCAATTCTTCGCAATCTCATGCCTATGTACCGCCGCAGCAGTCGCGAACACAGCAGAAACTATGGCTCCAGCGCGCTTCGTCAAATATCGAGCCCCAGCAGATGGCGCCTGGACTTGCGATCAATGGCGTGCATGCCGGAATAGGAGCGGGCGTAGGATCGAGCTTGGTGGGCGCAGGCTATGATGGGAGGGATCCGCGGATCAAGCTGCAACTTGAGCGGACGGGTCTGGAGTATCTTGTTGTTCGGCGGCATCAGGATCCTGTCGGGCAGGCGCTGAAGCGGTTGAGCGTTTTACCTGGTGTGGAGAGGAATAGACGTATCCCACCTTCTTCGCAAGCGAGTAAGAAAGGGGATAGCGGTGAGGGAAGCGGCAGCGTGGGACGGTATGGATTGAGTCAGAGCTTGAAGGAGGGAAAGTCGAATAGGAATGGGAAGGACAAGGTTATCAGCGTTGCGAGAAGTAGCTATGAGGGTCGTGATAGCAGTCAGGACGAGAGATGCATGAGTGGCCGAGCGAACGACGATGAAGGCATCGGAGCTATATTGAGGTCTCTATGGGAGAAGAATTTTGATCTGAGCGCTAGTGCCGACTGATGTTCCTCATGTCGCTCCTCGACTGGATGGTGTCGCCCCTTCATATTTCGAAATTAGCTCTTACTTGCGGTCTTGCATGGCGTTTCTGGTGGGCCCAGTCTTTGAATGGACAGACTGGAGGACGGACATGGGATCGGACGAGGATGGGCGTCCGAATTGCATTGAAGAAAGCATTAGGACTTGTGCTTGTACAGGTTGAGATAACGTTCATGATGTTAATGACGCTAGAAGCATTCTCACGGCTGAAATAAAGCTGATGAATTTATGCCATTAGATTTCAAAGAAAGGACGTTGCAGTGATTCTTGTTTTCACTGAGAAAGTCTTCGCTAAAGCATTCCATCACTCACTATCCACCCTTCTACCTCAAAGGGGATCCTCCAAGCCCCTTCCCAGGTGTCCATCCTGACCCACTGAATGGACTCCCTCCCGCCGCAGGTGCCAGCCCCAGAGGTCTCCTCACCGGTGTCGTAGGCCCCGGCCCAGGTGTCGAAGGACCATGCCCTGCCAATGCTCCAATCGGTGGTGTCTCTGTCCTCTCGATAAGATGGCCATCCCTCTTCACCGTTGGAGGCTTATAGTTCGTCTCTTTGCCCTTATTATAGATATCCTGGACTATCATCTCCAAGATCCCGGCATCCTGAAATTCCAAATACTTTTTATACAGCTTCAATGCTGTTCTCGCGTCCTCGATACTATCATGTGTTTCAAGTTGAATGTCTTCTTTCAGGACACACCAGGCTAGAAAGGCGAGCGAGAGTTTGCGGAGGCGCTCTTTCACGTAGAAGAAATCGATTGTGTCGATTACCTGCGCCTTGGGGACGTGGATATTCGTTACTCGGAAATCTTGCTTGAGTCCGTGACCGAGGAATTTGCAGCCCAAATTCAACAGGATCCAGAGCTTTTTGTACGTAACCTTCAGAGGAAGGAGGTTGCGCTTCGAAATTCTCGGGTCTAGATCACCATGTACGATTCCTGAGTAAGAGGTCAGGTAGTCGACGATGGGTTCTTTGCTTGCAATGTAATCATCGATGAAGGGTAATCCTTCATCTTCACCAGATCCTCGCACCACTGACACACGGGCCAGTGCATAGACTATTGGCCGTATGGTTTCTCGCTCACCTTCTGAGTTCACTTCGATTTCTGGCTGTCTCACTGAAACGAACTCTGTATCCAGAGCAACAATAGTGCCTTCCCCAGGAGCTTCATGCAGACGGTCTAAAGGACGATAGACTTTCTCGCCCAAGTTCGTGCTATAGAACGTCAGCGTCTCAAGTGAGGCAGGAGGGGTGAGTCCTCACTTTTCATCCGTGTACAGTATAGAGGTATCCAAATTGAGCTTCCATGTATTGTCGATGCGGTTATTAGCAGCCTTGACTTGATATGTGATCACGGATGGCAATTTCCATGACGTGTTGAATGAGAGCGCTTCTTCCGACTGTATAGGCCGGACGAGAAAGTCGTTGAAGAGATGCCATTGACTCTCGCCGGGGGGAACAGTCTGGGAATGGGCAACTGTAGAATGTGAGCGACATTGACTTGCGATTTAAAGATAAATATACCATTAACCAAAGAGACAAGATGTGATTTCTGATGTTGCCCACTGTCGATGTCTGCCGCAAGACCAATTAAAGAGTAAATCGTGATATTGTGCGACCCACGTTGAATGTGGAATTTCAGATCCTCGCCCTGGTAGCAGAAAAACTGCCCGTTTTCAAGGATAACCCCAATTTCTTCGGGCAGCCATCCTGGAATCGACCAGAACTGCCTCGCTTCAGGACTATTGATGGCTGCATTCAGAACAAGGACTGCTGGGACGCTATGAATCGTTTTCCTCGTTGCGAGAGATTGATACCGTTGGCATCTGCTACACCATCCTCGACTAGTAGTCTCGCGCTCAACACTTGCCTTGAGGATTTGGGAAAACGAGTTTTTGGGTGCTCTAGCGTTTCGAACCATGAGTTTCTGAGAAATATTAGCAAGAGATGCCACTTTTTATTTTCGAAGGCGTACGGGTAGCGGGTACGAAAGCTCAGTAACATAGGTGGATCCAGGACGGGTGTGTTCACTTCGGCAATTCATGCATCGAATCGAAGTAGATGCGGCGGTGGATAATACCTAAAGGTATCAGCAAGGACAGATAGAGATGGGCAGACATTACATACTTGTTCAAAAGCAAGAGAATGTGGTGGTATACTCCTCCAGTCTTGAGCTAGCCTGTCAAGCAGAAAGCGGGTCAAGCCTTGAAGCATGGTTGTCAAAGCAGCTCCAGGAGCGTCCTCCTCAAGCAATCCCAGTGGCGCGGCTGAAATATAAATCAGCAGAGTGTTCACAAATATTCGCGCGTATATCCCCTACCTTGAGGATGGTTGCTAAAGGTCTTCAGTAAGTTTGTAGCTTGACAAATGGAACCCTCTGCTTTCTCGAGCATGTCAAATAAGAAACCCATTTCGCACAGCAGACACGATTCACTGAGACAGGAGGTGGCAGCATGCTGAAGTGCAAGGTTCCGGATCAGGGGAGTGAAGTGTAAGACCTGGAGAAGTGGGTTGGCGTAGGAGTTTGAGATATGAATCTCGAGGCCCGAATAATCAGTCCTATTGTAGAACCTGGAAAAAGTTAGATGCACCGTTGAAATGGGGGAGGGAATTACCCGAAGTCGAAGTCGTCTACACCAAATTTGCTATACTTTATCTCAACGTTTCGATACATGACTGGAACTTCTGCTTTCAGACTCGAAAGCTCTGTAGCTCCGATTGCGTCCGCTACATCGCTAACTCTCCTTTCACCGGACGAGTCGTTGGCAGACTCTCTGGCCTTCTCACTAAGAAACTTCGGGGCTTGCAGACTTGTCGCTGTCTTTTCCGCCGTCCTGGTGTTCTCAGTCACGTTTCGTTGCACGGGACGTACAAGCCGACCATATCCTCCCCACTCAGTGGGTTTGAAAGAAGACATGAGTTGATGGTCAAGTTTTGGCGGTGGTGCGCCAACCTCGAATATCATATGGCTTGGCCATGCAGACAGTAACTGCTCCCGGTAAAAGGGCAATCCTATGGTGCTTAGAGACCTGCACTAGGTTAGAAAGCGTGTAAAAGGTGATCTTGGACCTACTCACGTCTCAAAAGTCCAGTCAACATGGGGGTGGATTTCTTCTGGTTCCGGGAACTCCGAGGGCTGGCTGACTTCCGCTGCAAAGCGTATTCTGGAAGGGGAACCCCAGAGATGAATATTGCACTCTGCATCTGCCAATCCTATTGCCTCCCCTGACGGAGCAATCTCAATCATGCTCAAATACGTCATAACATTGGCATGTCTCACGGTGCTAGTATTCACATTCATGAGATCAACTACATGTATCTGGCCCTGCTGAGACACGATAACACAAGTCGACGACATGCGCGGATGCATTCGAACGTAGGCCGCGCCAGCTGGGAACGGTATTGGGGATAACGAGACCATATTCTTCAAGTCAAAGGCATTGACTAGAGGGTCAAGCATGTAGGATTGCTGTTGCCGAAGGGAATAGCCGCAGGTGACAACGAAATCAGTTTGAGCATCCATGTCATTAATGAGTGACTGGTGGGCACTCCAACTCCTGACAAGGGCGAAATTTGTAGGATCGAGGATATTGACCGAACCTTTCTGAGTGGCGGCACAGATATATCGACTTGACTTTTTCATGATGGTATAGTGATCTGGGGTGGATATCTGCACAATCAGCCAAGTTCTTGACAAATATAGGAACTTGGTACCTGTTTAATGATTGTCCCTTTCTCCACATCGATTGTAAACATCTGATCCTGCAGACCGGCCACAATAATCTCAGAGGCTCCCTTGGAGGTATAACTCATGCATCGGAGGTCTTTCATTTCGTCATGGCTATACATTTGCCTATCAGTCTTGTCCCGAGTCATTCAAGTCCATCGAGCATACGTGATATGCCACAGCGGGCCTCCCCTTCTCACTGCCATGTGGACACTCCTCGAAGCCAATGCGATAACCCCTTTGTCATGGACAAGCAACTGACGAATGGGGCCATCTCCACCCTTAAATGAGGTATACCGTTGAAGCTCGGTGCCATAGAAACTCGCAACGCGACCGAATTCATTGCCCGTCCAGAGCAGCTCTTGGGAGCCGTCGAATGCAAGCGTCTGGACGGGGGTTGGCAGTGCTTGCGGGCCAGGCGGCGGAAGAAGCAGGCGCCCGACCTAGAAGAGGACATGTCAGTCGGTGATGGACATTGAAGTTATAAGGTTATCGAGGGTTCGAGGCTGCTGCCCCACCAGACAAGCTGCAGCGATCTGGGTGATGGCCTCGATGGGGGAAACATGGGAATTTTGCGGTATACCTCTTCCCAATCTGCGTCAAACGCCATGGGCTGTCTGCGAGCATTTACTACCAATCCATGGCTAAAATTATATGGAAAAGAAATGTGCAGTCGAGGCTCCGGAGCTTGAAGTTGAGCGACCAGCTCGCCTGCATGCAGTTAGCGTGGTTGCAGGTCAACGACAATTGGCCAGCCTTGCAGGTTGCCAGGGTCGACGTCTCAAACATGTCGTCTCAATCGTGACTGTTGCTGACAAGGCATGTTTGAGCAACTCTGTCACTCTGCCTTTTGTCGGTGGCCGAAGATGCTTTGGTGTTCTTCTGCCTTTCGGCCGTTCTTTCTGCTTTCTCCTTACGTACTGGGCTTTTGAAGTCCTCAGTGATTCGCTCCACTTCCTTTCACAACATGAACTTCTACGACCTTGCATTTACCCTGCTAGTATCACTATGTGGACTTCTCACTTGGAGACAATACCATGTTGGGGGGGAGCCAGAGGTGAAGGCTTTGACGCAGCCCTCCCCTACTCCCAATGCTAAGGCAGAAGCCGGCCAATTTACACGATTATTTCTCACTGTCTATTGCCTAGTGATGGGATCGGACTGGCTTCAGGGTATATTGGCAATGCAATGTGTATTCAAGTGATTTCACTGACTTGTCTACAGGCCCATACGTATACAGTCTATATAAAGATCAATTCGGGCTCAAAGAAACAATTGTGGCTGCGCTTTTTACAACCGGATTCCTCTCAGGAGGCATATCAGGATATTTCGTGGGCCAATTCGCAGATCGATATGGCCGCAAGACAGCATGTCTGGTATTCTGTGTCACATATTCGATTGCGTGTTTCTCGACCCTTGTTCCGAAGTTACCGATCCTCATCCTGGGCAGGGTATTCGGCGGTTTGAGTACAAGCTTGATGTACAGTGCCTTCGAGAGCTGGATGGTCACGGAATACCACAAGAGGCAGGTGGAGAAAGCAGGAACGAGCCTGAGCAGTATGTTTGGAATTATGACTACTTTGAATAGCATTGTGGCTATCCTCGCAGGAGTTTTCAGCGAGTGGCTCGTTCAAGTGACGAGTACGAAGCGAGCTCCTTTCATGGCTAGTGCCGGCCTCCTGATGATTGCGTTTTGGATAATTTTAGCATGTTGGGTAAGGCGGGCAGCTCCTACAAATTTAGTTCACGCTGAGATTGTGTATAGACCGAGAACTACGGTGACAGTCACCAGTCTGTGGAGACTGCTGCCTCAACCATCCCTGCTAAGTCCGTTCTGAAGACCGTCCTGACCGACCGCCGCATTCTCACTCTCGGTCTTGCCTCTTGCTTTTTTGAAGGTTCGATGTACCTGTTTGTCTTCTTCTGGACACCCGCTCTGAAGGCTGCCGCAGCCGCTCAATCAAATGGCTCCGCAGAACTGCCTTTAGGCATGATATTTGCTACATTCATGGCATCCGTCATGCTTGGGTCCCTCCTCTTCAACACCCTGATCTCCTCTCAGCGCCTCCTCACTCCTTCTCGGCTTCTCACAATCATATTCGCCACTGCCTCCAGCTCATTGCTCATTCCCATTGTCACTAAATCCGAGGCCTTGACCTTTTGGAGCTTCTGTGTGTTTGAAATGTGTGTAGGTATGTACTGGCCTAGCGTTGGGTATTTGAAAGGACGAATCGTGGAGGATGGGATCAGGGCCAGAGTTTATGGCATGTTGCGCATACCATTGAACCTTTTCGTGGTTGTGTCACTTGGATTAGTGAAGGAAGGAGAGGGATATAGGAATGCGGTTTTCATGGTTTGCAGTGGGCTTTTGGTCGTTACCAGTGGGGTCTTTCACCACGTTGTAAGTGATTGAAGAAATTAAAAGTATTTATTTCCCAAGTTATATACATACAGGAGTGCCAGAGGACTGTATTTACAAAGGAGGAATAAATGACCATCGAAATGCAAGGCATCCACACCGTGATATCAACTTTGTCAAAGCTCTGAGTCCAGAATTCACTACCTGCTTCGAGGACATTCTTAATGTACTACTGTACCAAAACATTTGTGACATTGAAGCAATGCGCAACGCTGCGCCATCATCGAAAACAGCAACCGCATCGAGGGAGGTCAGATTACTTAAATTGCATCCCCAGTCCCAGAACAGTGGAAGTAACTAAACTTCACAGCAGGGACTTTAACCAACACATCCCAACTCCAACTTCACTTCCAAACCCACGGCTCAGCCTTGCTCACGACCCAACTCCATGTTTTGACAGCTGGTCCAGCAGTCGGCCCTGTTGCAGGCATTTCACTCAACACGCTCAGCAGCCTCGTCTTCTTATATTGACATCGAAGGATGAACCTGAAGCCAATGGGAGAGTCCCATCAAGAGAAAGCACAAGTTGATGGACATGTCAACGACAACGAGTTCGGAGAGCAGGACACCCAGTATACAGAACCCTCAGATGGGTACTTGGTATGTGGGTTCGAAATTGGGCAATGCAGCAGCTATGGTGTCGAAGAAAACCTGTCGATTTCCATCAACCTGGAGTTTCGCATGAGGGGGATTGCCCAACCCAAATCCAAGGGGGTCAAATGCCATGCTGTTCATGCCTCAGGTGTAAATTGAATTTCCTATTCTCAAACCACTCGCTCTTGCTTCTAACTGCGTGAATATTTTGCAATAATGAACTCCAACACTAACCTTAGCACACCTGAGACGAGATTGCTCTTATTTCCTATCTGATCCTAACCCTAACGCAGCGCTATGAACCAAAGCGAAAGCTCATCGGATATGCTGCCTGCCAATAATACTCCCGAAACCTATGCCCTTCCGAATCCCCAAATCCATTGTAACACCTAAACGATGCGTAAAAAGGAAAGAACTATTCATACTTCAATGCATGTCTTGATAGCAGCTCCGTCTCTGGCCGTGAGGGTCAGCTTGACCTTGAAGGGCTTCAGTCCGCGTCTAAACTTCCTCCATTTGTCCGGCTGGTTGTTCATCCTCATCGTCGCCAAAACTGCCAACTGATGACATATCGTCATCGTCATCTGACTCGACTCCTGCTTCGTCGGCAGCCTCCTTACTGGCATATTTCGCCACATACTCTGCTTGGTGTAAGTAAACATGCCAACACAGCTTTTAAAGTAAAAACTAACCCTTGACTTTGGCCTCATAGCTCTTTGGTTCTCGCATCAATAGCGCAGCCGCCTCGCCGTTCAAAGGATCTGTAGGGTTTGGGTATCGGAGGAGTTGTGGAAGGAAGACTTCAAAGATGTTAATCATGTCGAACATTGGTGACCAAGTTTGGTTGATGACATCAAGGCAAACGGAGCCGGATCTGCCCTCTATTAGTACTCGGGCGCCTGCTTTGGATAGAACATACAACTCGTCAATGTTTGGGTGGAATATGCGGTTAACGAAGCCGATACTCGGTGACTTATATGGGTATTGGTCGGGCAGCTCGACGTGGACTTTCCATAATCCGCCTTGGAAGGGTGCTGCAGCCTATCAGTCTCGGTGTGTGCCAGATATATGCAGATGTACTGACTCTCTTCGGGGCCCTTAAATCGAACGTAGAACTCCTGCCTATTTCCCATGTTATGAACAATGCCCTCTATGTCCTCAAGGCTCGGGGAGGGCATACACTAAGAGGTGACGAGTTAGCGAAAACCTTGTAGAAGGCACAAAGAATTATTCCGCTTACTGTTATCGTTGACCAGAGTAACCTCATAGTCGCTCATCAGCCTGCGAGATATTGTCAGTCACGACCGAGACGTGCGATTGAAGCATTTGAGAAGGCATACATCCTAAAACGAATGGGTTAGCCGAACATCTTGGCAAAATAGCTTTCAAAAGAACTTACTTCATGACCTGTGGTGCGTGAGCTTGTCGTCAGTCTCTGCGACTTCATAACCACTTGTGGAAATGGCTGTTTCACTCACATCTGTCTCAATGCGTCTTCGAGGAGAAGACATCCTGACCCGCCTCTCTGGTAATCTTTGTTGTGCACTCTCTAGCTTGGCTGCCAATGTTGCCCCCAAAGACCTGAAGGTAGTGTATCGCGTTCGAAACCTGGTGGTGTGTTGGTGTTGTGAAGTTGTAGGAAGTTGGGATGCGTGAGGTTGGGAAATGACGGAAGTCGTGGCACTTCTTATCGTGAGTTTATCGGGCCAGTGCGCGATCCGGAGTCGGCGGTTCCTTCCGTAAAGGGGGAACGCTCCTTCTTTATTCCTCTCGACCAAACTTAAAAGTTGTGAATCACGGGGTCTTTATTGTCCTGCTCCTTCGAAGTTTACTGTTTATAAGGCAAGATCTTGCACATCCTAGCCTCGGGTTGTCATGACTCCAGTTTCCACGAGGTACAGGTCATCTGCAGTGGAACCAAAGCTGGTATTACCCAAGCATTATTTCCAAATGTCAACTTCCGCCCGCTTGGAGGGGAGTGGTTTCTACAACTGGTGCCGACAGTCGTCAAACTGCGGGGAAGTGTCAGAACCAAGGCAAGCATGTCAACAAAGAGGTCAACCAGGAAAACTCGTGCCCTTGATTCTCAACTCCCAACTGGGTTAGACTGCTTCGCCCTCCCGAGGCAAGGTCGGTATTTTTGACCCAGCCATACTGAGAACCACAGCGTGGGAATGATCACGACCTCAATCATAAAAATCAGCACAATGGCCACTTTTCTTTCTCACTCAGATCAATTCTTCCTAAGCGATCGCCATTGCATATCTCCAGGCAACAACAACCACGAAGCTTTTCCGCAATGTCGCCATCAATATCCGTCGTGCAAGTGTCTCGTGCCCTCTTTTCGCAATACCTACGACCTATTTCAACCGCTGTAAAGCCTTTGCTATCGCAATGGCAGACCAGATACAGCTCGCATTCGCCCATGGGCGCTCCGGGGCCAAATTTGCGGAAGAAAGTTACCCTTAATACCATCCGCTCCATGTATAAGAAAGGGGAACCCATCACCGTGTTGACGGCCCATGATTTCCCTAGTGGGCATGTCGCGGATGTTGCTGGCATGGAAATCGTCCTTGTTGGTGATAGCCTCGCCATGGTAGCCTTGGGTATGGAAGACACTAGTGAAGTTCTCTTGGAGGAGATGCTCCTGCACTGCCGTTCTGTGTCTCGCGCTGCAAAGACAGCCTTCACCGTAAGCTCATCCCGACGGCTTCCAAAACACACACAACTGACCCCTTCTCTTCAGGTCGGAGATCTGCCCATGGGATCTTATGAGATTGCCCCCGAACAAGCCCTAGAATCTGCCATCCGGTTCATCAAGGAAGGTCGCGTACAAGGCGTAAAGCTCGAAGGGGGCATCGAAATGGCACCGACCATCAACAAAATCACAACTGCTGGCATACCTGTCCTAGGCCATGTCGGACTGACACCACAACACCAAAATGCTCTTGGAGGATTTCGAGTACAAGGGAAGACATCTGAAAGTGCAATGAAAGTCCTTCAAGACGCTTTAGCGGTACAGGCTGCCGGTTGTTTCGCTGTAGTCGTCGAAGCAGTACCACAAGAAATAGCAACTCTGATCACGAAGAAGCTCTCGATTCCAACTATTGGTATTGGTGCCGGAAACGGCTGCTCCGGCCAAGTCCTTGTCCAGGTTGACATGACCGGCAACTTCCCACCTGGCCGCTTCATCCCCAAGTTTGTCAAGAAGTACGGAGACGTATGGAGTGAGAGTTTGAAAGCCATCGAAGCTTACAGAGATGAGACCAAGAGCCGTGCATACCCTGCACCAGAGCACACATATCCAATTCCGAAGGAGGAGGTGGAGAAATTCGAGCGCATGCTTGATGCGAAAGAAGCTTGATGTTGTACCATTATATCCCAAGAGAGCATGCTCCACGCCTCATGACTCTCTCTCTTATATTTATGTTGCCGGCGTTGGTAAATTTTTGGGAACGTGGTTGGGCGGCGCTGTTGATAAGACATGTCGTACGTAGAAACCGAATAGAATATAAAGCTTCAGAGCTCTTCATCCAAACGCTGGTGTCATGGAATACGTAACAATAAGCTGGTCCTTGGAATCCTTGAAGCACTGCATCCAACCTCGTCAGCTTTTTTTAGCCAAAACCTCCCCTCTGCAACAAAACGAAATCACTCACCCTATGCAAATTCCCCACAATCTCATCCAACGCCGGCGCAAAGCTAGAATTAACGTATAAAAACACACTATCCATATCGCCCACCTTCAGTGTCCTCCTCAAATACGAAACCACAACCTCAAATCGCTGCGTGCTCGAGATCTGACATAACTTTCTCTTCAGCTCCGGTGAACTCCCTACAGCTTTGAAATGTACCGTGACTTTCGGTTTGGGAAAATCTGCGGCAGATGAGAGGGCTTTGGCAGCGTCACGAGGTAGATGTGTTATGATCATTGAGGAGGCCATCGTAAGCGGTAGGTCAGGCTCGTGGTCGGCGGAGTCGGGGATCGCACCGTTGTTGTCTGCTGGAGTACCGGGCCTTGACCCGGAACTCGACGGGACGGGGGATGTGGGTGGCTGCATTTTGCAGTGGTGTTGTGAGATTGAGCTTGTGAGGAAGAAAGTTACAGCAGGTTTGGCGAGGCTGCGATTTATGAAGTCGCGAGCCCCGTGGAAAGTTCAAACATGTGACAACGGATGGACAACTCACAGTTGCTTGAACTTCTTCTTGGAACGAATTTATGTATATTACATATTATGTTACTTTAGTTACGCAATGCCTCTATATCTACAACTTCTTTGACAGCCTCTGTTGTCAAAATCAAAGGTGAATCATCCTGAACACAAACGCTGTCTTCAATACGTATCCCGATGCCGCGGAAATGTTCTGGCCAACGATTATCATCTGGCACGTAAATCCCAGGTTCAACTGTTACACAGTGGCCAGCTTTCAGTGGCACTGATCTGGGGTAACCAGGACAGTCATGAACATCCAAACCAATGTAATGGCCAACATGATGCGGGAAGAGGACATCCAAAGAATCTCCCGTCATATCAAATCCAAGTTGTTTAAGAGCTTCTTTCAGTCCATGCTCCGTGATCTGGTGGAGCTTGTCCAACGTCATGTTCGCACTCTCCCTGCAGAGAGAGATAGTGCTTCGTTGAACTCGAAGAATAGCTTCGTAGAGATCTCGTTGAGGATCCGAAAACTTCCCATTGATAGGCCACGACCTCGTGATATCTGCAATATAGCCACCGTATTCTCCACCAGCGTCGACCAGGACAATCTCGCCCTCTTTCAGGATATCATCATTACGGACATAATGAATACTGAGTGCATTTTGGCCCCCTGCAATAACTGGGACATATGCTGTGGTGTCACAGCCACCAATCTTGAACTCGTAATCGAGAAAGGCGCCCAAGTCCTTCTCCTTGGACCACTGGCGGCGCATAGCGTTGGTAAATGCTCGCCCGGAGTACTTCCCAGCAAGACGCATGTTTGCAACCTCTGCCTCGCTCTTGAGGATTCTTAACTCATGCATCAACGGTTTCAATGGCTTGACTTTGCTGTCTTTGATCATTCTCTGGAAGTCGTTCGGTACGAGATCTTGATTCCGGAAGAATCGACCAAATCCAGAACATTTTACTATATCTGTATAGATTTCATTTGCTCCTGATATCAAACGTGGGAGTAGTGTATGCAAGTGGTTGATGTCTCCCGACTGCGAACAATCAGCACTTGCTCAACTCGCCAGAACGGGGACAAAAACCTCATCTGCATTGAACACATCAAGGCCTGCCTGTTCCCCACTCCTGGCTCCATCCCATTGCTCTGCTTTTGAATCTTTGGGGCGAACAAAGAGGTGGAAGATATAGTCTGCAGACGACCCAACTTTTTGAATTACCGCCACAGCCTCGGGTTCATTGAATCCAGTCAGGTAGAAGAAGTTTGGCTCCTGGTGAAACTCGTAGAAAACGGCTCCTGACCGGTATTTCGTATTAGATGAGGCAAGAATTGCTATGCCGTTGTCTGGTAGGCTTGCAGCAAGTCTTGATCGTCGGTCTGCATATTCCTGAGCAGTTATTCCTGGCGTGACTGCAGTTGTGTTAGTAGAGATTTCATCTGCTCCAAGGTATGCGTACTTTCTCCAGCTCTTAACAGATGGGGATGCGTTTCATGAACTGGCTGTCCAAATTGTAGCTCTGCAGCTGATATCGAAGCATAACTCCTCCGAGGTTGGTGCGCTGTTCGACATCTTGTGCCAAGGCCAAGCCATTGGGATGTCTGTCTCGGTCGGAGAGATGGGGATAGAATAGACTTCTGCAGCTGCAGCAGAGCTGGCCTCCCCAGCTTCATTATTCAGTTGGAGCTCGTGCGCAAAACGTCAGTGGTGCATCGTAGCGTTGACATTAAAATTGAAGATTTTATCCTACCAGAACATTGACATAAAATTTTATGTTGTGCATCGAAGGACGCTAGCTAGCGGTTGCCCAAGGGAAGGCGCGTCTTGCTCTGGCGTCCGAGCGCAGCGAGAGCTTGTCAACATTGACCGACTCCACTTGGAGCTTTGTCAAAACATCCAGAGCACTGCTCAACACCACAAATATTACCCCACCACGCTCCTTGACTTGTGCATTCGCGACGGCCGCGATCTTGCCAGAACGAGTACTCAATCATCTTTCCCAATGTCTTTATAATCAAGCTCCAGACGTGTTCTGTCGCGTACCACCCCACTCCTTCACTCAGTCCTGGCTGCCCAGAGGAACCAGAATACCTTCTTATGGCAGCAGTATCAATATCACCCTTGCCACACACTCTGTTCACAATGTCGGGTAGAAGAGTGCCGCTGACGAGCAATCCCAATGCCGCCAACTCTCCCTTCCGAGCGGTTGCTGCTGCTTCATCCAAGCAGAAGCGATGCTATGCCACTATACAGCGCGAAGAACCTTATGGGCAACCACCACCAGCTAAGAAGCAGATGCTGGAATCCTATCAGCCATTGAGAACACCGCCTCGCCAGCAAAACTCTCAATTGTCTGTCGAGGGGCGTCTGTTTACGCGAAGGTCCAATGCCCCTCAACCGTCTGCCTTCGAACGGAAGTGTGTTGCAGTACGAGACAGGCCTCAGCAGACGGTCACAAAGGCGGAGAAACCAACAGGAGACAATTTGGAGTCAGTAAGGCAATGGCAGAAGCACTACAGGAAGAATTTCCCTTCCTTCGTCTTCTACTTCGAGAGCTTTGAGAGCATACCAGAGGATATTCGTCTCAAGTACACAAAGCAAGTGATAGCTCTTGGTGCGGTAAGTCTTAGTCCTTGAATTCTCAGTTCACGAAGCAATGCTGATTCGCGAATAGAGGGAAGAAAAATTCTTTTCCAACGCAGTCACTCATGTTGTGACTACTCGATCAATCCCTCCAGAGCTTAGTACTAGCTCAGCAGAGACGCCAAACACATCATCCACAGCCGATCCAAACTCTCAGAACAGTCAACCTCAAACAATTAACCCATCGTTGTTGGACCGCTCCTCGGAGTCTGCAAATACCCATTCTGACTATGGACCCAAAGGCAAATTTACATTTGAAGCACCAATCAGTCGAAGGCTAGCACCTCATGGACATGATGGAGAGATCAAGAGACAGCAGGCCCGCAATGCGGACGTTTTACACCGGGCACGAGAGCTAGGGATGAAGATATGGGCACTTGAAAAGTTGCAACGAATGATGACGACTATGTTTGATACGGATACAGGCTACCAGACGATTCACGGACACAACACACGAAGCAATTCAGTACAAGGATCTACTGCGATTCCTCGAACTACTCGGGAAGCAGATCTCTCCCAACTCCTCCGCAACGAGCGAATCAATGGACCGTCTGATCGAGATCCTACTGTAGCTACCAAAGAGCTTGCGGTCTTCAAGGGCCCATTTATTTATATCCATGACATTGATGAGAAGCAAAAGCCGATTATGGTTCGAGAGTATGCCAAAGTAGCGCACAAAGAGGACGGAGATTGGCCTCAGTTCCGAAGTGTAGCGAACGGCAAATGCCCCTTTGTGGAAGAGGTTGATCACGGTCGGCGGGAGGCAGAAAAAGAAAAGGAATTGATCAGACTTCAACGACAGCAAGAGAAGGAGAAGTCTATGGTTCCGAGGACTCGTTCTGCAGCTGAAGCGTCAAAGATGCAACCACCAAAACCCGTGACTGGCAAACGACCTCTATCGGAGATGGAGGACGGTTCCAATCGAACTGTCACTGTATCGACTAAACAAGCCAATTCATTCGTCCTGACGAAAAGCTCATTCTCTCAGCGCACTGATCCGGAAGGTTCTTCTAGAAGCAATCAAAATGCATTCGTCAGTCGTGCCGGAGCAGGACGCCTCTTTGGAGGGGAACCCGTTGCATCAGGTGTCCAGCCATCTAATATCACCTCTGCTATTCGCTCTCAGATGATCTCATCAACAGCTGCTCAGCCAGGAGCCAAAGCCGGAACAAGCAAGGAAGTTCATGGTTTGCAAAGAAAGGTGCTAGAGAGAAACAGTGGCGGCCCGGGTTCTTACGGGCTCGCAAGCTCCCATCGAATGACGGATCTTTCTGCTGCTGTTAGAGACGAAGCACCAAATCGAGCTGCGAAGCGGAAGGGACAAGACAAACTTGGGCTGATCGAGGAAGATGTAGACCCATCTGAAGCAGAGGAGAATGCTAGGAAGATCGAAGCAACCCGCAAGGCTAAGGCAGTTCAGCAAAGGAAACTCGAGAAACGGGATCCAAAGCCGGGTTATTGTGAGAACTGCCAGGATAAATTTGAGGACTTTGATGAGGTATGATGAATTGCTTCTTCTACAGGATGACATCTAACTCGTACTGTAGCACATTTTGTCTAGAAAGCATCGAAAGTTCGCCGAGAAAGTGGAAAACTGGAAGGACCTAGACGCCTTGTTGAACCAGCTCGCAAGGCCCCTGAGAGAAGCTGCGGAAGACGGTTATTAACTGCTCTCGTTTCTTCTAGCCTGATTGCAAGACATAACGCCATATCATGCGTCAAAGACCAAATTCAGTAAATGCTCCAGGCGGTCTATTATCATTTTAATTCGGCGTAAACGGGACGGTGTTTCGGTTGTACTCATCCTCTGTTTGCTTTTTCCTTTCTTCTCTGCTTCGCGGCTATACCAAGCTTCTTCGACGCATTTCACCCAGGCTTGCGTGCATTTGGGGCAGGAGCGGGCATTTTTGGGCTGCATTTGCATGGGCGTCTTGTTCCTTTTCGTCTCATCGGCTCTGTTCAGACATTACTATGCAAAGGGATTGTTGCAATGTAGATACACATGTGACACTTCACATGAAAAATTACTGAACTGATTTAATGCTCTGTGTCTCCTCTGGCATGTGATATTCCACAAGCCCCCTTCCTCATGTCTGCAGTTACGGGAGGGACCCTGATGATTTCACCTCGCGCCGGAAAGCGGTCTCGATGTCGCGGGAACATTACCGGCCTGATCTCTGCATCTCAACTCTCTGCGCCTCAACATACCACCAATGAGAACTCTATAGGGAGAGTTCTAGAACCATTCTTTGCCGCGGAAGTGGCCACCTCACAAAATGACCGTCCTGTTTCGTGGTTAGATTCTTTAAATTGCAGCTTCTTGTATGGATCCGGATACCCTCCAGCTATCGCTTGCTTACCCCGGAAAGCCAAACAGTCAAAAGTGGTTTGTAATTTACTCTGCACTTACCTATCATACCGTCCCCTTCGCGACAAATGGTATGATGTGGAGTGGCCAAGCTCCATTGGAATGACACGGTAGCAACAGGTCCTCCCTACCCCGCCATGAAAGAGTCGATCAACGACTCAGAAGGGCTAAAGTGGAAAACTCGGAGAGCGACGAGACGACGATAAGGGCTAGACACACGTTGACTGATGCTGCTATGGAGTTGCGGATCAGGTGTCTCGGCTGCTTTTCTGTTACGGCTTTTACTCGGGAGGACCGAGAGACAGTTCCGATGGCTGGTGGGCGGATGTGGGTGTGCTGTGGGTTGTGGCGTCCAGACAGGAGAGCACGAGGGACGCTTCGATGCGAGAGGCTGTTTCGAATTGAGCGGAGGGCCTGCAGTGTTCTAGAAGGAATTGGAGACATCAAAGGTCAAGCCACCCAGCGCTTAGTATGATGCCCCCGACGGAGATTTTCTGCCACGCTTTAGATGATGTGAGTGAAGGCCCCATTCTCTGATCGAGGGTGATTGAGCGGCGGGGTGTGAGATCTTTCTCAAACCTTTCTAGAAGCAAGAGAAGCAATGGATGGAAGCGAGGCAACCATCTGCAGGTACGCGGCGTGCCAATATTGGCCATCCCCTTGCATACCGTTCTTTTAGGACCACGTGGAAAGCAGATTTCTTCTGAAGTTTTGGTGGTGGGGGAACGTCCGCTGTCTTCGGAGGTTTACCGCAATATAGCTTTGGAATTCCAACACGGAACTCTGGGTTCGGATGCAGCGGTAACTCCAGCTTCGAGAAAAGCACTGTCTAGCCTTTCTATCATTCAAGCTGACAAGCAATTTCTGACTTCATCTTGAATGCTGATCAGCATCTGATTTTGAGGTCGACCTCAGTCTCATCCTAAATATAACATATCTATCTTGACTTGGCGGACTCAAAGGAGGGAGAAAGACGTGTCCTTGGAGCTGAAACAACAGGGGCATGTCTCATTATTCTGTAGGCCTCCGATCGATTTCCTGACCCCGACGAGATCGATCAAATCACTGGCCCATGCATGGGGTCTGCAAGCATGCTGACCTGCACCACACTGGCTCACCGCACCTACATATGACCGATTGGAAATGATTGACATACACATACTGGGTCGATTCGCTGGGGAAGAAGACATCCAGAATCCAAAAAGGAATTTCTGGAAGAGGTACTCGTAGCTGGGACCGAATAGAAAGGCGTCCCTTTATCGTCGCTGGGGAGGCACTTGCTGCCGGCTGCAGTGCTGCTGGGACCATCGGGTAGGGGCCGAAGTGGGATCCTGTGGATCCAGAGCTCGCTCACGATGACCAGCGCAAATCCCAATTTCACTGAGGCGTGCAGTACTGTGCGGTTGAAAGGGTTCCAGGCCTCCAGCAAGCCCTGCGGTGGCTTCCGAGATTGCGGCCTTCAACCAGCACGGCAGTGAAGCTGTTCCAATGTGATATCTGACTCGTGACGAGCATTGACGATGGCATTTCTAACTATGCTGGTGGTGGTACGAACTCCATCGCTTGGGAACGCGGCTTCTAGTCCAGTTCTAGCCCGTTTTGGAGGGCAAATTCGGGCCTCTGCCATGCACCCCCCATGCTTCCCATGTGTCTGAGCCCTTGCACGTTGCCCTCCCTGCACTTCCTCGCCGCAAGATCCACCCACTCCGGCCATGTGCCCAGTGTTCTCCAGCAAGTGAACTAGGCCTGAAGTTGCAGTGGCCTGCTCGATTGTCCCTTATCGACAGGGTCAATGCCATCAGCAGTTTGGCAGTGGATCCTCCTCACTGGGCTGCTCCAGCTGGCGGAGTTTTGATAACTGCCACGCCTGGCCCATAGTTTCGGCTGGTCACACCGTTCTCTGAAAAGGGTGACCTGACCTGCGTGGTGAAGGTGTCAAAAAAAGCTGAAGCCCGATCCAAGACTTCCACACAGCCGTGCATAGGGAAGTCTCAGACGATTCGTGGGAGAAACATTATTCTGGAAATCCTTTGTTCGAGCAGCCCGCAATCTTTGGTCCTGGTCCTTGCAACAGACAGTCCTGCCCGGGGGGAAAGAGCCCTGAACAGCGCTTGCTTGACAGTGGCTCGTTTGTCAATATCGAAACTTTGTTGAAGAAGCTCGAATTTGTTCAAGGCGGCCTCGCTTCGAAACCCTCCAGACTCGGTAGATTGAACCCACCCAGACGCGCCCCGACATCCCTATTCACTTCGGCTTCTGTGTATGATATCAAGCAAAGCGTGTCCTACTATGCCTGCGGGCAGAGACACTATCCGAAGGAACGAACGCACCCAGTAAATTGGCCGGGAGATACTCATCGCAATGGGGAACAGTAATGGAAAGCCGGTTTCCTTTTCTGATGAAGGTATGCAAGCTCCCGTCTCCTACTGGAAGCAGTCGCTCCAAGGACAATATCAACTCGCATCAATTGTTCGCCAGGCCTAACTAGAAGCGACGGCTAACTTCTGGGCTTCCCATAGTGAACCTCAACCATTTCCGCTTACTGCGTGTCGTCGGGAAGGGGGCATTCGGAAAGGTCAGGATTGTAGAGAGGAAGGATACGCAACTCACCTTCGCCTTGAAGTACATCCGCAAAGATGAGGTTGTGCGGTCAGAGAGTGTGCGGAATATATTGCGGGAGAGGCGGATGCTGGAGCATTTGAATTACCAGTTCATTTGCAATCTGCGGTATAGCTTCCAGGACATCGAATACATGTGAGCCGCAGCTTCCTCATTTGGGGAACTTGCTAACCCACAACAAAAGGTATTTGGTGGTAGACTTAATGAATGGTGGCGACTTGCGATTTCACATTTCGAGGAAGACCTTCACAGAAGAAGCAGTCCGATTCTGGATCGCCGAACTGGGCTGTGCCTTGAGATATATTCACAAGCAAGGAATTATACACAGAGACGTGAAGCCGGACAATGTTTTACTGGATTCTGAAGGTCACATTCATCTTGCGGATTTTGTACGTATTCTCTTGTCTTTCATAAGGCATCACATGCTAATTTGTTGTAGAATGTCGCGTCCGACTTCACCCCCGGAAGACCTCTGACAAGCAAATCCGGTACGCTCGCATATTTGGCACCAGAAGTTTACAAAGGACATGGCTACGGTCCAGGCGCAGACTGGTGGTCTCTAGGTGTTTTGTTCTATGAGTGCATTTACAATAAGGTATGTATTTTATCTTCTTGCGCATTTTCTATACTTATACATCACCTTTCAGCGACCTTTCGAGGGCAGCACCCAAACAACATTAGCGACACAAATTACAAAGGCCAGCCCGAGTTTCCCAATCACCGCACCCCCTGTAACCATGCCTTGTCTACATGCCATTAGCTCTGCGCTCGAGGAAGATCCAGCAAAGCGGATGGGAGCCGCCAGTTTCCACAGCTTTACTGACAACCCCTTCTTTCGAGCCATTGACTTTGAAGCGCTTGAGAGGAAGGAGGTTGAGCCCGTGTTCGTCCCATCTTCTGAGAAGACCAACTTTGATGCTACCTATGATCTCGAAGAGCTGCTTCTCGAGGAGGCGCCATTGGAGGCACGAGCACGAAGACAAAAGCCCAGAGAACCCTTGAAGGAGGATGCATCAGAGAAGGAAATCAGGGAGGACGACCTCTATAAGATGATCGAGACGCAATTTACGCCGTTCGACTACACTACTGCAGCGTATGAGAGGTACATTCTCTTCCCTGCTGATCACACTCTTACGCTAATCAGGCTTGCCAGGTACGCCGGAGCCTTAGACCCGAATTCCTCTCCGACAGACTGGACTCAACCACCACCAATGACTCCTTCACAAAACCAGGTAGATGGAAGTGGCGCCAGATCGATAGGCAGACGCTCTACCTCCAGGAGACGAAAGGCCTCAGGTCAACCCACTTCTCTCTCCGGATCGCCACCAATGCCATCGCAACATCCGCCTCTTCCAAACGGACAAGGCTCGAGCCCCCAGTCAGGGACTTATCGACAGGCATCAAGTAGTCACTCGACTAAGGCCAAAACCCCCCTTTCGCCTTATCAGGCTTCGTACAATCGCCAGCAACGACCAACAGGAACCCGAAAGGAGTCTACTAGTGGTGGTATGCAGGTTACATTGGATGAGATGGGAAGCTGGTCTGAGCTTGCGAAACAAGACGCTACTTTACCAGCGGATGCCAAGCTCGAAGCTGCCGCGAAGCCTTCTGGAGGCATGCTCTCGTTCCTGGGCAGAAAGAAGGGTAGAGGACATAGTCCCAAGCCGCAAGAACGTGGAATTTTGGGCAAGGAAGGCGCGAGGGTGGTTATAAGCAGCGGAGAATGAAGTCCTCGTTCCACGATTCTCATTTAAATACAATAGCGAATGAGGGTTGGTGAAGTACTCTCCGATATATGACGAAGGAGGCTTGGTTTGCCAATCTTCCAATCTCCCCTCACCATGTGGAAGACGGGACATCGGGCGAGATCAGTGTGTGTGGTTTGACTGCTAAAGGGACATATTTACGGGAGGTTCTCGTTGAATTTCATGCATGGCGTGGTATTATACGCAAAACGGGAGTTCAATTCCTTCTTGCATAGTGGAAACAAGTGGATGTTGAGAGAGGCAAGACAATCTTTGTTTGAATACAGGATATGAAGGAAGGGAAGAAGATACCAGACTGGTTGGCCCGTCTGGTCTTGCATGTAGATATGATACCAATGATCGTTTCTCCGACTCAGAAGCCTGTTTAAGACTCGTGGCCTTCAGATTGTGCGTATAACGTTGTTAGGAGGCTCCAGGTGCAAGGGAGTTCCCTGTGGGAAACGAAGGTGATTGCCCAACTTTCACTTACCAAAAAGCCCTTATTCTTCCAACCGCATTCCAAGGAGACGGCTCATATCAACGGCTCCTTTACTATAGTCCTTCACAAGCATTCCATTCACATATTAGAGTTCTTTAATTATATCATGCTTCCGTACGAATATTGTGACAAGATGTCGATTCTTGAGAACAAAAGACCAGCTGGAAGATAGGACGACATATTATTGGAAAGACAACATTTTGGTAAACCCTGGGAGTGTTTTACTGGGTGGGTTGAAAGATTGAAAATGAAGAATCTCATACCTTTCCCCAACATGGCTAGGTCTCCCATGATGGTAAAGTGCCCGCTAAGATTTTGTTGCAGTTATTTACAATGCAAGCAAGAAAGATATATATGATACTTGAGGATACCAGGTCTACTTAGGACCTTGATAACGCGTTCAAGCTTTGTAATGAGGAAATCGATATGAGTGACTCGCCACTCCGCCTTCCCTAAAGCAAGCCCCAAATACCAATTCCCCTGAGCTGCCCAAGTATGCAAGTACTCCTTCTCCTCAAGCTTTGCTCCAGCCACCAATCAACCACTCCGCAACCCCAACACGAATAATAAACTTGCTGTCTCCATTGCCACAATAAAAGGAAACAACCACTTTCGCTCTTGCGGAAGATCGAGATCTAAATGAAAGAAGTTCGGACGTTCACAACAAATCAGGCGGTGATAGCAGTTTCGGCAAAACGGAGATCTGGTATTCCTCCTCCTGACTTTCCTCCTCGTGGTGCTGGATCCTCGCCGTTTGGCAAGGAGTGAGTATATATACTTGTGGTTGAAAAAAGCTAGTATAACTATCAGCAGACTTTCCACTGCCGTTCAGAAACCAAGAAAAGGAGTAAGCGTAATGACAAGGAGAAATCAAGGATTTGGGGTCTTCACCTTCGAGACTGCAGCAATCTGACTAACTTCCATCCTACCATAACCCAAGTCTCCAAATTTCAGCTCCCTAAACCCCGAAAGGTAACAGCCGGGTTTCCAAACCAAGTCCGAGCAGAAATCAATGTTGTGCTAGTTCCCTATAACTTGCTAGAATCTCGTGAAATACTTGTGGGTGTAGGAAATCCCGCGAGACGATAATAAATATAAGCTCCGATATTACTAGTTTGCACAATCCTGGTTCGAAGTGTCGTCACCCTTATATAGTACGGTGAACAATGCACTTGGGCTTGTTTTGTAACAATATAGGACTTTAGCAAATAGGCATTGTGGTCCTTGTGGGAGGGCAAAGAGGAATTGTGATCGTTAAACAAGAAATTGACTAGTGAAGTTGCCGAAGTTACTAGGAGATTCTGATGCTTCAGAGCGAGCCACAAACTTTTGCAGCTCTGTTATGCACACATATCAAGGTAACTTAAGGATGGGGAAGGGGAAAGAAAGAACCCAGGGAAACAGCAGCTTCTCTATCTAAAAGGAGTCGAAAAATGCACCCAATCAACGCCTCTCTCTCAATAAGCTACTGAGGAAAACGGTCCATGAAAGTGTCTGGTAGACGATACGAGAAAATGCAGCAAATGTGCCTCTCTGTCCCTCACTGTCCCATTCCTCGACCACAATTACTACCAGTCTTGACTTATCTAATCTCAGCATGTAACTCTTTATGCCTTTCCTTCTTGAGTCTGCAAGTACTTGTATGCACCAAATGCAAGACCGGCACCAATGAGGATGATTGCATAGAGACCAATGCCCAATCCCGCGGCATTGTTTGTAGAAGTGGTAGCAGAGGTGGTTGTCGAGAGCTTTGGTTTTGGGTCTCCCTCCTGAAAGATAATGGATTGAGCATTTATTCAAAGTTGAGACAGGGATATAGATCTCCTTACCTTGCGTTTCAAGTTTCCGATGAGCAGGCCTTCAAGAATCTCGCGTGCCTCGTCACTGTGTCCAACATCCTCGAAAGCCTCGGTTGCGTCTTGTCCACCAACATCGAGCAGAACTTCCTCTCCACCTCTGGATGCAAATTAGCAGCTGCTCTTTATCCTATTCCCGTCGAATATAACAGAACAAAGGAGAAAACAAGAGTGGGGTCATTTCCGGCCTTCTGGCACATGAAAAGGGGTATAGCCGATCTCTAGCTGGCAGAGCACCACTATTCTTGCCCAGGCGCCAGCTCAATGCCCATAAGCAAATGCTCCAAGTCTAACCACCTCGATCTGCTGACATTCGAAGCGACCAAGGTCACCTCTGATGACCCCCGAAATTTGCAGCGTTTCCAGGGAAGAGATAAAACCTACGGATGCTCATCAACGAAAGCTGTAGTGTTGTAGACTTTGTCATGGATCACAAGGTATAAGTCCTTCTTCGTCGAGTGCTCTGCGACCTGAGCATATGTGAAATCCTTGTCGGCAGACATGTTGAGCCGTGTCTTGTTTACTCTCAGAAAAATTAGTCGCAGATGTCTGTTCGCTTATCGCAGTCCGACAGGATTGACAAGAGTCAATGGCAAAGGACCAAAGAGATATTCGCCAGGAGAAGGGGGAGAGGCGGGTGGTTGCTGTGGTCGCACTGGGGAAAGTACAAATTGTCCTGTTGAAGATAAAGTCAAAGTCCCGAGCTTCATTCCGCTGAGCATTCTGCCGAAGCGCTAGCCCTTATTAGGCCTACTGTTCCAGGTCAGCACAAAAGCGATTGGTTTAGTTTCCCCCAAATATCGTGTGGGACCGGCCTTTCTAGCACATGCAAATATCGATTCATCGGAACGATTGGGGAGGCCCGGAGGATCTCTGTCCTCGGATTCCGAAAACCGAGAACTATTTGATGACATGACTTGCATATCTTCACATGGATACCTTGGAGCAGACTATTATTGCTGCAATCTCTTGAGGAATAGGAGCATTGTGTGTCAAATCATGTGTTAAATGGAAGAAGCCGCTTTTCATTGTATTGAGCCCAAGCCAGGCTGAGATCTGTTCCAAGGCTATCTCTTGCTGCTGCCCCCTCCAATATCTTGGCCTAGACGATACCCCGCAATCTTGTCCCACTCAATCTTCTGCCTGGTAATGGGTAACTGTCTCCTTAGCCCCTTAAATGCGCCTTCACTTAGATTGTTGAACCCCTTGTTGAGCTCTTCTTGGTACTTCTTCTCTGCAACGGTAATTTCCCGTATGATGGTACTGGCAGATCCTGATGAAATTGATGCCGAGGTTGGTTTGGTGGTCAGAAGTCGGACATTTCCATCTTCATAGTAATGAACATCGACCTTCATAGTGCCTGATAAGGAGGACGAAGAGGGGGAGTAGATATACAGTGAGCGCCAGCGGCCATTCCTGCATCCATTAGCCCTGGAATATTTTGCAAAGTGCAGAGAAGTACCAGAAGTTGTTTGGGCTGTACTTGTTGGCCACCACAAGTATCGCTATCTTCGAGTCACCTTCGATGGGGTATACGCCATACGAGGCATTGGGATAATGTTCCTTGACATGTGTTCCCAAGCTTTTCAGGATCGAGTTACTGAACCGAGACAGTCAGTTGGGGAAATATCAGGACATCAAGAAGTAGACGTACACAAGATCCGAGTGACCACTTTCCAGAACATAACTTTGTACGCCACTTGCTTTCTATATCCCGTAAGCCTGGTTGAGTCCAAATATCAGTCATGCTGGCTTGCCTGTGTTGTGTGGTTGAATACGAAACTGGATGAGTTCTCAACGTCGAAATATCTCCCATTTCCCAAAGAATTGTGTGAGCTGACTATGACCTTAACCCGGTACATCAGTAAGATTCATCTCCGAGTCCGCGAAGTCCAAACGAACATATTGACTGCTACCAGGCAGTTTGACGGTTGCGAATTGCTCTTCGTTGTATTTCTCGAACGCCGGGCCAAGCTGGGATACGAGGTTGGGGCTTTCGATAGTGAGAGCTTTGATATCTATTGTAACATATTTAGAATAAAGGGTCCAGCTCTTGGGGTTGTGTTCGTACCAGCAATGACATCTGCAAGCTTGAGGTTTGTGAGTAGCTGCCTCGAACACTGTAAGGGATTGGACGTACTTCTCCTGGGGGCGCTCCTTCCACGAATGCAGACACTGTGGCGAGTTGGGAAGCCATTTGAGATCGAGCTTGGGCGTGTAGACTTCGCAACTGCCCCAAAAGCTCAATTCAGAGGAGGACCTGTTCACCTGGAGGATGAGACAGGCCGAAGCTAATTCCGACCCCTCGATGTGGCTGAAGCGAAAGGGTTGTGGCTGACACGTGACCCGGCTTCCCTTTTAAGGCGGGAAGATCTGCACTTTCTGTTTATTCCTGAATTATCTCAAGACGGGGCTCTCAGGTTCCATTTTCTGTAGCTATCTAGACTGCAGTTGCAAAATCATCCAAGTGGCTTGAGCCTATTGCTCGTCTCCTCTATATCATTCATCTCATCTACAAGTGGACCCCTCAACACCAGCTTCCTGTAACGCCTGCATATGCATTTTCTCCTTTCCGTTCAAAGCTCTGGTATGAATACCATATTCAGTATTCTATAGCTTGCTTTATGGTATCGTACACCCCTCAAAATTGTCAGCATCTATCAGCTAGTGGAGAACTTTGAACTTACTGGCAACATCTGGGATATTGAATCGCTCGAACATTAATCCCATATGAACACCCCACCCGGCAACTCTCAACACTGGAGCCTCCAGTCTCAAAAAGGTGTCCTTGTCCTCTTGTATGCTAGCGGCTACTTCGGCGCCAATTCCGGCGTTCACCATGCTCTCATGAACTACCAAACATCGGCCCGTCTTCCTGACGCTCTTGAGAACACACTCCTTGTCCCAGGGGTAGACCGTCCGTAAGTCGATCAATTCTATGCTAATTCCCATATCCTTCTCTGCCTTCTCGATGGCAGCACTGCAAGTGTATAGTGGATGGCCGTAGGATATAACAGTGAGATCTGAGCCTTCTTTCAAAACTTCCGCTTTAGAAAGCGGCAATGTGTATGAGCCGATTGGGACCTGTTCGACTGCAGCTCGGTATAGAGCTTTCGGTTCCATGAAAATGCATGGATCATTGCTCTCAATTGCAGCCAAGAGCAGACCTTTTGCTTGGATGGGAGATCTAGGCATGATAACTCGTAAACCAGGGATATGTGTAAACAGACTTTCGGGAGATTGTGAGTGGTATCTATTTGTTGTAAGTTCTCCTCTCAAGCCCGCAAGGGTTGATACTTACAATGCACCATGACCAACACCACCACACGGCATTCGCACAGTCAAGCCTCCCACGTTTCTTCCTTCTGTACCATCTCTGTATCTGAATTTCGCTGCTTCATTGACCAATTGGTCGAAAGCTGGATAAATATAATCCGCAAATTGTATTTCCGCAACCGCCTTCATGCCTTCTGCGGCGGCCCCAATGCCAAACCCCACAATCCCTTGTTCGCTCAATGGCGTATTGAACACCCTCTCGGAACCATAGTTCTCTGCTAGCCCCATACTACATCGGAAGACCCCTCCAAATGCCACATCTTCGCCGAACAGTATGACCGAATCATCCGCGGCCATAGCAAGGGAGAGCGCATCATTGATGGCTTGGAAGAGGTTCATCCGCTTCGTGGTACCATTTCGGACTTCGGAAGGAAGCTCCGTGTTTTGCAGAGCAGATTGGGAGGCATGTGCCAGCAGAGGGGTTGTGGAGAAGTCAGTGGGGGTATTCAAACGGGCCGCTGGGGGATGGGTTGAATAGGGGCGGTGTCTCGGGATATTGCGGACATTGTGTCTTGCTCGAGGTACGGAAGAGGGCAATCGCCTCGAAGGTATTCTTGTTACTACTCGCATTTTGTGTGGAACTCCGTACGATAAAACTCACAGAGGAGATGCATCGCATGTGTTGTACTTTATGGTCAGAAAGGCAGCCGTGAATAGCCGTCCCTCTATTGTTCCAGTGCCTTATCGGGCATGGCTCCACTTGGCGATAGTTGCTCCGTCAACCCCTTGACCATCCAAAACAAGGCTTTTGGCGACTTCGTGGGCCACGCAAGACAGCGCTAAGATTCCATTGTACATATTGTTTGGGTCTTGAAGTTGTTGTTGTTTAACGAAACCGGCGCATTCTTTGATACCACTGCGAAATTACGTCGAATTGTTGGAACGGATGGAATGATATGGCCCCCAACGACTCACCACGACGACATCGAGACGGAGAACGACACCATCATCACGAAAGGAGAAGAGCTAGTCGGAGCCACGCGAAATCGAGACATGAAACGTCTTCTTCACAGTCTGGCTCTCAGCTGCTATCTGCGAATGCACTAGCAAAGCTAAATCAGCTAAATCAACAACAACCTGCCAGAGCAGAAGAAGTCACTCCACAGAAGAAAAGACGGAGACGGCACAGAGAAGTCGTTGATGAGAAGGTAGTGGTCGAGAAAAGTAGGAGACAACATAAGAGGAAGAAGCGGAGGGTAGTCAGTGGGGCTCTGCTGGAAGAAGGGGACAGCCGTAGGTTAAAAGGGTTAAGAGGCGGTGAAAAATATGAGGAATACAAGTACGAAGAGTACGAGAATGGAAAACGAAAGAAGCGATTATGTAGGCCACCTCTAAATCATGCATATAATTTAGGATACTGACAATTGCTACCAGGGATGCTTATTGGTGCCGCAGTGGTACTTATCATCGTTATAGTAGCCGTTGCAGTGGTTGTGTCCAAGAAGAAATCGAGTTCGTCCAGTAGCGGCTCCTCAAATTCCAATCTCAACGGGATATCAGAGTCAGATATCCCAGAGGCTGCCAGAGGAACATATCTGGACCCATTTACATGGTACGACACAACGGACTTCAATGTCACTTATACGAATCAGACGGTTGGAGGACTTCCAATCATGGGATTGATGTCGAAATGGGATGACTCCAAGAGTGCAAACTCGAACACCCCGCCAATATCAACCGCATGGGGATCTTATGCCACCACACCAGTGAGAGGAGTTAATCTCGGAGGCTGGCTTTCACTAGAACCCTTCATTACACCTTCCCTGTTCAATTACGATTCTAGTCTGGGCATCATCGACGAGTGGACATTAACAAGCCATCTGGGTTCCGCGGCCCAATCAACACTGGAAAAACATTATTCAACGTTTGTGACGGAGCAAACGTTCATAGATATAGCCAATGCCGGGCTTGATCATGTTCGAATACCTTTTTCGTACTGGGCTGTAATAACGTATGACGGCGATCCGTATGTTTTCCGAACGTCTTGGAGATATCTTCTCAGAGGCATTGAGTGGGCGCGCAAACATGGTCTTCGGATAAATCTGGATCTTCATGGACTGCCTGGTAGTCAGAATGGGTGGAATCACAGTGGACGCCAAGGACCAATAGGTTGGCTGAATGGGACCGACGGAGCTCTAAATGGCAATCGATCCCTCGAAGTCCACAACCAGCTCTCGCAATTCTTCGCCCAAGATCGTTACAAGAACATCATATCATTCTATGGTCTAGCGAACGAGCCCAAGATGACCTACCTCGTTCATTCCGAGGTCCTAGATTGGACAGCAAGCGCGTACACACTTGTCCGCAAGAACGGAATAAATGCCTACGTTGTCTTCGGCGACGGCTTCTTGGGCCTAGCAAAATGGCAAGGCGAATTACAAAGCTATGACGGGCTCGTGCTGGACGCCCATCAATATGTGATCTTTAACATGAACCAAATCGACTACAACCACTCCACCAAAGTCGCCTACGCCTGCTCGGGCTGGACTGAGCAAACCGAGCTGAGCATGAACGTAGCAACTGGCTTCGGACCGACCATTGTCGCCGAGTGGTCCCAAGCTGACACAGACTGTGCCCCAAACCTCAACAACGTCGGCGTCGGCAATCGCTGGACCGGAACCTTCAATTCAGGAGACCCGACAACGCAAGTCCTGTCTCCTGACTGCCCGTTGAAAAACACACAATGTGAATGCACGGATGCAAACGCCGATCCGAGCAGGTACAGCACTACTTACAAGCAGTTTCTCCAGATGTTTGCAGAGGCGCAGATGGAGAGCTTTCAGAAAGGTTGGGGATGGTTCTATTGGACTTGGAAGACGGAGGCTGCGACGCAGTGGAGTTATCAGGCGGGACTTGCAGCGGGGATTCTACCTGTGAAGGCGTATGCGCCTGTGTTTAATTGTTCGGCGACGGTGCCGACCTTCTCGGGACTGCTGGAATATTATTGAAGTGAGGTGTGATTGGAAGGGATGTAGATATGTCTATGTATAGTTGTACGGTTGGGCTATAGAGATGGTGCTTAGATGGGATTGGAGTCGTGCACAGCGATCTGGAGTTTGGGTCTAATACCTGTGTTGAGATTTGGCATGAATGATGAGACTTTGTCCCTCTGATTAATTTGCGTCGGTTCCAAGTGAAGAGGGGTAATCTTGAAGCGAAAATTATCAGGCGAAAGAAAAAACTAATTGAGGCTAGCAATATGAGTCTCTGTGAATCCTTGTCCATTGGTATATTCAAAGCCACAATACTTGCCAGACGGGTGCTCGAGAACCATCAACACTTTCACTCGTTATCCTCATCTGGTTTATATGCAAAGCCGCCTTCAACTTGAAAATCGAACCCCCTCGTTTCAAGCGATAGTCGAGTGTGTAGGGAAGTTACTCGCAGCCGTAACGAACGTCTCCAAAGGCGGCCGCTCAGCACCCACAACCTGCCCATTCTCAGCCACCTTCTCGCTGTCTACAGAGCTCATTGGTACACTGTTCTCCTTTCCCTTTCCCTTCCCAAAAACAACTGTCCCATCAGCAGGCCTTTCATTCTCCCTCATCACCTTCGCCTCTTCGCTACTACTCCCAGTCCCAGCAGCAGCATGGATATCAGCTGAGTTTACCGAAACTCCGCTTTCCATCACTTCCTTAGTCCGCAGATCCTTTGTGGGTGGGATGCCCACTTCACTGGTCAGGGTTGTCATGCTCGCGCTGGCGTTGTGGCCTGCAATACTAAATGGGAATGCGATCCCGTCTGCTTTTGGCCTCTTCAGATCGTACTCCTCATTCGTTGGAACTTTGAGCAATATCGCTGGATTGGTCCCATTTGCAGCGAACTCAGGTGCTAAGTGGTTGTCTGAAGGTTGTCCCGGCTTTTCGTTCTTCACAGTAAGTAAGTCAGCGGCCGGTGTGTTCTCGTCCACTTCGTCTTGGTTTTCGGTCTGGTTCTGATCGGTGACTGTTCGTCTTCGAGATCTACTTCGGCTGTTGGATGGTTTCTTCCCCTTATCCAGCAGCTTTCCTTGGTTTGTCTTGGTATCATGTAGAGGGCGAGCTCCAGCACCGTCCTCTGCAGAGGCTAAAGTCGTCTCGGGTGCTTTATCGGCTTCCTGCTCGAGTTTAATCGCGTCCTCGTCATGCTTGCTGCCCCACAGAGACCACAAGCTCATTCCCCAACTGCGTTCCTTCTTCCTTTCTCTGAGATCGGCACCAGTCTTTCTTCTGCCTGCGAGAGCGGATGGAGGTGGAACTTCTCCAGCACCGAATTGTTGGTATCCTTGAGCCAATTCTCTTGCTCGCTGTTTTTGTACTCTTCGCTTTGCTGAGGCGTACCTGGTATCCCATTCTCGTTTCGCGGTCATCCATTTCTTGACCGGGCCTTCTTTGATCACGCCGATTTCACTTGGAAGTAGACTGCAGCCTGGAAGTTCTGATTCAGGCTCAAGTGGTCTGATAATTCCATGACGATCAACTCGTTCACGAATCATATGGTCCTTGAAGGGAGGAAGCGCGTCCCCGGCTTTCCCAACGGCTTTGTAGCCTGCATCACCGGACTTCTCCTAGATAGACATAAGAGCATGTTCAACCAACGATGGATTATTGTTCTTACCTTCTCAGCGGTGGCATCGTCTTCCTCTGAGTCGGACTTAGAAATGACTGAAACATCATCGTCGTCCAAGATTTCAATCTCCGTCTTCTGAGCTCGAGCAAGTGCCCATGCTCCAAACTGTGCTATTGATCGATACATGTATTTTGCAGGACGGGTGAAGCTTAGAGTTGGTGCCACATGGCAGAGGTCGTCCCAGACCTGAAGTTGGACATCAGTGGGTTTCCAACGATTGACTTGATTTCTGTTGTGGTCATGAGGACTCTCATCGAGGAAGTCGTCTCCAGGTGGATATTTGGTTGGATTTGCAGCCTTATGGGCAAGGTAGATTTGTTCATCTCTGAGCATTTCCCCACCTCCTGTTTGGATGAGTAGTGGGGGGAGGCCTCCTAGTGAAGGCTGTAAAATAGGGGAGACTAAAGGATGCGAGATGAGATGGTTTGAGGCATACATCTGGATCTGGTCTTTGATCTCGACCAATTGGCCATCAATCATTATAGAAAGATCCCGACCAGAACCGGGGATTGTGTTTGCGGTTGGTACATTGCCATTCATGCGGGAAGCAGCATTAGCATTTTGAGTTCCAGCATTCGGATGAGTATCAACATGGAAACCCTGAACAGCGTCTGTTTCGCTTGGATGATGCTTGCTGTGGTCGTTGTGGGACAAGCTCTGGACGAGACCTTCCTCGATCGCTAACATATCGTCCGAGTTTGGAGGGGGCCATGAGGCTGAGGGCTTTTGTTGAAAGCCATACGGAGGAACGTAATCCAAAGGGTTGTCACCAGCAACACTTGGAAACGAGTGAGTTAGATCACACCAAGGAGAGATTAGGATAGCTCCAGCAGGTAGAGGAATTCCTCGATCCCGCAATATAACCATCATGCTAATTTTGGTCAACAGAAAATCCAGTCAACATCTAGTCAACTTACCTCACCACCATGCCTCCCCCAGCAGAGTCGCCGGCCAATATTATATGACTTGGGTCCTGAACTGTCAGGAGGTAGAGATATGCAGCTAGGCAATCATGCAGACCACAAGGAAATGGAAATTGAGGTGCAAGTCGATATCGTGCTGCTTCGAATTAGCATGGTGCAAGTCAACGACAGGTCTTTAATACTCACTGCTCACAGTTAGTTCTTAACATCTACAAAACAACTGAAATGAAACTTACCGAGCAAAAACCCTAGCCTTTAGCTTTCTCGCATGTCTCTGCATTTGATACCGATGCTCATCTACACTTCCAAAGAAGTACGCACCGCCATGGACGTAAAGCATCACCCTTGTCCCAGGATTCTTCGTCCGTTTCCTCTCCTGGTAATCAACCCTCATTTCAATCCATTCGGCTGCCAACTCGCTCCCCGGTCTGCGCCATTGCCACCAGGTCTTCCCACCAACTTTCTCAATGCCATGATGCCCTAATTGCTCTTGTACGGCCTGCGCAGCCTTCGTGGTGTATTCGTCTGCTATCTTGAGTTCGTCTACCTTCACCCAGTGCGGATGCGGCACCCACTGCGATGTGAATCGTTGAATTTCCTCGACAGTATGATGGGAGGCATATATCAAGAATTTGCGGATTAAGTGTATGCCCTCGTCGTAGGAGATATGCGCCGTGGGCTTTTGAGCCAGGGGTTTGCGGTTGAGATACTGCAGCAATGAGCACATCTTCAAAATAAGGAGCAATTGGTTTACATGGGTCAAAAAGGTCTCAATAACAGCAGGAGTCACTGCTGCTCCCACCGTAGCCGTGTTCATCACCATCTTGCCTCTCCTCTCTAGGAAAGTTCATTCAGATCAACAAACGTCAATCTCCCGAAGAGGCTGGAACGATCACAAGCCAAAGCAAACGTCGCCGAGAGAGCCGTTCTTTTTTTCCACTGCAGAGCAAAGGAAGGTGAATTTGTGGATTAGAAAGGAACAATAGAAGTCAATCTAGGTAAATGAGAGGCATTCTGAGGAGACGAACATCAACATCACGTTCACAGCTAGCTAAATTGAATCTCCAGCTCGCTTGATGACGTAGATTTCCAGCCCCAGGACTCCACAATTCTCGGCGTCTGTTTCGTCGAATGGCCGACGATTTTTCAAGAGCCCGGGAAATTTTTGTACATCCTACGACGACCCCACACTCGAGACCACAAGGCTATGAGCTCTACAATGCATCTGTCCGGCCCGATGGAAGTCAGTGGAGGCAGCGTGCCTACACAAGGTATGTGGACAGAGTGAAAGGAGAATGAGAGTTGATACTAATCCTTTGACAGAAAAATGCGAAGCCCAATTCGACCTCGGTGTCACGCTCTCCCTCTTCTCCTGGCCTTCTTTATCCCTCGCCGTGGCCAACAACTGGGGCGGTCCCGATAGCAAAGACAAGCGAGAATGGTTCGCACAAACGACAATTGATTTATTGAACGAGAACCCCGATGCGGACGGAGAATGGATAGAGACGTTCTTGTTACAGGTTATGCTCGACGAGTTTGAGGTTAATGTGGATGATGAGAGCGGGATCGAGGTCGCGGAGCAGATTTTGAGGCTGAGGAGGGATTGTGCGAAGGGTGATTTTAGGGAGGTGGTGGCGATGAAGGAGAATTGGGATAGGAAGGGTGGGAAGAGCGAAGATGTTGGGAAGCTGTTTGAGAAGAAGGAAAGGAATAAAGAGGATGATGAGACAGATGGTTCAGAAGAGGACAGCGATGAGGATGAGGATGAGGATGAAGATAAAGATGTGGATATGGACGAGGCGCCTCCACTCGTCAAAGTCAAGGAACCTGTGGTCCCAGAGGTCGACGAAGATGGGTTTACAAAAGTCACCAAGAAAAGGAGGTGAACGAGAATCCCGAGACTGCGTTGCTCATTGCATTAAATGGCGTTTAAGGGGAATATCCTTGCTGCATTATATCCTGTCTACAGGTCACGTAGACGTATGGCAGCGTTATTAAATAAAAGTGGTTCATAACGCCATAGCCCCATGAATTCCAAAATGGAAGAACCCTCAGCGCCTCTAATCAAACATGCAACTACTAACACGGCTATTCCCAGTCCTCTTCCTCACTATCGTCCCCCTTTCGAGAATCTTTTGGACTACCAGGAGCATGGCTTGGCGCGCCTGAAGCTGCGCCTACGACGTCGTAGCTTCCATCACTATCCGCTTGTGACTTTTCGTCATGGGACTTGCGTGATTCCTCAGGCTTGAGAAGTGCAGTTTCTTGGGCTTGGGTTGCTGGGTGAAGAGTTGTAGACGATGTAGTCGAAGCCGGGCGGGCAGGCTCGACCTTCGATTTCGGAACTTTCGTACTCGTCTCGTCATCAGAATCTTCGTCCCATCCTATTTCCTCTTCAGTGGACGCAGTAGCTCCTATATATGATTAGCAAATTGTTCAACCAATACAAGCTCAGTATATACCCTTAAGCAAGTCTCTTCTACGGGCCTCGGCCGTCTCGATGCTATGTCTGAGGAAATAGTAGCGCTTCCAGAAATCACCGTATGGTACTGTATCCGGCACTAACTTCTCCATTGAGGCTCTCAACTCCGCAAAGTTCTCCAAATCCTTGCTTATGTCTTCTGTCTTGCTGTCCAAATCAAACGTTTTGGTCCACGGTTCGTACTCCTCGCTAACTGGATCCTTTGTGAAGCTGTCCGTAGAAGAGTGGATAACGTGAAGCTGGGCATCAAATCTTGTCATGTGGATAACTCGCTTGCCAGATGCATCTTTACTCTCGAACAGCACAGTATTGCCTTGCCCAGCCTCCTCGGAAGGAGGAGCGATGGTGACAGCGTCTTTCAAAAAGTTCCGTAAGTTTGTCCCAAACTTCAGAAGTGCCTCATCTGCCGCATCTTCTGCCTTCTCAATTTCCTTCAATCTTCTGGCAGCTTCCGTCCGTAGTCTGGCAAGAACGCCTTCCGATTCCGCCAATACTTCATCTGTTGGCATCTCTTTCTTCTCTCCATCTTTGTCTTTTCCGGCTTGTTCACCAGCCGTATGAGGTTGCCCTAGGGATAAGCCTCTGGTGCGGTTGATAATCGATGATCTCAAATCGGTGAGACCTTTCGAGGCTTCCTCACCGACGGCTGAGAGCTCTTGTTGGGCTTCTTTGTACACCGACTCGCCCTAAGGCGGCATTAGTAGGATTTTCTGAGGACTAGCAATGATGCTTTACCTGTTTGACAACACTTCCAAAGAATCCACCTAATCTAGCTCCCCAGGGGCTCAAAGAGATGGCTTTGTAGGCCTCTTGGAAGTCCGAATTGAGCGTGGTTGTCTCAGGCTTCGGCTCTTGTTCGTCGGCATGCTCTTCTGGGGAAAGGGCCTCCTCCTGAATGCGATCGTAAGCAAGATCCATAGTTGGGATTAGCAGCGCTGGAGGTTAATGAGGTCAAATGTAAATAGTTTCAGCCTCTCGTGATACGATCAGCTGTGAATGCCAGACAATGCCGCACTAATTTGTCCTAGCGTGCATTCAGTTTCGGATTGCGGGTTATCATCACGTGACTTTTCACAAGCCCCTCTTGAGTTACGAGCGGGTTAGACTCGCGGTGAATGCAAACACTTGCTGCTTCATGTATCACTCGTCAACTTTGGTCATCTCAGCCTTTGGAGTTGTAAAGGTGCATCGTAGACTGTACCTGGCAGGTCGACATGGGACTTCTCGAAAGTCTTTGGCACCGGGATTTGCATGAGCGAGACCCGCCCCTCAATTTTCATCTTCTTGTCACTCAAGATCCAGGATGCATGATGGCGTCAGTGTAGTTGTTTGACTCCCCCGACCTGAGTCACAGTGAGGTGCTTCTGTCCCAGGATTGGGCATGGAAAAGAAAAGTAAGCCTTAAGCCAGGGCGTCTGCAGACACACCTCTCTGTTCGTGTTGAGCAGCTTGAGCCGTCGAGTCTTTAGGCAGGGCCGTCTGCGAATCCCAAACCCGCTAAATCCGGCCTGCGGTCGACCAGAGAAAGGCGCAGAAGCTGGCTTGGCTGATAAATCAACTTCCCCTCCATGCTTCCCGACCCCCCCGACCCACCCTCCTCACCACCAATTACCCCCATGATCACTCGATGCGCATCTTTGCAGCCAGAATCTGGAACGAAGAGACACTTCTCGCCACGAATCCCTTTCCGGCCACATATTCCAGGACGCAATATTTGCTCAAGGTCGTGAGGTAACCTCCACTTTCCTGCTCAAGGGTCCACCCAGGCGGCATAAGCTAGCTTACATACACTGCTTTTCTTTCCAAACCGTTTTTCCTCCACAACATCACCTCAACAACACGTCAAGAACAGCGTTTGAGGAGTCGGTGGCCCCTTACGCACTAGTATAGGGCTTTCATTGACGCCCTTTACGAAGCCAATTCCCTCCGGGCGGTAGAGAGAGCTCCTATGGATACTACCATAGCCAAGAGCAACACGATCAGTCCCAATCTCACATTATCCGCAAGGCAAGAACAACTTCTTTACGCAGCTCTCAATTCGAACAACAAGTTCGCCAACATTGACACTTCGAATAATCAATCAACCGATTCCTTTGCAATGGCACCTGGTTCTTTCACGGAGTCCCCGCTCCAAGCTCCGGGTTCCGGAACTTTGAACGGGTTCGACGACAGCCCTTTCATCGACTACGACTACGAATTTGATGCCGATGGCAGCTTCGATTATGATTTCAGCAATGATTCTCAGGGCCAGATGATTGGAAAACTCCCCGGATCCTCCTCAGATGGTGATGCTGATGTCCATGATAAGCGAGGCCATCCCGATGACGACGGTGATGAGGAGGGAGGTGGCGGAAAGAGAAGAGAAGGCGACGAGAAGACAACCAAAAAGCCTGGCAGAAAGCCCTTAACGTCCGAGCCCACTTCTGTGAGTAACCTTAGCCCAATTCGCACATTATCGCAACAGCTGCTGATACCTGCCGTAGAAGCGCAAGGCTCAAAATCGTGCCGCTCAACGGGCATTCCGGGAACGCAAGGAAAAGCACCTCAAGGATTTGGAGACAAAAGCGGACGACCTACAGAAAGCTTCGGAGTCAGCAAATCACGAAAACAGTATCCTGCGTGCACAAATTGAAAAAATGAGCATGGAATTGCGGGAGTATCGCAAGCGGTTTTCATTGACTGGAGGGGTTGGCCGTAGCCCCTCCTTGAACAATGGAATAGCGCCATACCTTTCCGGCAAGGGCCTTGGAAACGGAGCCGTCAACAACCCTAACGACGTCAACTTCCAGTTTGAATTCCCAAGATTTGGTCGTCTTCCTGGCCCTCCAGCTTCGACCACAGCAACAGTGACCGGCAACAGAGGTTCCACCTCACCGTCTGTCACATCACAGCAGGTGCCGAGCCCTATTGAGAGAGGCCAGATTAGTCCTCGAAACCAGTCATTGCAGTATCCTACCACCAATGGTTCCACAACCAGTGTCTCCAATACTGGATTGAACCAGACACCTGCTCAAGCCGATGGCGGGGACATGTCAAGCCTTTCGGGACTCTTTAGCCCTTCTATCCTTGACAGCGTCGGAAAGACTCCACCATTTGATTTCTTCGCAAGCGCAGCCAATGCTGTTTCAAATGGCTCAAGATCAAGCACAGATTCCGCCAATGGAACTATGAGTACTGGGCACAACACATCATACAGTTCACCATCAGCCTCGTCGAACTCTAATCACGGTGCTAGCTCGTCTTGCGGTACTTCTCCGGAGCCTACGATGCAGTCACCGGTCTACAGCAAGCCTGCGGATGTTACACTAACAACAATTGGAGAAGAGAACCCTGGTGCCTCTGGAGAAGGTGAGCTCACCTTCTGCGATAAGCTCAACATGGCTTGTGGCAATCCAAACAATCCCATTCCCCGTACAATGTCTGAGACTGGCACTTCAGGAAACCTCGAGACTCCCGCTTTTGATATCAATGGCATTGACTGGTACGCCCAACAAAATGGCAACCAATTTGACCCCCAACTTTTTGGCGACTACCGCGAGCCACAGGAGAACATTCTTGCGGGAGAGCCTTTCAGCGATAGCTTCTTTTCCGAAGCATTCGCTCTTCCGGATTTCAACAGTCCATACAATATTGCACCAAGTCCTGTTCCACCTAAGAAGGACCTAGTAGCTCAGATTGACGACAAGCAAAACGAGGAGGACGAGGTTGTACCAGGAGAGGATATGACAAAGATGTTGAACTGCAACACTATCTGGTATGCCTTCTCAAGTCCAATCCACTCACTCACCCGCGCAGATATCCGCACAGCCTGTTCGAATGAGTCACTGACTTTCTCGTAGGGATCGTCTACAAGCTTGCCCGAAGGTCAAAGAGGGCGAATTCGACCTCGACCTTCTTTGCAAGGATCTGCAGAAGAAGGCGAAGTGCTCTGAAACCGGCGCCGTGGTCAACGAATCGGACTTCAATAAGATCATGAAGACATATGCTGATCAGAAGACCATTGATCCTAAGAAGACAAAGGCCTAGTCGTATGCCCCTTGCAACAATAGCATTTCTGGATTGGAGGCGTTATCACATTAAAAGGCCTTCGGAAGATGTGTCACGGATAGGATTCGGCGGTGCTATATTGGCGTCATGGCTGTACTGGCCCTTTGGGAATTTAAGGAATAATGGTTATGTTCCATTGGAATTGTTTTGGCACGGGGGTATTTTTTGACCCTTAGGATTTGACGATACATCAGGCGTTGGAGTTGGTCAATTTATGCCACAATACAATCACTTACTATCAACACTGGTTGATTTATACCTCCCGTGTTTTCACACACAGTTTTGGCTTTATCCATGTTATTCGGAGGACTTTCGTCCGATGGCATTAACCAATCATCTGGATGGTATATTTTCATCCAATGTTCAGACCGCACGACCCCAAACAATAATCGAACAATCAAGGTTGTTTGACTACCTCGGCGAGATTTGGGGAAGTCATCGCTTCAATGCGGCCTCAATTGGTCTTTATGCACAGACATGAGGTTTGCTTCTAAAGACAAGAGCGGGTTTCCCATCTCCAAAATCTCTTTTGGCTGAAGAGTTGTTGTTTTGAGCCTGGAGACATCGAGCTGGTCTAGTCTCCCTCCTAGACCGAATCCTTGTGGACTCACATGAATTTGTTGCTGCAATGGTCAACAAGCTAACTCTGGTCACAGAGGCGTCTTATCCTCACTACACTAACACATTACAGTATGTCGAGTACCAGAATCAATTGGGCTCGGAAAAGTACTCTTGAGCACAACCGTGGATTTTGCGAGCCTTCAAAGCACTGCGACTATACAATAAATACCCTCAAACCCATGCAAACGCCATGCTGATGCACCCAGTTCCTCTTATCATTCAACCCATGCCCTCACGCAAACATCTCATCATAGTCTTCTTCCTCTTCCTTCTCCACCTTCGGTACCTCTTTCTTCTTCATCAACTCCTTCCGATCCAACGGACATGTCCCCTGCAGCCTCAACCACGGGCCCACGCACTCTAAGTCAAACCGATGCGTCTTATGGCACGGCAACTGTACCACCAACGGAAACTCATCATCCAAGAACTTCTCTGCACAAATCGGACACATGTCATCCTTCTTCAAACTCTTCTTCGGCACCCGATCCAACTCATCCAGGTAACTCTGCGGCACGCCGGCTACCTTCTCCGGTGGGTCATCAATCATTGTCTCAACGTCAGAGACGAGGTTCTCGAGGAAGGCGCGGTGGTTGGGGTTGTCGGAGTTTTGTAAAAGGTAGGTATATTGGTCTTGGAGGAGACGCTCGGCGGCTGCAATGTCGACGGGGGTAGGGACGGCATTGGGGTTGTTGTGCGTGCGGGCCGACGTGGAGTTGGTATCGATTTGGTTGAGCTGGTTGAAGAAGGAGGACATATCGGGGCGTTGGCTGCGCGACTTGGGCTTGTCTTTGATATTGTGCTCGACTGGGAGGGGCTGTTTAGCTATGACCTGATCGAGGTAAGATGAGATGGGAGGGGTTGGGTTTACCTTCGTAGGGGTTCGCCATTGTGGGAGTTGGTTGGTGGGGGGGTTCGATGTGAAAAGGTGTGTGCAAGTGTGTCAAGTTCTAATTGACTACCTGTCAAATGTCTAGGACGTCGTAGTCACTGTAGAATGTGAGGAAGCTAAATATGGTTGAGAGCAGGCAATCAAGCCGCGTAGATTTCCCCTCGCTTATGCGTGCAGGGGTAGGAAGGCTGAGATGCAAGGCTGAGAGATACGCCTCTTTACTCTGGAAAGGACAAGGAAGCCCTTATATTTCATCAAGATGTCAAGTCGGAGACGTCCTCATTTACCTTAATGGTCCGGTTTGAGGAGCAGTTGTCTGTCAAGTCAAAACCTCACTCACTCGTAATCCTCAGATCCGACATCATACTTGGATGCGGAAACACGACTAGCTATTAAGTTTACGTCCTTCAGTATTCTAGCAACAACTACAATAATAGCACAAAACCCCCATACCGAAGTATGAAATTCCTATCTGATATCGCCCTGTCTGAGATCTCTGATCAAGACTTCGGATCTTGAAAATCATCCAGCCAGTAGGCGAGGCACGAAAACGCGCCTAATCTTCGACGCGTGTTCCAAGCGTGACACCGCGTTTAGTGGCAACAAAGTTTCTAACAAGCACGAAGCAACTTCTGTATATCGAATATCTGGGATCAAGATGCCACCTCGAAAAAGGGCCAATGCACCCGCCAACCGAGTTTACAAATCCTCAACGCCCCTCAAGCAAAGCAAACTTACAGCACCAAAAAAGCGGATCAGGTCGTACGGCAAGAAGTCTGGTGTTCAACTCCCGAAACCAGATAACACGCTCACTCAGATGGATTGGTTGAAGAGGCAGCAAATGCTAGAGCTAGAGCAACAAAAAGAAAACGAGGACGAGGACCATGCGGTGGAAGTCAAGAAACCAAAGCGGAAACGGAGGAATACCACTGGAGACGTACCATCAACGACGCCTCAACTGCACACACAGACAATCAGTCAAGTCTGGAGTATCAATTCGGGCCAGGAGGAAGCAGAGCAAGAGTTGGGCAAGGAACAAAAGAAGCAAGCTAAGAAAGGCAAGAGCAAACGGAGGAAGACAGCTGGAGATGAGCCTTCACCCTCCCCTCAATTTCACAAGCAGACTTTAACACAACTCGACCGGAGTTTAAAGTCAGCCCCGGAGGAGGAAGGTCGTTCTATATTCGATGTTCCAAGCTCCTCTCAATCCGCAAAACCTCCAAAGAGCGTTAAGAAAGCCCCAGCTAGAAAAGCAAAAAAGGCTGCGATTGCGGAGCCACCTGAAAAATCTCCAGCACGAGAAATGTCTCCCCCACAGACGCCACATCGTATATTACCCGGAGAGATTCCCTCATCGCAATCACCTGGAACGCCACTGTCCATACATTCTCGAGGCTCGACAGGAAGGCGTTCTCCGCTGAACGAAATTTCAATAAACACCCCTATACCTTTCAATACAAACTCAAAACCTCAAGGCGATCCTTCCCAGTTACCTAAATTGGAGGTCCAGAATCGTTCTGAGAGTGGAACTCATCCCAGTCAATTCAGTCGTATTCCATCAACACCTCCAAAGCGCTCAAGCCCCGCAAAGAGTGTTAGATTTGCATTGCCAGATGTGAAAGAAGAGGAGGACGACGACGAGGATGAAGAACCGACATCACCTACGATAAATTTGGAGTCCAACCCCTATCGCGCATCGCAATCCCAATCATCGAGCGTGAAGTCTATGAGGACCGAAATTTTGGACTCAGATGCGGAGAGTGAAGAAGAGGTTGAAGTGCGTAATCAGTTACCAGCTTCCACGACTCAAGTAGAGGAAGAAGAAAATATAGAGCAAGAGGCGGAGGAGGAAACCGAATTGCAGGACCATACCCCCCCGGAAAACGACGATCAACACGCAGAGACAGACTCCTGCTATGGAGAGATTGGTGCCGAAACCCAATTTGAGGCCGAGAGGATCATTGATTCACCTCGCCTCAGTGGTAATGCTCCTGCAACACAGGCCCCCGCAGATTCAGATTCAGAAAAGTTCCAAGAACGGACTCAAATGATGGAAAGCCAACGGCTTGCAACGCAATACATTCATACCATGGCACCAAGGACTGCCTCTTCGGATATATTCATATCCCTCCCTCCTCAGCATGTTCTTGATATCCTGGGTCGGGCAAGGGATCACATAATACGTGCTTATTCCTTCCCACCCACTGTGTGCCGGATTTGGATCGTCGAGACGAAACCAGTATCCGCATTGAAATACCTGGCCGAGATAGGTCCTGCCAAACGTCCAGGTCAAATCTTGGATGATCGCGGAATCGAGAGTGCAAAATTCAATACGAGGGCAGGCTCATGGACCGCCTACGAGATCCTACAGCTCTATGAACTCGCGGATCCCTTACCATGGGCTAAGCTTAAAGCGAATGAATGGTTGAACGAACCCCCCAAAAAGTTTTCAAGGGTTGGCCCCGCTGTAGTCGATCAGCTTGTGGCGAACCTGAAGACACCTCTCTTTCATACCGAGCCTGACGCTCCGGCGTCTTCGTCGACTGACATACAAGAGGCTGAAGCCCAGCTACTGAGCGCGATAAAGCAATTCACGCCGCTAGGTCCTTCGTCACCTCCCCCGTCGCAACCTCAGTCGACCCAATTCATTAAGCCGGAGATTGCAAATCATGATGCATCCTCTAGTTATGCCACCCCACGCACGAACGGCAAGATGGCCCCACCAGCTTCACAAGCAACGACCGTTGATCTCAGCCAAACACAGACGCCAAGACACCAATCAGTTGTTGAAGTGGTCTGGGAATCACCCACTCGCCCAGTCCTATCAAGCACACCCCTGAAATTGCCAACCCCACTTGCTGAAGGGTCACAATCTCATGAGCTAGAGTCAATTGTGCTATACTCGATAGCATCATCTCAACTATTGACCAAGAGTCAGTTGCTCCCAAACAGTCTGTTGGAGGAGAGTGTCCCAGGGCTTCCGTTGTTTATTCAGGATTCGGATGGTGAGGAGGAGCTTTGAATAGCTCAAGGACGAAATTCATTGCTATTGGCATACCACACAACTCGTGGGCGAAGGATACAAATTACAGATTATGCTTTTATGTAGTATAATATCAACGCCCGCTAGTTCCCAATGCTCTTTTCCAGAAACGCCAAAACAACCATTTCCAATTGGTTTATGGTTTATTGTTCTCCTTCTCACTCGTAGCGGTTTGAATGGTATCGGTGCCGGGCCCATCCCCCTCTCCAGGTTTGTCTTTTGTCAAATTTTCGCCTCCGTCTCCTCCTTCCCTTTCCAGTTCCTCTCTTCTCATTGCCTCGAGCTCTCGATTTAGGGTTGTAGTCAGCCGCTCAAGGACCCATTCTGCCTCTTCTTTGTTGCCCATCAAGGGACTTCGGTTTCCTACCCAACCTACATGAAGTCAATCTTCCTTGTTCCAGCCAAAATAGGGCATTGAAATCTTGTGAGTATCCAATGTCGGACAGCGCTCGCTTAAAAAGGGGGAGAAGAAAACCACTCACTCCACTTGACATTCTTATTCGGGTCCGCCAGGGCGGCCCCTAGTCCTTCACCATCAGGTTTCGGCTTCCTCAACGCGGCCCTATGCGTATCCGCAGAATTCTCGTCCTCCCCAATCAATTTCAAATACCACGCCCACTCATCAAACGTATACTTCCTCGGCGGACTACTATTCAAATGTTTTATCACCTTGCCAATCTCCTTGATCAATACCACGTGGTAATGCCTCTTGCCCTTCGGAATCTCGTCTCCATGTTCACCTTGCTTCTTCGCCCGAGCAGTCTCGGACTTCGCGTGGTCACCAACTACCCGTTGAGCCGCGGATTCAGGATCGTTCCTGAGATGATGGTCTCCCTCTTTATCGTCCGACTCGGTTTCGTCTCCTCCCCTTCTGTTCGTTTCCCCAAGCATTCCCGGCGGTTGCTCCGAGATCTCGTCATCGAATAATCTGCCTCTGGTCATCTTATTAGCTGATTCCTTCAGCGTGGCTTTAACACCCTGCTCTCCTGGCAACACAGTGAAGTTTCCAATCCAGAGCGTTACATCTCGAATCCCCTTCACAATCGTATCTCCCATATTCGAGATCAAGATCGTGAGAGAGGGGATAGCGAGCAGGGACCAGAACACGAAGAACGGCTTCCCGGAGTTGGACTGTGGGTAGAAGTCTCCGTAGCCGATGGTGAGGAGGGAGGTATATGAGAAGTAGAGAGAGCCGAAGTATGACCATTTCTGTCCATACTCTGCTGCTTGAAAGATTGCAGCACCCGCAAACCAGAGCACAAACCATGTCGTGCCTGAGATAATCAAAGAAGTCCAGCGACGTTTCGTGTGTGCTTCTTCTTGGATTTTACGCATGAAGTCGAATTCTTGCCGGCGGCGTTCACGCTCGTTGAAAGTATCTGACAAGGTTTTCGTCGAAGATCTGGACATGGAGCCTTGGGTGGATGTTACGGGCCGGAGGATATCGCTTTTGTCTGACTTTTCCATTTTCTTTAGCAGGCGGCGGCGCTCTTTTTCCACCATTCGGGCACCCATTTTTAATTTGCCTCGCTCTAGGACGAGGGAGCGGATGGAGCCGATTACGAGACCCAAAATTACTTGGAGAATTAGTTGAGAGTTTTGAGGATGGAAGGGGGGGGAGCGAACTGATTCCGCCAATGGCGAAGGGAAAGAGAAGGCCTCTTCCTAGATGGGTACTTGGCGAATAATCACCAATTCCTACGGTTAGGAGGGTGAAGTCTGCCCAATAGACAGTATCTAAGTATGCCCATCCTTCGATGTGGGAGAAAACCGCTGCTCCAGCTAAAAGGTAGACCAGGAAGCTGATAGTCTGGAGCATCAATGTCCGTTGGCTCATTGTCAGCTGGAACTCTTTGTCATAATGGCCTCGGAGGGCTCCATAGACAGTAACAAGCATTAAAGTAGCGACAAGGAAGTACAGCCCTGCTGAGAAGATAGCGTAGTAATAGGCTTGAGTGAAGGCATGGTCTGACGTCGGCTGAATGACAAGAGGCCCGCTGGTGCAAGCACATAGCCCGATCAGAGCGAACGAAGAAAGATACCTATCTTGTGAGAAAGGTCTACTACGAGGTCAAGACAACTTACCATCCTACAATGGTGATGGGCTGAGCGATAATGAACCTTACTCTTCTAGCCATATTCAACAGTAAGAAGAGATTTGATATCAGAGCTAAGGCTAATTGGGCTGCGTTGATGCCGAGTAACCTACAAAAACGACCTCGTGGTTAATGCTTCTGTCTTGCAAACAGGTTGGAGGGCCGGAGGTCAAGTAAACCCACCATTTTGGATCCGGTATGGGAACTCCATTTTGTTCTGCTGCGCCAGGTGGTATGTATACCCTCCAGTGTACGACTAAAGCGCAGATGCTGAACGCGGAGGCCATGGGACCGAAAGTCCCTGCGATGAGTGGGAACGCCGTGCTGGCAAACCACCATCGACTGTGAGAAGCATATTGTCAGCAAAGCCCTCTTTGGAATTCATCTCATGCCTTCAACGTCGGTATGATAGATTCCCATAGCTCAGGGCCACATTGACTAGACCGTTGCCAAGCCCAGTGACAAGACACTATCTCCACTTCGTGTCAAATTAACTCACCTAGGCTCCAGGAACGCCTGCTCATCCTCTTCTTTCTCTTCTTTCTCATCCTTTGCTTGGTTCTCCACATCTTGTGCGTCGTTCGATATCGGCTCGTCGAGTCCGGGGTCGTTCATTCTAGCTAGTGTTCAGGTTGTAATGCTCTGGTAAATAGCAAGTGTGAGAAAGGCTTCAAGATTGGCCGGAATCATCCAACAATTCAAAATGAACAAAGGGAAGCAAGAATTGCTATTTCATGAAGTTATGATAATTTCATCGGAATATGTTAAGTACATTCTTATTCACTTGAATCGCTGTTGGCTGCAATTTTCAACTAGTGACGTCGGTGGTAAGATTTCTTGGAAGGAGTGGGGATCTGCGCAGGGATCTTGCAGCTGTGGCTGAAGACCAAAATCCGGGGTACTGCCGATTCCTCAACCTCCTCAGCATGTGTTTAAAACGATCTGTCTTCGAGTAGGAGAATGATTCAAAGAGGCTCACGAATCCAAGAGCGATTGACAAAATAATTTAAAGTGTATTGTATACTCAGTGTTTCTAGTCCACTTCGTACCCCAATTCCATTGGGGAACCGGTCCCTTCTTGCAAGAATCTCAATTATTAGCGTATCTGAACTGTATTTTAAACGCTGCTGATAATCTCCTCAGAGATCCTAATGCTGTTGATATTCTCCTCAAAGAGTTCAGTCAATCAGAAAGCCCCCTCCACCATCATCAACGTACTCGTCAGTGTCCATACCACTATCATCGTCATCCTGCGGAACGACATCAGGCTCTTCGCCTTCAACTTCATATCCATCAACTCGCTCTTTGATTCTGAGACTGACCAAAAGCTGTTTCCACATTCTCAATGCAGTATGTGACCGCATCTGCTCTTCTACTCGGGTCTGTTCATCGTGGAAACCGTCGATCACTGCTTCGACAGCTTCACGATACTCAGCGGCGACGACTATTCCTTTCAAAACAGCGGTGCCATGTCGACCCCGAAATTCGAAGCCAGTAAGAGCATCCGAATAATCTATGCCCAATATGCGGGCTGCACGAGATGCTTCGTCATCTTGCAACAGTCAGAATATGCTGCAAATCGAGATAAGTTGCTTACCAGGTATGTGGACGCCACCTTTGGGAACCATGCTTGGGACGAAGATGTCCAGATTCCGGAACGAATTCTTCGGAACTCGACCATTGACTATTGGCGGCGACACATAAAGTTCTGTTTGTTCCTCGGTGTATAAGTTGGTGCCAGCACGCTCATCTTCCTCGTCCGCATTTCCTTCATCACCAGGTCTTGCTTTTGGAGCAACTGTTTTCACAGGCTGCTCATCCATCTTAACATCTCTCCCAAGTCGGTACCAAGCATCTGCACTCCTAGCAACTTTGACATCGCGTCTCCTGTAAACATTTTCCATTTTCTTACCACCTGGGGTCCCTAGATCCCGGCCAGCTGCCACTCTACCGATTGCCTGCGTTCTGACCAAGACCTCATTCCGTCGCAGATGTCTTTCCAATGCGTAGGTAGGATGATCCTTGAAATCAGCAATATTCTTCGGCATCGGCTCCCTCGCTTCAGCTGTTGCCAGCTCAGTGTCCTCGATCTGGTCGGCATCACTCATCCACCCTCGAGCATAATTTCTCATAGTTCGCCTCCACCACCTTCCTCCTCCCGGAGTAGACTCAACCCGGGTTTTTATCGTCTTTGCGTTGTAAGCTTTGGTGTATCTTTTGGTAACGTCTCGAGCACAGCCCTCTTCTTCAAAAGCAATAACGTATGACATGCTATTCTCGCAATCATTCGACGGCGGTTCGAAAGCCCGAGGCTTTGCAATGCTTTCAGTGACAAGAGGGTCAACTGGGAACCATTTCTGATGAGCCTCATCGAAGACCTCTACCCAAAGGACGGGATACGGTGACTCGTGAATTACTTTTCGTTTTGGTTTTGGGGGGACGCGTGCAGGAGTGGAAATCTCAGGCATGAGATAAGCTGCAGCATTTGGATGGCCAAGTCGACGACGAGGGTTGAGAGGCAAGCCAGGTTTTGAAGATCCACTGGTATTACCAAATGGAGAGTCTGGACCTTGTATATCGACAGGCTCTCCCTCGTCACTGTTCTCTGATGAGATGGGCTTTGCCATTGGAGCGGCACTCCGAGGCATGGGTGGTCCGCCGGCATTGAATGATAATGGCTGCAGGGAGCATACTAGGCGGGTTTCAACCCCGGCACTGCGAAGAAGAGCACAATAGAGTTGTGCTCCAAGATCTCGGGAACCCTTCAGAGTCGTCGCAGCAACTCTGAAGCCGGACTTCTCAAACGAAGTTTCAGCGTCTTCAGGCAGCTGATACTGGAAAACGAGTCAGAATAGACAACATATCCTGGGTTACAACATGATTTCTTACATTTTGGACATCTTTCTCATCATCAGCCCAAAGTGCTCTACGGGTGCCTCGTGCCATGATACTAAACTTCGTCCTCCACATCACTGATACTTGCTCAAGACCTCTTTTCAAAGACTCTGTTCTGCCAAACTGGGGTAGGTCAGACCTAGGCTTGAGAAAAGTCAACATTTTCTTATCCAGCAATGGTTTGAGAGATCTTTTGACTTCTTCGTCATTGCACCACGCATTTCGGCGGTCCAGATGGGCCAGGAGACATAGGACATGCATCTTGTGAGCCTCCAGTCTGAGAACTTTCTCTGCTTTAGAAACGCCCTTCCGCCTAGGCGTAGCTTTTTGAAGTTGGGCGGTTGTTCTCGGTTTGAGAGTCAATTCCAGATCACCGCTCGGTTCATTGTCTTGTGGCAGGGTGTCAATGTCTACGCCCTCCCATTCAGGATCACTCTGACCAGACTCTGAATCTGAGTCTCTGTACGCGGTTTGCTGGGCTTTAGGCAGAGACTCGAATTCACTGGCTTCCTCTCCATCCTGATTTCGTGCTTCGAGGACATCTTCAAATTCCGCTTCCTCTTCATCGTCCTCGTCGTCTAGATCAGACGACTTGGCTGGCCCCACAGCGACGGAAGGAGCATTCCGCAGACCGGTTCTTCGCTTTTTCAATGGCCTCTCGGGGATGTCCGATTGCGTGGGTAGTGCTTCAGCAAGCATCTGCTGATATACTTCTGGGACTGCATTCCGACCCGAAGATGTCTTGGCTTTTCCCTTCCCTCGGGTAGCGGCTTTCTTCCCAGCCATGGCAATTGTGAACCGTCTCCGTCTCCTGGAGAGACAATGTCTGGCTAGACCTAAAACCGTCCCCGTAATTGTCTATTGTCGTCGGTGGTTCCCCTTTCCTCTTTGGCGGCAGGAAGGTGCATTGTTGCCTAAAACGGCTCTTTGAAAAGTCGATAAGAGTTCTCAATCACTGAGCTGATTGTATGGCTCAGTGGCATCATATATGGATGCCCTCATCCACAGATACTACAGGATATGAAAGTTGAGCGATGGTGACAATAAAGAAGCACTTCATGAAGTTCCCCTACTCGAATTATGACGCATCACGATCCGAAGCGAGAGGGAATAAATTCCACGTGATTAGAGATTTCGAAAACTTTCCAGTCCTTTGCTTGAAATGTAGTATTTTTTTTAGAAACTTATTAACGAATCCTACAAGGCTTCATCATCTGTTTGTGCTTGAGAATTCTATATTTGCGAAAAGTCTACGGCAAATTGAGCACGTGATATGTCATATGGTCCGAGGAGCCTCAAATGACCTACATTTAGGGGAGAAGTTGTACATCAAAATGCACCGAAATGCCTTCTTTAGTTCAGGAGTATTAGTACAAGTATAAAGTAAATAAGAATTGCCCTCAGGCCATCTTCAACTTATTATAAATTCAGGGAGGGTCCAGTTTTATCCTGAACTTGTCCCATACTGGCTCTATCCGTGGGAAGAGCCCAGATACGACGTCGGCAGTCAACCTTAGAGTAGGTCACCCCACAACCTCGCTTCTGCTCCACTCTTCTAACAATGTCTCATCACTACCCCAGAGTTGCAGCCGCTGAGGAAGAACGTTTAAGGATGGCCATCACGTGGACATCGCAGAATGCATCATCTTACCGTATGCCTACACACAGCTGGAATGACTTTCAATCAAACGTTTTCTCAGGTTGGAGTGTGCCATCAAAAGAGAAGGTTCTGCAGAACTCTCTAGATTTGATCCTTTGAATTTGGAACTTCCAAATTGGAAGTGACACTTGTCACGTGAATACAGAGGCGCAGTCTGACAAAGTGCAGATTGTCCATTTTAGGTTCATGCTCCTCTGTGATCGCAAATAAGAACTGCCGACCGACTTTCCCAGCACCTGATTTGAATAATTCCATCTGCAGGAAGCGTACGCAAGTCTCACTGGCGGTCCCATCGGAGGCTACCTTACCCTGCTAAACATTGGGTTGAACGTATTCTTTGAAGACTGCCAAAAATATAGCGTCCGTTCTTATCCTCCTTAGAATGCCTGGTTTCCGCAGGTCGAGAAAGTTCATAATACAGATATCACTTCGACCTTGCCCGGGCTGCCAGAGACGAATTCCTTCCTATATGATTGCTTCCATCTTTATAGGATTCCGTTACTCTAGAGTTAAGTACATCTTTTGAGACCGATGACCCAGGTCATATAACCTGTGGGCCAAGTATGCTGCTCATGCCCACTCTTGACAGTCCAGCTATCACAAGAAGCTCCGCACTCCTTCATCAGAGCCTGAACCTCCTCCGAGCTTCGGGTCCGTAAGGACGAGATGATCCCATCGAAGACAAGAACAAAGGGTATTATTGGAATGATATATGTGAAGAAGAGATGGCCTGGCGATCTCCAGAAGTAGAACGGTGTGATGAGTAGCATGAGAATGCCCAAACCGAGCATGGTAATAAGGGAGGAAATAGTTCGTTCTTGCAGTTCAAAGATCCTGTAGAACATTAGCACTCTGGGAGGGGAATGGCAGAGGAGATCATGCCCAAATCCATCAGCTGTCTCGAGGGTATTTTTTAGAATGTCCATTCCAAGCTTGTCGTCGAAATGATGGAACGCCAAGTTGTACAGCCTGAAGATCTTCTTGCCATCTTTGCCATTGAGACTTGCAGGTGCATTCGCAGCATCCACTGGCTCCGACACATAGCTCAGATTCTCGCTGCGCTTGGATGCCTCCGTCCAATCTGGGATATGTGGATGCAAATCGGTCAAGACGAACTTGACGCTACCAGTTGCTTCCGCCAGAATTCGAGGAGATCGCGGCGTGAGGCCATTGGTATTCGTAGATGTTGGATGAGGCGAGCTGGGTATACGAGAATCGAGTTGTGCATTCAGATCTTTCTCGATGAATGGGGTTGGACCTCCTGCGCCGGCACAGAAGTCCACATATGTATAGCTGGTCACCTGAGCGTTGAGGGTTCCATAGAGGGTGCTTGCGACGAGTTGCGCAGGAGAGGCTTTTTGCAAAAGAGGGACACGAAAAGTCCAGGAGAGGGTAAGGCAGGATTGGACTTTCTCGCGGAGATATTGAGGGAACCTTGGAGTGGTAGAACAATTAGTCTGGGAACACTGGGCGTGCAATTGGGGCAGTGGATCTACCAAGTTTGATCATTGATCTCGTAAAAGTGTATGCGGGGGCAAATGAGAACCATTGCGAGGGCTGAATTTTATTTGGAAGGAAGAGGTGGGAAAGAAGGATATATGTAGTCGACCAAAGGCTGAAACGAGGCTATGTTTTTGCGGGTGTCATCTGCCGCAGAACGCCACGAATTCCTTGTTTTCTCTCTCATAACCACTTTATCTTCCCTCCTCCTCCTTCCTCTTCTTCGCCATAATCCACGCAATGCACCCGGCGACAGTCTTATTGACATGTTCCTTCATCTTGCTAATAGCCTTTTATCTCTTCGGAGGGTCGAAGATCAGACGAAATGGACAAGCTCTGAGGTCTGTACTTCTTACCGATGAGTATCCCGTGCTTTTCAATACACGTACCAAATGAGACAATCTTCATGGAGTTACGCGTCGTGAACTTTCTTTTCTGACCTTATTGCTGATATTTTATGTCATATTTCGTGGATTTGTCAATATTGGCGAGCAAGTGCTGACCGACTTCAGCAGACGACCACCCAATACGCTGCCTCTCGCAGGAAATGGAATACTATTCCTCCAAGCTAGACACAAATTATTCTCTTGGTTTGTCAAGTGTGAACGACAGTTTGGGTTCGAAACTTTTCAGATCTCAGTCCCTACTTTGCCTCCTGGCGTTGTAATCAATGATCCAAAGAACCTCGAGTTTGTACTGAAGAATGAAGGAATCTTCTCAAAAGGCGAATTCTTCAAAAGAAGGTCTTGGGATCTATTTGGTAAAATTTCCTCGGATCAATACTATCATAAACTGCTGATTATTCTCAGGCAATGGTATTATCAATACTGACGGCGAGCTGTGGAAAGTACAACGGAAGGCGGGCTTACAGTTTCTCAGTAACACTAACCTGAAGGCTCTCACGGATGTTGCACTTCCAAAGTACTTGGACGACAGTATTCAGGGTCTCAAAGAATCCAAGGAAGGTTCAGTGATTGACCTGGAGGACACATTTCACGAGCTTACCACTATCTTGTTCGGATTTTTGGCATTCAACGTCAGAATTTCTTCTACCTTCGAATTATGGTCTCAGGATGGCAGCTAATACGCCCAATGTTGTAGGTTGAGATCCATAATTCGCATCCGTTTTCAAGAGCGTTTGACTTTGCATCTGGGGCTACTTGCGAGAGATTTCAAAATCCGCTTTGGCAAGTAACAGAAATCTTCTTTGGAGGAGAATTCAGGAAATCTGTGGCACAAGTAAAAGCCTTTGGCTCAATGATTGTGTCGAATGCTATTCAAACCAAACAGAACAAGGAAAAGGAGACTAAACTCGATCCTTCCTCGGGTGACATGTCAGGGAGCCTGATAAATTCTCTCCTCGACTCGATTGATGATCATCGAATGGTTGCCGATGCCGCATTGAATTACTTGTCTGCAGGTAAGCTTTGAATATCCTCCCAATACCTCGATTGCCCGCGTTGACGCTTTCAAGGACGAGATACCACAGCGCAAGCACTCACTTGGACATTCTATCTTCTTATGCGGAATCCCAGCCAATTGGAATCAATTCGCCAAGAAATCTCTGCAGTCCTAAAAACCGAGCCAATTCGTGACCACGCCAAGCTCAATACTGCAGTCTTTCGACCTGCATCGATGCCGTACGTGATGGCGGTGTTTTATGAAACCTTACGGCTATACCCACCCGTGCCCTTCGAGATGAAGCAATGCGAACAAGCGACTACTTTGCCAGATGGAACTTTTCTTCCTCAGCACACCATCCTCATTTGGTGCACCTGGGCTATGAATCGCTCACAGTTAATCTGGGGCGAGGACGCCGATATGTTCAAGCCAGAGAGATGGCTTGAGAATGGGAATTTGATCTCCAAAACCGCATTCGAATTTCCGGTCTTCAATGGGGGTCCGAGGACATGTCTGGGTAAGAAAATGGCTGAGCTGGTTGCCGTTCAGGTTATTGCTACTTTGGTGTTCAAGTTTGATTTTAAAGCTGTGGATGACCAAGAGAGAATAAGCAAGAACAGTCTGACTCTGCCCATGGAAGGGGGGCTTCCATGCTATGTCAGCACTCGATCAACATAAATATCGGAAAAGTTTGACCGGCTCTACGTGTTATTGGGGGAACATGCTCAGAATGTCACATGTTGGCATATTGAGTACAGTGTGGATCAATCGTCAAGATTTGACACCCATGCCCTGATATGGCCGTCGTCTGTGGATCGGACGGACCACTAGGTGTTTCTACGATTTTCATCGAATTCTCGGACCACACACAGATACCTTTGGGCGCCACTACCGCCATCTTCAAAGGGTTGTAGTACGCATCCGAGGTTGCCATTTGTGGGAAACACATGATGTATATACTGAGGCTACCATCTTCAGACTGCTGAGAGTGCTCGAACCTGCCACCATTTCAAGCTCTGATGGTCTCATCTTACAAGAAGTGGACAGGGGCTTTCAGTTGGGCCAAATACAGTAGAGGAGCTCTGATGTTGGCCAGCCTCAAAACAATGTTATCGTAGGCATGAAGATGGAATCGAATGATACCAAAGCCTAAATCAGGGGAACTAACATTCTAATTGTCTCTTTCTGGTGACTTTCCTTTGTTTAGAACCCGAAACACTCTTCATCCGAGCAAATCTTTCAATATGTAGCCGGCACCATACTCAACCTCCCCCCATCAATGAGCATGACATTCCCCGTGAGATATGCACCTGCTCGGCTGGTAAGGAATATGATACACCCCGCCATATCTTCTTCTGTTCCAACTCTCTCTAAGGGGATCTGGGACCTGGAGAAAACTCCATCCCCAATGATTCCTGCAGCAAGCTTTGATGGGAATACTGTTCATGTCAGATTTAATGAGCAAGCAGGTTCAGAATAAAGGTAGAAATCGATTCAATATCACATAAAGAATCCTGCCCCAGAGTAAACTTTCTCGATGTGTCCCGAAACTTTTGAAGTCCAATACAACAATTTATCTGAAAAGAGAACTTACATCCGGGGGCGAGAATGTTCGATCGAATCCCGAGCGGTGCCAGATTTGTCGCCAGCTGCTTCATCATATGTGTTGTAGCTGCCTTGCTCTGTCCATACGCGAACCCTCCAGGCACGTTTCTGTTGAAACTTCCAATACTGCTGGTAGTAATAACCTGACTCTTCTGCTCCAGGTTTCCTTTCTTATTCCCAGCATCTAACAGTCCTAAGAAACTAACGATTGTGAACCACACTGCCACTGTGTTCAGCTTGAATGTATCCGCAAAGTCTTCAAAGCTTGTTTCTCCCCAAGCTTTTTGGTAATCCGCAGCCGTGGACTCGCTGGTGATTTTCTGGGCTGGTTGTGGACCGAGGGTTCCTGAATTGGCAATCAAAACATTGATATACCCTACCTCAGAAGCAATTTGCGAGACAATGGAGGCGAGAGCTTCTTTTGAGGTGACGTCTCCAACGAGAGGTATTATATTGTTGGTTGAGACAGATTTCGAGGCTTTTTCAAGGACTTCTTTTCGTCGGCCGACAATGTAGACTTTGAGAGCTCCATTCAAGGCCAAGGCCCGGGCCATCATCAGACCAATTCCTCCATGCCATTAGTATAAGATTTCAGATCCCGCTCCTCTTGAAAGTCGTACCTGATCCTCCTCCTGTGATTACCGCAACAAGGCCGTCTACATTGAAGAGATTTGATGCTTGTATGGACGTGGTCGCCATTCCGGATACTCCAATCTCAGGTAAATATAAGTCAATTGGGACAGACTTATTTTTAAATCTCTTCAGGTGCAAGCAATTTGAAAACCCATTTTAAACTCCGTCTCCAAAGATGTCACCCCATCCCACTATCCCACTTTCCGTATTGAGCGATTCTGCCGCCCTTGAGGGAAAATGTAAAACGACCGGGGGCCCCGCCTGCGGGTGGCGATTGGGGGCTAGGGTGTTGACGACTTGTAATTAGCTAATTTTGCTCTTTAAAGACCTTAAGTTAGTTTTTTTTAATATGAGTATAAGCTAGTACCGTATAAATTGGGAAGAGTGGGTTTGGATCTAACTTAATTAAGCGAGCGGAAACGTTGTTTCTGCCAAGCAAAATATAACTTCAGTGCACTTTAGGCTTTACACCGCCAGCTGTTTTCGGTTAGATTCAAACCCACTCTCACCAATTTATACGGTATATTATAAGGCTTATAATATAATTACGTGCTTCTTAACTTTTAATAAAATGGTTTCTTAAAATAGAAATTTAATTTAAAGAAGTTTATATACTAATAAATCAAGTTCTAGTTTTTAAGCCTTATAAAGCCTTATCAATTAGGGGCTTATAGGGCTCGCATATCTAGTTTTAGGGACTTGTTTGCTAAATTTCTAGGCTTTCTTGAGCTTACCTTCAGGTAATAAAATTTTAACTTTTTAACTTTTTTAATTTAAAGAACTATCACTAACTTAGATTTTATAAAAAGTTTATAATTAAATAGACCTTAATTAGTGCTATCAGGAAATAAGGAAAGCACTGAATTCTATTAATTCCTTAGAAAGTAAATTAAATTAAATTTGAAGAGAATGCTAGATTTTTGGTGTTCACGTCCCAGCGCCTCTTTGAGTGACTTCACCGCCTAAAATTTGACGATTCGCGAGGCCGAACTTTTCGAACTGCTCTGTACAACAACATCATCCACCTCCACAATGCCGAAACGGAAACGCTCTACATATGATGATGGCAACCGCGTACAGAATATGCGGATGCAAGATGTGCAAGACGCCCTAACAAAAGCTCGAAGACAGCTTCACCGGGCGCTCAAAACCGCGAAAGGCTTCGAGCGTCAAAAGCTTGGAAAGCGCCTCAAGCTCGCAACGACCAATGGAGAAAGCGAAGCAATTGCGAGAATCAATCGGGAGATTGAAGCATTGAAAAGGCTTGACCTAGGGAAATTGACGAATACGCATCTGCACAAGTCGCTGTTGAAGATTAAGGCCTTTGCTGAGAGCGAAAATCTACCGAATGAATTGAAGATGGAGCTACCGAAACCTGAAGGGGACGAGGCAATGCTCACAGCATTGAGGAATGTTACGAGCGGGATGTACAGCATGAAGCCAGTCAAGGATGCAATGGATCAGAATATCAATGGGATGTATATTGCGATGGGAATACCGGCACCTGCGAAGAAAGAGAAGGGGGCGAAGAAGGTCGAGGTCAAGGGCGTATTGAAGAAGGGAGGATTGAGTGCATCAGCAATAATGGGTGATGTGGATACCGGTCAGAAAGAAGATTCTGGGAGTGGGGATGACGGGCTTTCTTGGGAAGGCTTTGACTCTCGTGAGGACGACGAGGATAAACATGAGGAAAAAGGGGGGGTCGAAGACGAGTCAATGGATGAAGAGGAGCTCGCTCGATATGATGCCTTGCTTGGTGGTTCATCGGATGAGGAGAGCTTCGACGAACAAAGGTACACCCGCAACCGCCCGCCTCAAACAGCTAAACGTGTGTCACTCTCGCTTTCGCCAACACCCTCTGCATCTCCTACGCCGTCACAATCCGCATCGCCATCGTTGTCCTCTTCTCCAGAGCCAGAACAGAAGAAAATTTCCAAACCATCCAAGGCCAAAGCCGTTCTAACCACAAAACCAGGCCTTTCAACATTCCTCCCCACTCTGATCGGCGGATATTGGTCTGGGTCCGAATCCTCTGCATCAGACATTGAGGATGCCGCCCCTATCAAGAAAAATAGACCTGGTCAAACGGCGCGGCGAGCAATATGGGAGAAGAAGTATGGAGAGAAAGCGAATCATATCAAGACTGGCAAAGGTCCAGTTGGGAGAGGGAAGGATGATGGCTGGGATCCGAAAAGAGGTGCTAAAGAGTCTTCTAGTGGGCGAGGTAGTTTCAGTGGGAGGGGCGGCAGAGGTGGGAGGGAAAGTGGACGAACGAGGAGTTATGATCGAGCAACGGGTGAAAATGCCATTGCAGTAGAGCCGAAAAAAAGAGGAATGGGAAGGAAGGATGATGCTGGTGTCTTGCATCCCAGCTGGCAGGCAGCTAAGAAGGCAAAGGAAGCTAAGAAGACGGCTACATTTCAAGGGAAGAGGGTCACTTTTGACTGAATTGTTGTTTTGGTATACCCACGGAGTTTACTGCAATAAGTCATCAAATTTTAAATTTGCTTCTTCTCGAAGCATCGCTTTTATATTGTGGTTTGCCAGGCTTGTCAGTGCGATGATCATTCGTTCTTTCCACTTTGCTTCCGCCCAAGCCATGAAAGTTCCTTCCTTCTTATCCGGGTTCTGGCTCTCATTTATCCTTCTTCCGGACTTTCACGTTCTTCCTACTTTCAAATCATCATCAACCGTCAACAGTCATCCAATTCTTGCAGATATCACATCGTTTCATTATTCCACACACTACTACACATCAAAACTTTCTTTAAGAATTCATACAAGTTCATTCGATCTGGCTCATCCCACCGATTGCCAGAGCAAATCGGTCAAGAATCGCTTCCAAAGATGGCTGTTCAGCGCAACATCAGAACCAGACCTGCCAATTCCACCCAAGGACCTGATCGTCAATCCCCTCACACGAATCCTCCCCAAGGACCTGGTCCTCAACCCTCTTCCACCATACCTGTCGACGCACACATTTTCCACTTCCCCTGTATTACATCTCGCGATGTAACGGCCATTCACGACCTACTTCGCATCGCATCTCTTGATGTAACGCTCATTCATTACATGCTTCGAGAGATAGCTGCCCGACTCCACAACAAAACCGAGCCTTCCGGATCCATCCCAGGACCTGATTCTCGGTCCTCTCACACTCTTCTTGTCCAAGGACCCGATCCTCAGCCCTCTCCCACCACGCCTGACCACAGACACGATTTTCAGCTATGTAAACTTACAACTCGAAAAGGGAAACAAACGTTCGAGGTTCCAATAATAGAGGATATAATGCACGTTTATATCGAAATGCACGTTTCAAGCGCAAGTACGGAGGCAGGACAGGGAATGGTTCAACTACTCGTAGGGGCAGACGGTGGCACCTCAGGCTTCAACGAGGATGATTTTTTCCCACAGACAGTTCAGGGTCCAAGGAGGGAGGCGGAATTGGCTTTGTCTAGAGCGAACACCAAGGAAATATGGCGCGCAGTTCGACTAAGCAGACCGAGAGATAGTGCTATCCTAGGTTTGAGAGAGTGGGAGAATAAGAAGGTGCCTGTGCGGGAAGTGATTTGGCACAAATTTGCGAGGAGAATCGGCTCTTCGTATGAACGCACTTGGAACGAATGGCTCAAGGAGTGGGAACATTATTTAAGGCAAGAAGATAAAAAGGTGTGGCAAGGGCAGAGAAGACTCGACAGGGACTCGCGATGGCAGGCAATGCGGAATGGAGTGGTGTTCGAGCCTGAGGGCGGTTGCTTGTATTGTGCTGATGACAAGTGTAACGGATGCTCGGGTTGTTGAGCAAGACAATTATAAGGTGGTGATGCAGCAGTTGAAATTGGCAATCTGGTGATTTGAAAGGAAGAGGGAAGTCTCGGTTTATTGTAGCTAACAGCGGGTCAACAGCGAGTTATGTCAGCTGAATGCACAAGCCGAGCAATTGATAGCATTGCTACCTTCATCATCCGCTTTTAACGCTTTTAATCCCCCTTGGCCTCAAAAAAACCCACAGCAGCCCTACAAAGCAAAGCAAATGCACAACCAAGTGAAGTATCGGCCCTCCAAGTCCCTTCCCATACTCCCCGCTTCCTTCCACAATCCTGCTCCCAGCTCTCATCAAAGGCGCAAGGTGATAAACCGACAAAGCTCCAGCCACATTCCTACTCGTCCCATCGATCGGACGAAGAGCAAATATCAATGCGATAAGGGTTGTGACGAAAAGCAGCACTGCATACTGTTTGAGGATTGGGTGAGCTTGTGGTGCTGGCGATGAGAGCTGTTCAGAAGGATTGAGGAAGAAGTTCATGGAGGCTGGGAGCTCGATGAGGAAGTGGAGCCAGAAGGGAAGAGTTGGTGGAAGATGTGGCATGGTGAGCTAATGTTGTGGGGTGAGATGAGGTGAGAGGTGAAATGAAGAGGATGTTGTGTTCAGAGCGATGATCCTTGAAGACGCTCTCCCCAATTCCTCGTTACCATTTCTCTAAGCGAGATCCTTAAAAATCTCCTCGCTCGACTTTAAAAATCGCAATAAAACTCCCTAAAATTTTAGAATCACTAAAACACAAAGGGAAAATACTTGAGCTTCTTCTCTTTCGCCTAGAGCTTAGTTTAAAGTATTTGGACGTGGCCGCATTGCGATGCGCAATTTTTAAAAAGTGTGAGATTTTGGGTTCCTCATCCCACTAAAACTGGATGGTTTTCGAATCTGTGCGCCTTCGTACACTTCACTCAACTCCAACAATAATGGCTCTATCTTCATCACATCAAACCCGGCGGGCAACCAGAGATGACGCTAAATGGGTAGTCGATCTTTCAGCTCGTGTTCAAGCCGACCTGACGTCCAAAGGAAGCGCCCAAGTCTTCGATCCGTTAGCACTCCAGTCTGTTGAAAGCTCCATCCAGAATGGGCGTTGTTTTATTTTCGGAATTCTGCAGCACGATAGGCTCATAAATATAGCCACCGGGTTGATCGATGAATATTCGAACAATTACGCACTCAGTGGAGAAGAGATGGAAGTGATGCTTGGAAAGAAATGGGTTCTACATGCTATGATGATCGAGCCCGACTCCCAGGGAACTGGCTTGGGAAAAATCTTCTTGAGGAGGTGCTCGAGAAGATGGGCCAGGAGAGTGAAGGGGTTATGCTACTGGATTGCTTTGCGGGCAACAAGAAGCTGAGAGCATTCTATGAAAGCGTGGGATTTGTGCTATTGCGAGAGGTGCCAGAGGAAGATTACCTGGTTGCTGTCTTCACTTACAAGTTGAGACAAAAAAACTGAGCCGAAGCCTCTTGGTTGATCCAACCACAATATCGGATGAAAAGAACGTAACTTTCGTTCCAAATAAATCAGCAATAACTCTTTTGGGTTCTCACGTGCCAAAATTAAAGTCATGACGCAAGTTCCCCTGGCTGACAGGGCTCGCCTGGCAAGATCTAACCGGGTTCTGGTTAGTCTAAACATATCGTGCAGCAAAAGATCCCTGCAATCGAGGATCGGTCAAGGGCGAGTTACATCTCTCGAATCGACTTCGTGGAGTATGACATTCGAAGCAGCTGCCATTATTTTTGTTGAGGATTTGGAAGGGGACTTGTTTGGCATGATGGAATAATTGGAATCCGCCGCCAAAGCAGCAAACGTCATATTACGTTGTATGACATCGAACTTGAGATACTTCTCTCCTTTCATTGGCTCTGTTCCTGACTCCCCTCGTTGCTTTTGTAATCGACCCTCACACTCGCCCGCCTTCACAACGGCCCCCCAAGGTTGATCTCCCTTGAAGGTTAAGGAACTTGGTCTTCCCGTCGTGGACCCTCTTGCATTGCGCCGCCACCACTGAGACCTCGGCATCGCAAGCCCCGCTCTGCCTGGTATTATCACCAACTGCTATGGTCACCGCTTCACACACCTCAGACACAGTCTGTCGCTACCCGTACAGCTTCAAAATACCCAATTGAACTTCAACCCCCAACACAGAACCGCCGCCATGTCTCCGTCCAGAGATACGCAGAATGCGATAAGCAATCAGTTTGGGGACCTCAATCTCTCAATCACTGGCCTGGGAACAGAATATCCTCCGCATCAGCTTGATCCAGCATGTCTGAACACTCTTGTGTCGCGTCACTACCCCAACAGCCCAGCGTTTGTGCCCAAATCTCCCCCGCTCCCAGCACAACTCTAACACCATTTCCAGAATGGACAAGATCCTGATGATCAACCAATATACGGGAATCGACTCGCGCTCAGCAATTGGGACGGTCGACCACCCGCTGGCGAATATGGACCGCGCGCCCACAATCGCCGAACTATGCAACGTATTCCTGAAAGACGGCGTTGCACTCGCAGTTACCGCCGCTCGAAAAGCGCTCCACGAAGCCCAGCTCTCCCCTCTCGATATCACACATGTAGTTTCGACAACTTGTACGAATAGTGCGAATCCGGGCTTTGACCATTACGTCTGCAAGCAATTGGGGATGACACAGCCAGTAGAGAAGGTTCTGCTGCACGGAATTGGATGCAGCGGCGGTCTTGCGAGTTTGAGGACGGCGGCGAATCTGGCGCTCGGAAGCAGTTTTCGTGGCAGGAAAGCGAGAGTTCTGGTCGTGGCGTTGGAAATAAGTAGTTTGCTGGTGAGGAGCGAATTGGACAGTGTAAACGAGTTACAGCAGACGAGGATCGGTGTAACGTTGTTCAGCGACTGCGCGAGCGCGTTGGTTTTGAGTAACAACGTTGGAGCCAAGGGTGCGGAGCCGGTTTATGAGTTGCTCGGCTGGGACCATAGGATTATTCCTGATACGGAAGAAGATCTGGGTTTTGACGTGGATCCCCTCGGTATGCGTCTCTTGGAAAAGTTGAAACCACCGCTGACGAGCTACATAGGTTGGAAAGTCGTCCTCTCGCCTCGAGTTCCGAAACTTGCAGGCTCAGTTGTGGCGCCTACTTTCAATGACCTCCTTTCTACATTACCAAACCTGCCTCCAGACTACCAAAATGCTGCAGATTTCGATTGGGCGCTGCATCCAGGCGGAGCGACCATTCTTTCTGGCGTTGAGAAGGCGATGAACATTTCTGCGGAGCATATGCGAGCTTCGTACGATACTTACATTAATCATGGGAATTCCTCCTCGGCGACAATTATCTCCGTGATGGACAGGTTACGACAAAAAGACATGGATGAGTTGGCGCCTGGTGGGAAGGTCAAAGATTTTATCGTGGGGTGTGCTTTTGGACCTGGGATTGCTATCGAGATGTGCATGCTGAAAAGGAATATGAACCACGCGAAGAGAACTCTGGTCACCACCGGAGATGTCACGCCACCAGAGACCGAGAGCGAAGGAAGCAGGAGTGACGGCGAGGGCGAGGATTTAGAGACTGAGGTCAAGGACTTAAAGGCGCAAGGAGAAGAGCTCGGTGAGAAACTGAACGCAGTGCATCCTGAGATTCCAGAGCAAGGCGACAGCTTGAGCGAGGCGTTGAACGGTGTTGAGCTGGATTAATTGGAGATATCAAGACGGCTCTGTATGGAGTCGGTTGAGATCTGGATTTGGTGATCTTTAGGAAACAGATGGAAGCGGACACGATATGCTGGATCATGTCAGAAGCTATGCATTAGACATATTAACATCGGTCGAGACGAGACATTGGAAACTCACGGCGTTCTAGACAGGATGGAGTTGATGGAGTTTGAATCGAGCAGTTAGCGTCGTATCCATTGCGTAATAGACCAAAGAATATGAACACCAAAACTCCACACAATCTCACTCACTCTTTGCGCTCCAGAAGCCAAGTTATCCTGTGCCCTTATTTCGAATCTCTGGAAGCATGGCTTCGGAATCTTTGCCTTGGAGATTACTGAAAGGCCACCCGATACAAAGATTAAAGATGTCTAAGTATCCAGCCAAGTGGGGTTGAGGTAACCTCTGCCACGGGAGACTTGCACTCTTATTTGTCAAGACTTGTGCTGTTTGAATTGTTAATATTTACCATGTCGGGCACCATTTTCTGCTCTGATCATACGTGGCATGCATTCTCCTAAAGTCACGAGCACACTGCCACATCACTTTAGTTTGACCAGTTCGAGTACTCTCCAAGTCCATTCACTGTTGCTCTGATCATAGTTCGTAGGCATAACGTCACATTCTCACCACACAAAGTCATGTTCAAATAAAATTTTGAGGTGTCGTTGTCTCATTTCTGACGGTATCTATGTAATCATCTAAAGGTCTCCATCAAGAATCGAATCGTCAGAGCCATTAGAGTGTTGGACTCAGTGGTCTGGAGTTATGTATGTACAATCTCCCGCCCCGTGCCTCCTCAATTCTCTCTGTTCCTTCATGCGACGAATGCTCGAACTCGAGCCTTGCGCGCTCGGTTATAAGTTCCACCAGCTCCAGCTCCAGCGCTTGATGTGCTGGCGAGAGGAGTAGAAGCTGTTGTTTCTAAGCCGGTGATTTTGGCCGCTGGGGCCACAGTGACCGTCACGGTAACTATGCCGCCTGCAGCTGGAGTTGATTCACTGCCTGTGCCTGGGCTGGCGTCTGGAGTGCTCGCGCTTGATGAATTCGAGGCGAGAAAATTGGATGCCGATGCCGAAGTAGTAACTGGGATGATGGTGAGGGATGAGGTGGGAGCTGAGCCGCTGCCTGGGATTTGCAGAACATCCCCGACATTGATCTGGAATGCAGGGCCCGTCACCTGGGGGTTCGCAGCCTCTAGAGCCGCCAGGGTAACCCCCTTGCTTTGCGCAATCGCAGCCATATAATCTCCGGCCACCACAGTGTAAGTGCTGCCAATGCTGCTACTAGAATTAGAAGGAGAAGCAGAAGGAGCAGGAGGCGCGGAGACGCTGGAAACTACTGGGGAGGGACTGGCAACTGGGGCCTGCGGTGTAGGTGAAGATGCCGCAGAAGAACCTCCGCCAGCTGAGCCAGAGGCGGCGCCAGATGATGATCCGCCACAGTTTCCAGTGAAACCAGTGCCGGATTTGGCGGAGGTTCCTGTGACATCTGGTCCTGGATCTGGGAAGACAACGTCTTGCCCTTCGATGGTCGTGCAGCCATTTCCGATATTTGCCTTGAAGATGTCAGGTCGAGAAGAAAAGGCGACCGTGCTCGCTCTTTTGGTTCCTCCTCCGATGGTGATTGACGCACAATTCATGTAGATTTCGCGATTGCCAATTTCGTTGTACCAGGTCCATGCAAATAAGGCTGGCCCTGGAGTGGCATCGCTCGGGATGTTGAAATTCCAGGTTGGGGTCAATGGACATCCGCCAATGAAGGAATGGATGACTTTGAAGGTTTTGCCAGAGTCGTAGGAGAGTGAAACTTGGCAAGAACCACCGCCGTGGCTAGCTGAGCCCGCGATAGAGATATTGACGGCTGCACCTTGGTTCCAAGTCACCACAGAAGCGCCGGCGGGAGTTCCCAGATCAGACTGGTAACCTTTGCAAGGAAAGCCAGCCGCTCCAGAGAGCGGAGCAGTCATCGAGTAGTCAACAGTCGAGGGGTTGGCAAAGGGATTGACCTTGCTGCGAAAAGGAGGCGGGAACGACATCTCCATATGTCCACGAACCAAGGCCACGAAAGCCAGAATCGGGGGTAGCTTGATGTAAGTCATCGTGATGTAGTTGGCAATCAGTCCTGCTGAGTAGTGGGGTGTTGTATGTGGTATTGTGGTAGTGTTGTAGTGTGGTAGTGTGGTAGTGTGGTAGTGTGGTAGTGTGGTAGTGTGGTAGTGTGGTAGTGTGGTAGTGTGGTAGTGTGGTAGTGTGGTAGTAGTGTGGTAGTGTGGTAGTGTGGTAGTGTGGTAGTGTGGTAGTGTGGTAGTGTGGTAGTGTGGTAGTGTGGTAGTGTGGTAGTGTGGTGATGTAGCCGTGTGTGCCGGTGCGAAGGATCGTGTTGGTTTTTCCAAGAAAGTTTCTCGTCGAGTCGAGGGCCTTTTTATGGGACTGAAAGGTATTATACAGAAGTCCAAAAACAATGGGTATTGTGTTGCGCCGTTAAATTTATAGACAAAGAATGTATTGTTGCACCCAGCACAACCCGGAAGTTTCGTGAATAGCGCTGAAAGGAATTTCGCGTGAATAGAACAATGGCAACTTGCTCGCTTTGCCGAGACATTAAATAAATTTCCTCGGGCGCTGTCCCGGCTTCTTAAGTCTTTCATAAAATTTAGAACCGCGGATCAAAGAACAATCGGGCCCCTTCTTGACAAAGCGTGACTGCACGAACAAGGGAGTATGTTCAGGAGTCGCTCCAGACAAGCCTCTGTTCTGGTGCCCAAAGGGCGGGTTCTCACAAAGCAAAACAGAACCAACCCCTAATCCAGCAAAGTGTTTGTGGAATGATTGATGGAGAGGCGTCGATGTGGCAAGGCGGAGCTCTTCAAAGGTGACGAGTCCGCAGCAGCGGGGCGACGTCTATTCATTGAGATGGCCGTCCGAACGTCCCTTCACCCATAGTTGAAACCTTCAGACGGCCATCACAGAATATATAAATTGATTGGCGGCGCATTGACAAGGGAACTGTCGAGATATTGATGTCGTTGAACCGTAGCCAATCGACGAACTCGAAACACGGTCCCTGAAGCGGCTACATCTCCAACTGCCCCGCATTGAAACAACCTTCTTTCGACATCTGCCGGGTGTCCTCCCCCTGAAGATCCATCGGTGCGGAGATGTGGGTTCGTGACGGAGGCTTTGCGAATGAGTGGTGCTGGATGGAGTGAATCTTTTTGATTGTGAAGGTGAGATGAATCAAAAAGCGAATCAACATCTCTGCTTGCCGGATCAGCTGACCTTCGCCTAATTTACACTGAATCGCCCCTAAATCTTTAGCGAGACCCCCCCTTATTCATCGTCTGATGACATTTCATTCGTGGGTCGCAGTACAACAAGAATACACAAGTTTCCGCGCCTAGCCAAAGTTCATAAAGCTGTCAATATTCACAATTGCACATTCACATGATCAGGTGATTACGAAATCACATTTTGGATATCTGAATCGTTTCAGGGCATGTTGGGTTTCTCTGGTTGCCAAGTGATTACGGTACAGCCGCAATGATCGCTGTGACGCTGTCTACTCTCCTCACAGGTCGGCACCTACCTTTTCTCAGTGTCCAAGAACCGGACATTCCGAACCTCATGGTTGACGGGGAACTTCGGCTTCATCAGAACTTTATACTTTCTGTCACAAGCCGGGCACTCAAAGTTTTTGCGTATCGTGCTGAAATATAATTTCTGAAAATAGAAAGTAAGTATCGTGTGTCCGCACGGTATTTCCTTCAACTCGTCATTGTACGAGTACTCATCGTAATACCCACTGCAAAAGCAGCACCTCGGTTTCGCCAAGCCTTGGTCTTCAGGGCCAAGCTGAGAAAGTATCACACTGTACCTTGCCTCCTCGTCGTAGACGAAAACTCGGTCCTCGAGTAAGATATTATCTCATTCCTCTTGAGCTCGAAGAGCAACATAGCCTTCTTCAAACGCAGCCTTTCGCTAGCTCACTTTCGGATTTTGACTATCGGCTAAGAACTGCTGGTGTCTGATCCGTTGCGATTCAATCTCACGTCTCCAATCGACCAAACGACGCTCTCGTTGCTCTCGCCGCTTCGGTGAGAGGATCTGCGAGTGATCTAAACGGTTGGCAAGCGTTGCGTCTCTCTTGCCAGTCAGCCTATCGAAGAGGGATCTCCGTTTCGGGGGTACATGTTCATAGTAATCGCACTTTGAGCACTGACCGCGCTGGATCAGCCAGAGGGATATCAAGGAGGGGCAGGAGCTGTGCGCTTCTTGCTCCACTCGCTCAGCTGAATGTGACGGCATGACGTGCCGCTGCTTATTTCGTTGACCGGCATCCATGTGGAATGTTGAATGACTTAGGGTTTGCTTTGCATGACCACATTGATCGTGGAGAACGTGGGTTAGAGTGCAGGAATGAGTATGCCTCGGCTTCGGCCACCAAGTTTGATATTCAGGCATCTTGGGGAGTGATTTAAATTCTTGATAGGGGTTGGATTGAATACTTTGATACAGAGCCAAGTGCAAAGTGCAAAGTGGCGGACAAGTGGATAGCTGACGATTCGAGTCTCAAGCTGGTGGATTTGCTGAAGTATTCTTGCTTAAAGAGGCATGTTGGCTGTTAAATGGACGAGAGCATTGTGGAAGAACAGACTTTTCATTTCTTTGTCATTTAGATTACAAGAAGTCAAACTCCCATCGACCTGCGTGGGAGCGTAAGCAAGCACCTCCGGCTTTGCAAGTTTATCAAAGACCTCATTGTTCGTTTGACGACAATCCTCGTTCACCGAAAGACTCGGAAAGAGTTGGCCTACTCCACCACCATTACACACTCTTCACTATCACTGATTACCTCTTCTTTTGAACCACTGTAGACGGAGGGGGTTCGTCTTTGAGTAATAGCAATTTTATCACACTATCAGTCTCAATCATCGTAAATAGGTATGTCGCTTCACTTCTCCCATTGCATTTTCGCGAATGATTAGGGCACAAGTTATTCATTTCTAGCTTGTCCGCAGGACGATCTTAATTTCTCCTAGTTATGGCAGCTGTCATCCCTGTCCTGCTGCAGTACATTCTGCGAGCGAGCACTGCTGGGCCTCAAGAGTGGCGTATCTTCTTTCGCGGGCGGAGCATCGGATTCCTTCCCCCGAAGAGTCCTTGTATCAACTCTTGAAGCACGAATAATGGATCGTGTGTCCACAGGGGATCATCTTCAGACCCTCTCCTTCGGTACTGCAACCGCAATCGAAGTACTTCGCCGAGTTAAGGTCTTCGGTAAGAGCAAGGACGTCGTCGTATCCTCCCCCATTGGGGCCGAAGAGAAGAGCTGGTTCTGCGAGCGGGACATCGTCTTCTCCCTCCGGAGCATAATTCGCAGATAAGTTTTGGAAAAAGGCTTTACTTCTCTCTGCCTCTGCCTTCATAATCGCGATTATGACCTGAGATCTGACCATTCCAGTTCTCCACTGGCTCAGGCGACTCGCCCGCAACATTTATTGTCCGTCGGATAGTTTCACGGGCTCGGCGGTGTGGTATGGCCACGGAGGCAGCTTCATCACCACGTCCCTGCACCAGCCTCTTAGTCCGGAGTAGTCCTTCAACCTTCAATCTGGGCAGCATCCCAGCTTGATCGCGTAATGGGGGTTTCCGCGGTGGCAGTCCCTCTTCGTGTTAGAGTGAAAGGTTCCGTGCTTCCGGTTTGAATCCCAGCAACCGCAGTCTTCGTACACCAGGTGGTAATCGAAGTAGACGTCGATGCGTCCTAGTTGAGACGGGTGTTCAGACGTCTTGATAAGATTTTGATGAGTACTGGCTTACAGAAAAAATTGAATCTTGTTGAGTATGAACTTGTCGAGGGGTTCGATGTGGATTAGTCGACTTGCAGTTCTCCTATAATTTCCTGAGGCATTTATGGTGTGCTCAATTGAGCTGTATTGAGTGCAAGTGCATACATAATTGGAAGACAGCATCCGCTTTGCGGAAACTTCACAAAGACTGCATTGTCTGTTTTGTTGATATTGTTCTCGACAGACTGATCCATTTTCGGGGAATGTGTAAAACGACACCCCCCCGGGTGTCGTTTTAACATTCCCGATCCGCAAGGCGAATTTTTGACTCCAGATTTTACTTATCATTGGGCGGTAAAACCCTTTTAACCCGAGACAAGGCGCTAATCCCGGCGTTGGCGAACCCTGAACGGTGCAGCCTCATTCAGTATTCAATTACGGGACAAATATATCTCAACCTAGTTCTCCGCTATCCAAGGAGGAGCAAGTGTTTTGGAAGACATCCCATGAAGGTCTCTTTGGAGCTTCTGGGTTCGATTGTGAACCGTGTACGAAGATCCTGCGCGTGTCGGAATATCCCGATGTTGCTTTGTGACAAGTATTGATTGTGGTGGCAGTCGGCTTTCTGGCGTCCAATATTCCGGCTAAGGCTAGCTCAGGGGCAACGCCATGACAAGCACGAGGACAGCGCAAATGGCTGTCCAAATCAGTTTCATGTCGGAAGGAGAACGTGATGGTGACCTATAAATACAGTCTCAATGGCGGGCTCATCGGAGCATATCTAGAGTTCTCAAGAATCCGAAGAGAAAGCTGTAGATGCAATGTCTGGGGATAAACCCGGGTTAGTATGACCGGCTCTTGGGACTCTGAATGCTCACTCACATTCTTCAAGGCATGCGATTCCTCGATTTGGAGAGGCTGATCTTGGATCTAGGCTGGAGACACCTACCGGAGCCGTTGGCCATGGAGAGGGTACATACAACAGACTTCAGACTCTCAGATCCTCTGCTGTCGGGGCTCTCAAGCATTCTCTTAAGGAAACAAATGTCCGCCTTAAATCAGTCCTTGGTCTGGATTTCTTGCCAGGGCCAAACGGCCTCTGCAAAAACTGTACTCAGCTAGACCTCAACAAGCTGATTTTTTCAGAAGAACTTACCAGGGGTTTACAGCTCGGCTCGGTGTTCTCAATCAAACGGACAGCAAGAGATTGTGGACTGTGCTGGCTTGTGATAAGACACATTCAAAAGTTGAAGTTGACATTCGACGGCCTCCCAGATTCCAAAATTAAATGCACTTTGGATGGGTACCAGTACGGCTATCAAGCACTGAACGTGGAAGGAGAAAGAAAGCGCATCATAAACCATTTTTACATTCGCTTCAAGTCCACCCAAGAAGATCCACCCTATACTGAGACAACCTACCTTACGCCGTTGACGTTGCGACCATGCTCATATCCTCTGCCGAAGATCGAAGACTTTTATGATTCTAAAGGAACAGATCTACACCCGAGGCCGTTTGGAGCCCGCACCATGAGGCCCAATTTCGATATTGCCCTCTTACGAACGTGGCAGGCGACATGCAAAAATTGCCATAGCAGCAAATGTGAAAGCCCTGAATGGCTGGGCGAAAACGAGTACCCGAGAAAGCTTCGACTGATCGACGTAATTGACATGTGTGTGGTTGATGCTCCGATAAATTGCAGCTATTTTGCCTTGAGTTATGTTTGGGGGCAAGATAATTCCAGACAATCGACCCTTACCAAGGCGACAATAAATGCAATGGCCAAATTTGGCGGTATCGGGCCAAAGCAATATAACTTACCTAAGACCGTATCGGATGCCGTTCGCCTGACAAGAGAAATCGGGGAACGGTATCTCTGGGTTGATGCTCTATGTATCATACAGGACGATGAAGTCGACATGGCATTCCAAATCGCACAAATGGATGTTATATATGCTCGGGCGGCTCTTACCGTCATCGCGGGATTTGGAGACTCCTGTGAAGCTGGTCTCCCACACATATATGGAAAACGAAGAGATGTTTCCCTTGACCACATCCAAATATCAGAGAATTTTGGGTTGGCCATGGAGCCATACTTTGGGCCTTTCGAGAAACCGATCGAACCTTGTCGTTGGAAACATCGCGGCTGGACTTATCAAGAGCTCCTCCTGTCGAAAAGAGCTGTGCTTTTCCTCAAGGACCAGGTCTACTGGAAATGCGAATGTAGCTTTTGGATGGAAGATTTCAGTATGGAGCCTTGTGGGCTGAACGAGCCTGAAACTTTTGTTGACCTTGAGGATTGCTTCCAGACATTCCAGCCTGTTGCGACTGCGAAGTTCTGCCTTGGTCAATTCCCTCAACTGGTGTGGAATTACTGGCATGACAGGGAGCTGACCTATGCTGAGGACATCAAGAAAGCATTTGTCGGTATTCAGAAGAGAATGGAGTTTGTTGGCGGACTAACTTTCCACTGGGGCCTCCCCCGGGTGACATTTGACAAAGCTCTCGCGTGGATTAACAGCACGTCCGCTGAGCCCCGCGAGATATCTTCCCGAGTTGCACTTGATGATGGGTGCTATTACGAGGTCCCGATCCCTTCGTGGAGTTGGATGGCGTGGAGTCCTTTGCCCTGTTATTCACCCTCAACATGGCCAGAGAATGATGAAGAGCCACTTCAGCCAGAGGAATATCGAGTGCTGGAATTCTACAGCGTCTCGATAGGTGGAAAATATGCGCCAATCTCAATTATTAGACACCTTGATGAGCACAAAGAGGAGAAGATGGTGAACTGGCATGAAACTATCAAGAACTCTAGCAAGCCGGCACCTTGCTGGATGGAAGACAACAGCAACGTACCATATGTTCTGGAAAGTCAAGATTTTCACGATTCTGGCCACATCGCATTCTGGACAAGCTGCGCGCGAGTGAGAATTGGACGTAATGTGGTGGAGTACATGACTGAAAAAAAATCAGAGAAGCACAAGTATATTAGTGAGCCTTTCGCCGTCGTAGACAGTCAGTCCAACTGCATCGGATACTATAGTAACTACGGCGGTGTGTTCTTCCCAGAGGGTGGCTTCGACCTTGACCTCATAGTCGTCACAAGGGATCGTTGCTCGGATGGACAATTGGAGTTAATGGATGATCTAAGCCTTGGTGAAGAAGATACAGGTTCGAAGGGCGACAAGTATGATGTCGATGTTATGGAAGTAGAATGGATCGACCAAGCCAAAGGTATCGCGAAGAAAAGAGCCGGCGGAGGATGGATCTATGAAGGAACGTGGATGCAGCTGGATCGAGAGTGGAAGTTTGTGACATTGCACTAGAATAATAATAAAATCAAGGGATTGTGCTGGTAACAATGGTGGTCCTGTGCATAGAGTTATATCTTACTCGTAATACCATCCCAATTGTAGGTCTTGAATTCTCTTGCCTTAGACGTGATTGGCAATTCGCTGAATAGTCCGTCATCAGCATTTGCCGCATGAGTAGCGGCGAGAGAAATAAAGGCGTTCTGGAAGATTGAACACATGACGCCAGACTCTTAGCGCCAGTCCTCTAGACTGTCTTGTAAGATTATAATACAAAGGCAATCTATCCAAAGATATCTCAAGCCAAGCAGTCGGACTGCGGCACTTCTGTGTACCTAAAATGCATCCTCAAATGATCGAAATAGCTGTCCTGCTTATGCCAATACTTGTCAGGCCATTCCTAGCCCTTCTCTGGTTGCCAGATGTCATCTTAAGCCCTACAATGCCAGACGAAAGAGGCGGAATCAACGATCGTTAAGACTCAAGAGTCTATGCGGATTTACGTCTGGGACGCAGCGGCCCAGCATACAAGCATCCTTGTGACGTTGAATACGGTATACAATAAACACACCTATTTTCGAATTCACTTCCGAGCCAAGGATCAGATGACATCAAATCTAATAACCGTGACTGATGTGTACTTTGGACAAAAGCCCAATATTGATTTTATCTCGATGTCCCACATCAACTCCGGACAACAAGTGGATGTGGAACAAAGCATGGAAAGTCAAAAGAGTGGATTTACCTTCAACTTTTTACGGAACAAGGACAATCTCATTGTGCCAGAAAGTTTCGTAAATTGAGTACGACGTGCAACAAAGCTTTCCATACCATGTTCACTCACGCCTAGTAAAGACATAACTAGCCTCGGAGATGGTTTGATATCTGCTCCGTCTGTGGCCTATCACGTCAAAACCACATGGGCCAGACAGATTACTTGCCCAGATTACTTGATTAAAGATTACACATGCACAGTACAATAAATCAGACACGGGGGTCATATGGTACTGGGTTCAGCCCTCCACCTTAATGCTCTTGGAATCTGGTCCCGACTCGCATGTGGTTCCATGGCTTGCGATCCACCAAGCCACTGGATGGAAGCAGACACTCAGGTCTGCAGCTCCATCTTACACCAACCAATTGAATAAATGTCCCCCCAAAGTTTAAACTCACTCCCCTTCGAAGGCTCAGATAAGAATGCAGTAATAGCAAGTAAGAATGCACAGTGACCTGTCAATCCCTGATGCATTGCCAGCACATTATCTCATCCCATGGAGCCTCCTCTCCGCCTGCGGAGTAAGCGGCTTCGGCACCCGGCAGGACCTCGAACCCTCTATTTCCCCAGGGCCCTAACATCTCCATCCATCGCGTGCGAAGGGAAATATCTCATTCGCTGCCGCCACATTTCGTAACTCGAATCTTGATGACAGTACATGCAATACGTGATCGCATATACCATGACAAACGGCATCACGCGTTGCCGGACCTCTCGGAATCAAGGGTTATGACACCAAAGCCGCTCCCAATGAGAAATTTAGAAATAAAGATATTGTTAATTGATTAAAGAGGAGGATATTTGTTGTTGTGACGGAGACGGCGCTGGAGATTACCCCGCTTTCCGCTTTGGGAAGTCGGTCGCGGGGTAGATCCTTATCCCTAGAGGGATAATGGGAAGGATAAGGGAAGGATATTCGGCGATTATTGAGATTGTCACCTGTGGTCTAGACGCGGTGACATCCCTCGTGTTGGACGGATCCGCAACGGCCGACCGGCTGTCAATGCTCGGCTCCGAAGAACACTTTCAATGGCAAGAAGGACCTGGAAATTATTCTCCCATCTCTATGAAGGGGTATTGATTTCAATTTCTGTTGAGAAGATGTATGCACGCTGACGCCGAGTTCGCGGATGATAAAAACAACATCAATCAAGGAATTCTCCTGAAAACAAACCTCATGATCGATGAATGAACTTTCTCATCCCCTCATCAGCTAGCATGTTCTACTCCCTGAGTCGTTATGACACAGCAACAAACAAGAATGCAGAAAACCTGCTTCGGGAAGCCGTGAATTTCGGGAATTACTGTCAGTTGTCACTCAGATACCGGCATCCGTCCGAAGGGCCTCTCGTGAGCAATCACGAATCCGGGAATTGATGCTTTGTCGGTGACCTGTCTCCGCTTGAACGAACATCCCTCCAAGCTCAAACTCTAAATAAAAGAAAATAATGAAAAAAGAAAGCGAAAAAGAAAATTCGAGCATAATTAACAGGCTTCAATTATTATTTTTGGCGGGAATGCATCTCAGCGTCATCGATTCGGCCGGCCGGCCGGGTTAATCTTCATTCTCTTTCCCACTTGGGTAACCCACGGGTCGGAAGCGGTGTCAAGCACCGCCAACCTCTCCCAGCCGCCCGAGAGATGCTGACCTCACACGTCATCCGTCAGTTGCCGATCCAAGTCCCGCTTCCAGCCAGAAAGAAAATACGACAGTGTACGAGAGTACACGAGGAGCAGCACTCCCACATGACTCGGACGATCCCGCGGTCTCGACCTCTGACCGTATTTCCGAACCCTTCCCCTCGGTCGATCTCCAGACTCTCTCCCATTCCACAACGACGGAAGGGAAACACGGAGCTTCGAAGAGCGGAACCTGCTGTGACGGTGGAACACGAGGGTCCTGCGAACAAATGAAGGCGCAATACCAGCGATCCAGAGCTGACTTGCAGCACATGCAATGATCCAGCCTCCGTGGGTGAAAATTCGCTCAGTCATGTGGAGTGATTGGCTGGGATGGGATCGTGAAGAGGCGGTCAGGCTGTCCAGCCTCGCGGTGAGGGGAGGGGCATCGGGGAATCTCGGGCAGCTCTACCGCTCCCGGCTGTTTGTTCTCCCGTGCGCAGAGCGCAATGTTTTTTCTTCCATCCGAGGACTCCTATGGAAGGGGATTCATGTGCTGCTTCATATGAGCGGTATCTAATTGCCAGAATGTTATGATTGATTGTGATAATATTCAAGTGACACATACCGCCACTCGTCCCATCTACAGCACCTCCATGCTCACGAGCCACGCACAGCCTTCTCCCCAACCCTGGGAGGCGATTTAGCCTGTGAGGGCGTTGGGCCTTGGTGGGTACCCAATTAAGCATTTTCTGCATCTCCCTAATGAAAACTCTTACCCAGCCTTATGACTACTCCCTTCCTCGCCCTCTTCCGAAAACGTAATGAGCCCGAACGAGTCTGGACTAGAGAGCGACAGTGGAGAACAATGGAGACATACGAAGATGAAAAGGGCCGGAAAAAATCCAGTTGCTGATTCTTTCAGCGGGGTCCGAGTTGATTCGTATCACAGCCTCGTGCAGGCATGTGAGAAACCCACCATTGAAACAATAGCCTTGTGGCGAAGGGTGCGTCGCGGTCCTTAAGAGCTTCTATTCCAGGATAGGGGGAGAAAACTCGGATTGTTTCCGACGGACTCCGCCGTCTTGCTCAACCTGAAGGAGAAAATTTGAAATATTCAAACGAGAAAATATTATTATTATTATTATTTTCACAGACTTCCGTTTGCAGAACATACCGGGACTTCTGGATCCTTTACGCGCCGCTCTCCCACACACCTGGATCCAGACGGTGTGCGGCCATCCCACCACTAAAAGGGAAGAGCTCACCGCCGTTATGCAAGCGCTGTGAAGGCAGACAACCAGAACCAACAACCCCATCATCAACTTCTAATAATATTATGCATGGTCACCTTTCTTTTTTGTGTTCGTCTGTCTTATTCTATGCGCGCGCACAATTCTTCATCCCATCCCCTGCCCTCCCACCCCGGTGCATGCGGAACTCCGAGTCCTGAACCCTACCCCACGTCCGTAGCTGACTTCAGCTGCCAACAAAGCACCCTATCTGTATACAACCTCCCCTTCATCTGTAGAACACAGTCATCACCTCCCCGGCCACAGCGCTCTCTCAATCACTCGGCTAAAGGCCGCATTTGTAACCCTCGCTCATCCGTCATCGATTTATAAGAAATAACGAGATCCTGGCTGTAGATGAGACGGATGACCAGCCTGCGCCTTGCGGGGGAGGCACAGGCTTCGTTCGTTCGTTCGTTCGTTCTTCAGCGGACCGTCGCGGCAGCTGCATAGCATCGCATGGGCATGCTGAAGATCAGCCGGCCCTTCCCCCCTGAAAATCATCGCTTAATCCTTTCGCAACACCGTGCCTCAGCCCTAAATAGAATACGATAGAAGAATAGTACATTCCGTCCCTTCAAATAGCCACAAACGCACTATCGAAAACCTTCTTCATCTGTCCCTCGAGAACACGAAGGTTTTGGTTATGAATGCTTGGAATAGATATTAATAAGGTTCGTCATCGTTAAAGTGATGGGTACGAGGAAGGGGAAAGTGTTGGGATTCACATGCTTTGCTTACCTCGCCTAACTTACCCCCCCTTTTCCCTCTCCCACCTGATCACCAACACCAAACAATTAAAACATCGAAAAATCAAAACATGTGATATCTCATCCCTCCTCCCCTATCCCCTCCGCTCTCTTCCCCGATCAATGTCTATCTTACCTATAACCCCCTCCTCTTGAGATTCACAAGCCAAAATAAACACAAATCAATCAAAGGCCAAGGAAAAGTGTGGTCGCACGCTTATCCCACGCACCAGGGTCCCTCGCCTCCTCATCCGTGAACACAACATACGCCTCGCCTGCAAGGAAAGTACTGTATTACAACCTGCCACCACCGCATGCATCACGACTTGCTCCCTTCCAAATCTCCCATTGCCCTCCCACCCTGCCCGTAAGATGCTGTGCCTCCCACCACCGGAAGCACAACACAACACACATGCCGCCTCGCCGCCTTCGCCGCCTCGCCATGGCCATGTGTCCATTCCCATCCCCCTCTGCAGTATCCCACGCCTCGAATCAACATCAACGGAAAGGGGGAACCCCATCCCATGCCCATGCCCATCCCGAACCCAGTCCAGTCCAGTCCAGCCCAAACACACCCTCAAAGCCCTCCCCCCCAAAAAGAAAAGGGGGCTGCATGTAGATAGATGTATGTGCTTACCGGAGGCACATCCGGTGGCACGAAACAACAACAACACCATCAACAACAACAAACACGATAAACCAACCGGGGCTGTAGTTGTAAGGAAGCGCAACGCGTGTAACCCAGTGCTCGAGGCCCGAACGAAAGAAAGCGGTCTGCGAGGCGGAAAGGAACAATTCATGCGAAAGGAAGGAGGAGGAAGGGGCGCGTGACCAAAGCCACGTAGGACACGTCCTACGCAAGGCTATCTATCTGTCAATCTGACAATAAATGGCTTGCGTGATGGAGAGCCAAAGGTAGCACGGCAGATGGAACAGAGGCAAAAAAGGCAAGACAAAGACGACGTCATTCTTAGCAATAACCCTGGAATCGCCGTCTCACAGCTTTCACATTCACCAAGGTTTCAAAAGTAGTCATTTTTGTGTACACATTTACTTTCGTTCATCTCGCCCACTAAGTACTGGCCCGCTCGCTATGCCACCATGCATCTGATGATCCATCTCATCTTACTTCGCTCGCTTGCTCGCATCGCATCGGTCACAAGCCGACCCGATGCGATCTCACTATCGTAGCACTACCATTGTACAACCATCCGAAAACAAGCTTCGGAGGCATCGCAGCAAAAAAAAAAAAGATCAAATCCTTGGTATCTTCCGAAAACGCCCAAAGTCCCGAGTTCCATGAGCTGCCGGAGCCATGATCAAGGCCCGGTTAATCAACTCGCTATGAAAAAGCAAAAGAAAAAACAACACTTCTTTTCCCATCCAGACCTTGCTTTCCACACTCAGTGTTTCCCAGGAGGAAGTAGTGGTAAAGAAGAGGCAAGATCAAACGCCACTCAGATGTTTAGGCCGTTCCGCGCACGCAATGATTGTAAAACAAGAATCAAGATGAAAACAACGCCGAAAAGCAAATGCTGCTATGTGCAATAGACATTATTCCATGCTCAATGCCAATGCTGTCCGTTCCGCACGTCTGCTTCTATACCAAGAAAGCAAAGACGATGATGCTGTGGCTGTGAAGCCGATGTGGCTTCTAGTGTACTTCACCCGTGTATGTTGAATGTACCTTTGGCCGAAACGTATATATGTTGATGAAGCTCGATGCGCAACCATTTTTCCGTCTCGAATTAAATTATGCGACTTATACGAGTTCGTTTTGTTGTGGAATTACCATCCTCTGGAATGGTATTCGCCTAAGCCCTGACCGTAGTAATCGTTCCAACTTGACTTGGCCTCCTCTCCATCCATATACACTTTTTCGGGAAACTGCTTGAGGTTTGCCACGTCGTGAGCTGTATGTCTGCGCTTGAGGACCGCGTTGGCAGTTTGCGACTTTTGTTTGCGTTCCCAGAGAAGATGCTGGCGAAGACTTACAGTAAGTTCAGAGGCAAGCATGTTTCGTCGGGTGGTTCGCGGTGAAAGAGCAAGCTGATGAGGAGTGGAGTTGGTGGTTCGGAGGATTGGTTGAGCTTGGGAGCGAGGAATTTCTGAGATTGGCTTGAGACCCCTCTTCATCATGAGAGGAAGATTGTCTTCGGAGTCTGGTGAGGCGGCAAGAGAAGGTCCATTCGGTGAAGTTGTGCGAGAAGACCGTTGCAGGGCTGGTGTTGATCTTGAAGCTGCAGCTGCATTGGCGAGTGCATTAGCTCTGTCGCTTTGATGCAACATGGTTGTGATCAAAGATCGGCGCGAAGTAAGGTTGGGTCTCGAGTCAACGCGTTGGAAGAAGGTCTTCTCGTCGATGCTTGGGTTTCCGCTGTCCTCAACTGAATCCTCCCAGTCCGAAGAGTCGTCATCGTCGTCAATAGCACTCTCATCAACCTCGTCGTCATCGGTCTCGAAGACGTCATCGTCGAATGCTTGCTCCTCCTTGATAGTTTGGGCGGCGATCAGGTCCTCCTTAAATGATGTCTGCTTCTTCGTGGGTAGAGGTCGTTGAGCTGGGTCAGCTAACGTGCTGTGCGTCTTCATCTTCTGTGGCAATGAGCTCTCGTCCTCATTTGATGAGCCGCCAAAGCTGAACTTTGCTTGTTGCTTCTTCTTGAGTTGAGGGGCGGCGGGTTGTAAGCTGCTCTCCATAGAGTTGGTCTGCTCGCTTAATGAATCCTCGCCCGAGGATGCACCAAGAGCGAACATCTGACGCTTCTTAGCTGGCTGTTGTCCATTTGTGGAATTGACAGCGGCAATGTCGGCGGTAGGAATAGACGAAGGAGCAGTGAGAAGAGGTATCGATCGATATGAAGAGCTGACATGTGAAGGCGAGAATCCACGGACCACGCTGGTGGTACTTCGCTCGGAGGTCACGCTCTCTGAAGACGGGGGTTGTGCCGAGTTGTCAGAAGCATCGTCCGAGGTAACGGATTTGCTCTCGACGGCTGGCGTGATAATCTGTGGCGTGGATGTTGGTTGTTGTGGAGTAATTTTTGCTAGTGGCGCAAGAGGGGGAAGGTTGGTTAGGGAGAGTGGCTCGAGATCCTTCTTCTCCTTGATCGTTATGACCATCTTCTCCAGATCGTCTGGGGTGATGTGTCGTTCGCGACCGCGACTTCGACTGTGAACAGAATCCTGGCGTTGAATCTGGGGGCGTGTAATATCAACAGGCGCTGTGGAAGCCGAGGTGTTGTCGGTATCGAATTCAAGAGCCTCTTCGTCGGCTAATGAGTCGAGACTGCCAGATAAACTGGGTACCTCTGCTGAGTACCGACCATCTGAACTCCTCGCTGAGATGGAGATGGCAGGTGTTGTGGAGTTGGCTTCGGAGACAGGATCACAGCAGAAGGTTTCCCTGTTCCATAGTCGCCAGCTCAAGTTCTCTAATCTTCGTCCTTCCTCCAATGAACCAGCGCATCTTGAGAACACTGCACACGTCAGTCTTTGTCACGGACGGAATTCCAAAGAAGTGCACTCACCTGTCCACATGCTGAAGAGGTTCTCGACGTTGCGTGTGTCGACCTTGTGGATTAGACCGACGTCCACGGTCAAGACCGGCGCATTTAATCGTGAAGGCATGGTGTCGAGTCTGCTCGATGGCACGAGCTGTGGGTTACTGTGAAGACACGACTGCTGTGGGATGCTCGCGATTGAATCGCAGAGCGTCTGTGGGAAGGTGAAGAGGGGATGTAGGCGATATTGCCGGTCGATTTCGGTTCCTGCGTGCGGTGGCAGCGTTGAAGTATGGGAATCGGGTTTAATCGGATTTCGTATCGTAATCGATACCAGCGGCGACATGCATTAGACGAATGCGCCGCAGATGATGAATCGGCAGAGGGATGCTGGAATGATCGAGATGCGTCGATGCGGGAGAATGGAAGCACTGCTTGCGGGAGGGTAGTATATGTTGTTCGGTGGTGTTTTGGTTCAGAAGCAGCAGTCCGTCTGTTGAAGGAGGAAGGGAGGATTTCCAGCAAGGTGGAGGTCGCGTCTGGAAGTAGTCGACGAGAGGTGGGACTGGGCAGGAGCGGAGCGTGGGTTGGGACATGCTTTGTTTTCCAAAGGCCCGACGCTGGGGGGGGGGGGGGGGGGGGGGGTTTTTTTTTTTTTCCAAAGGGGGGCGGGGGGGGGGGGGGGGGGGGTCGGAAGTGTGGGCGCTAGCACTCGGTCTTGTCCACATAGGGCAGCAACGCTTCACCACGCGTGGGCCGCGCTAGGCCTGAGATGGCGCCTTTTCTGATTTCCTCATCTGGCTCGAATGTGACCGGGATTTGGCTGGCCAGGGGGATCAAGCCAGAGCATGGGGGGACCCTGGCAGCGGCGCACCCCTGGAAGATGGGGGTTGAGGGGCAGGGAGTGAGTGAAGGGTGGGAAGCATGGAAGCGTGGAAAGGAAGTGTGGCCGCCGGCCGGGCGTGCGCACCGCTTCGTGGGCCAGCACTACAACGAACTGCTACTACTCTACCACTACCACTAGTAGCTGACAACTCTGACTCAGGTCTGGCCAAGCACTCAGCGCTGGCCAAGCCTGTTCGCTGGAATGAGCGCGATTCAGGTGCCCATGCCCAGAAAGAGACTGCTCGGACTGATTAAACGATTGATGGACTGACAGACGGACAGACTGACTGACTGACTGACTGACTACTGACTTGTTCCGAATGGCCTCGATCGCACGGCTTCCTGCGACGAATCGACTCCGCCTTCATATTCTTCACGTGTGCAACTGGCTTCCGCAGCACAGGAGCAGCGTTGCCACAAGGCTCCCTTCAGCCAGGCCAGGAGGAGCCCGCCGGAGCCTGAAGACACTCGCTCGCGCGGCCCCGGTGGCATAGTGGGATGGCCCTGTAGCAAATGCCTGGAGAAAGAGTCATGTGCTGCGAAAAGGGCCAGTCCCATGCCGCCGCATGAACAAAGAGTATTACAGTTGGAATCGAAAGGCCCTACTCGAAACAGTCTTCATTTCAATTGAGTAATGGCCTACGTCGTCGCTGCGCTTTTTCATCAACGCTCGGTGGCCAGTCGCTCCAGGGCTTGCAAGCTGGAGGTTGCTGTGCGGTCCGCGATTTGAAGGGACTTGGTCATGGAGTGTCATGGAGTTGTGAAAGGATGTGAAAGGATGTGCAAGAGCAGCTGATGCGCCGGCTTCTGGCGGTCAACAGCCCTCTTCGACGGGTAATCCGAATCTCAGATGCCCCCAAACCCGACCTGGCTTCAGGCTAGAGCACAGTCTCTAGGTCCCTTCGGGGCACATTCTGGCGAAAGGGAGGTGGTGAGTAGTGGGAACTGGAAGGTGGCTCAATTCGGTGGCTCCCCGAGTCCCCGTGGCTCCCCATGTCGCACACCTCCACTTCTCTTGGCATGCCAGGCGACCCGAGTCTTTGGACCGTACCCAGCATCTCAAGCCCTGTGCATCTCCAGGAGGTCGCCATCGACCCCCAATTCGAGAGGCCGTCCTTCCACGACAGCAACGGAAACACATCTTGCATTGCAACAACACAGACCAGCACCAAGCGGAAGCGTCGCGACTCAGCCTGCACACCATCATCGTGCCGGCTACATGACTGAGTCGTTGCAGTTTGCGAGTTCCTCTTCTCAGGCCGGAGTTGGAGGTCCTCTCCGATGTCTCAGTCCGGAAGAATCCATTACACGCCGTTGAGCACCACCTTTTCGACGTCAAACAAGCTTCCCGAATGTATGGATAACTCGAGGATCGGAGACATGGAGTCAAGTGCTGGAACCATTGGTGCATGAACGGTCGCCCGACCAATTCAGGACGAGAATCAGATGTCTCATTTCCTAATCGACCTTGAGTTCATTCCGGAATGGCAAGCAGACTTTCCACAGATGGTGGGGGAAGCCGGGAAGGAAGCCGTGATAATTATGACAAGATTGCACCTCAGTTCCCTCGGCTCGGAATCCCCACCAGAATTTCCCCCAAACCCAGAAGAGGGGAAAGGAAAGGGGGGGTGCAACGTCGGAATCCGGTTTTCGGATGGCCCACGGAAAGAAGCAGCTTCGTCACTCTGAGTGATTTGCAAGAAATCAAGAATCAAGAATTGAGCGAGTGCGAACCAAGCTCAGCTTCGTCATTGTACAACAGCCAAAGCAAAACATGGGGCTCCCTCACGTTCGAGCCATAGAAGGGGGGCAACCGCAGGCAACACGAAAGTCACAGTACAAGAAGCAACGGCTCTAGCTGCTCCTGGGCGTTCGCGACACCACATGCCATCCCGCAGGGTGACACCGCGCCGTGGGATTCCCCAGATTGGCTTGCCTCCCAGAAGAGGGTGTGAGGCATCCCGACGATGTAAGTGGGTAAAACCAGATCCGTCACTTTTGATGTCAGATGCTTTGTTTCCGTTGGCCAGCATCCCGGGACTGGAGGAGGACCCCGTCAAACGCCTCACGCCTCACGCCTCAAACACCAACCTCCCTTCCAGAAGTTTTTGCACACTCACCCGGAGGTCTCACCCCCCACACGGATTTGGGGGCCCAACTCTTTCAACTTCCTAAAATGCGACCCTCGTGGCCTTGTTGTTTCGTCCAGAAGTCTGCATCTCTGCGGCACGTCGAGATTATCATCTCCTTGATATTACAGTACAGTAGTGATTTGCAAACGGAAGAAGCAACAGTAAATAGCGTCACATTGTTATTTGCGAAACGTTTTGGAGTCCTGACTCCTGACGGCTATTCGCCGCCAATGAACTGGAGCGTTGATGAGTGTGGCTCACGGCGTCCAGATTCGGTGCTCAGATGTGACCACACACCTCTCATTTCTGACAAGACTGCAAACAGCACCCCCGCAGGCGGAAGTTGGGGCCAGCCTTCCCCGTCCCTGGCTGCTGCCGTCGATCGTTCTCACCACAATCTGATGTGGCCTTTTGGGACGGCGTCTGCTCGCCATTTTTATGACTGGTTACATAACCTCCACATTCCCAAAAACGCACGCACGCGTCAAACTCCACGATTTGACAGTTCCCCAGAAAGCGCTCAGGAATGCAGCGCACGATCTCGCAAATCTCCCTGCGTGCATGCAGCATCTCCATTCCTCGCAGCTGTTCCTTTTGCCTCGATCAGAATCTAGCAACAGAAGGAGGCCATATTAGCATTCAGCATTCCTTCTTAAACTCGACACCGCTCCAGTCCCCCCTTGATCTTCTCCAGACCCCTCGCTTCCAGCTTTCCAGACAACCCCCCCTCTGAGCCCTCTCCCCCCCTCCCCACGCCCCCCCACGTTTCGAACACCACCTCTCTCCTCGCCATGTGACCGGCGCATTGGCTATCAGAGCGAGGCTCGACCCGAACCGCCCTTCTCACACCTCACGCCCCCCCCAATCGATTGGTAAACCAAAACCGTCGCAACTCGGAATCATTATTCCATCACATTGCGAAAACAAAAGCAATACTCATTACCATCACCGACGCTGTGCTTATCGTCATTTGCCCCTCGAGACCTGTCCTCTCATGCCATCAAGCATTCCGCGCGCCTACGTTTCCAAGGTCTCGATTCCCTTCCTCGGCGCATTGTCGTGTCACCAGACGTACCATCGACAGGCAGCCAAAGAATTCGCCCCCATGCGAATTTTCTCATTGGCCGAGCCGCAGACATGTATTTTTGGATTTCTTTTCCTTTCGCTATCCCTTTTCTCCTTCCCGTCGCCTGTTTGTGTTGGATAAAATAATTGGAATAAAAGCCAGGAGGTCAGATGTGCAACACCCTGCTTGAGCCTGTGCAGCAGATCTGCGAAGGCGTCTCTCTGTCTGTCTGTTTGAATTGAACAACTCATGAAACAGACAGGCCAGCGAACGGGCTCCTGAACGATGGTGGGTGCGCCTCACGCTCGCGATCCATCTCGGGCTCTCAGCACTCTATCGACGAGCCCGTGTCAGAGCCCATCGGCATCGCCATCGCCGCACTGATGCCCTACCTCATCAGCTGCTGCCGAGCGGAGGCGGATCAACGCGCCGGTCCAGTGACTTGCAAATTGTACAACACACAGCTCTCGATCATCTGCCCAAAGGAACCCAAAAATTTGAATAGAACTCTAGCCTCTACGCCCGAGACATAAGGACACGCCTTCCCCCAGCAGGCCAGATCCTAGAATTGCAGTAAATCGATGGAGTAATGGAATAATTGGGGGTCAATTTCCTGTCCAGACCGCCTATTTCGAGAGCGAGGCCGAGTGAGGCATGACAACGCATCAACCCCATCGTGTGACACTCGCGATAGGCGGTTCTCAGCCTCTCGATACGACTACCGAGCGAGCTCAGCCTGACTGTAGCTGCAGCTGCTGTGGCGAAGGTCCTCCACTTTCTGCACGAAGCGCTGGAGCTGAGCGTAACTCGTGATGAGGACCGAACTGTGCATTGGTGACATTGCGCGGACGTGCGAATCGGACAATTGAAACTCGAAACTCTCATGAGGTATGACGACGCGGTGGATGAACGATGACTCTGCCTTGGGAATTCCTCTGCTCGCCTCTCGTACATACACGATTGTTGTGTACTAGCGTACGCGTTGTTGGAACGGGGCTATTCTCAGCACTACCGACGATACCAGAGTCAAAGCATCGTGTGGTTGACGACTGACGATGTGCAGGTAGACGATCAGAAGGTCGTCAGCTGTGTCTGTCCTCATGGCTTCCTTTCATCCCATCCACGGAGTCACTCTCCTTCAATTAGGTGAACTCCCCAGGCACAACCGCCGCCCGTTCATCCAGCGCCGTCATCAGACCGAATTAATAGGGCCAGAGAGGAAGGATCAATTGGCAGCCGCTCGCCCCGCGGGTGTAACGAGTCTAGCACAGCACCGTGTCTAATTCAGGTACGGGGTACGGAGTCCCCAGCAAATTGTAATGTCATATCACAATCATAATGCGTTGGAGGAGGGGGCCATCACGAGGACATCTCTCACACTCAGCCTTGCGACGGCTCCGCCACTTCTGGCGACAACACGGTGATTGGGGGCGGCGAGGCGAAACGCTGTGTTGCCTTTCACCCTCAGCGCCTAATTGCTCTCCCCCCCCTCCAAACCCAACCAACGAAAATAATCCAAAAAAAAAAAATATTCTGAAATAATCAACAACCAATTGTTTTTTTTAAGGGGGGGGATTAAAATAAAGGGAATGGCCGAAAGCAGAAAGCCACACGAACGATGATCATCCATATCCGTATCCCATACCAAGCCTCTGTTAAGACCGCATTTGGAGGGTACAGTACTGTACGTGGACATCATATGATGGAGAAAGAGGTTTCAAAGCCTTCTCGCCTCGCGCCGAGCTTATGGCGGACGTACCCCATCTTTCTCCGCACTTCTCTCGCCCCCCCTCACGTGCGGAGAAGCCCTCGGCGGGCAGCCAGCCGCCCTCGGGACGAGGTAAAAAACTATCAACCTAACCTTCGCGCCGGTTAGTTCAGTTGCAGTTCTCGTGCGGAAACTCAAGAGACCTCGGGCGAAAAGCCCACGAAAAGAAAGACTCGAGCTACGAAATATCCTCTAGCTCCCGCCGCCACCAAGAGAATGGGAGAAAGCTAATCTGACATCTTGCGTTGCACATCGGCCAGATTGCGCATATTATTGCCGGCCGCGATCTTCACATCGTCAGGCGGTGGAATTCCGCCGGTGGGAAGGTAAGGCAAGACAGTGAGTGAGCGGCAGTTGGAGGAGCGACGAGGAAGGCAGGTGGCCAAGGCGCATCCATCCATCCAGGGAAATGTCAAAGCAACACTGACTGGCTCGCTCATCTCACGATGCAAAGGCATTTATTCGATAGATGATCAGGTACCGTACCGGACGGGTGCGAAGGTCGGATCATGTGACGCATCGCTCATGCGGGCATAAACATTATCCTATCCCATCACAGGTCACATCACACCCTTCCTTCCCAGCTGAGCGAAAAAAGTCTCCATGATCCAGATCCCATGTGCATGCATTGGTAATTTTAGCACCCGTTCCCAGCACGGTGGCTTGCTGACCCCTTTCCAACTGTTCAGCCGGCATTTCATGCGGGAGTTTAGCCTGCCCTGAGCCCTTGGACCGTTGGATCGCAGGGTGTGACCCGTGTGAGTTGGTGGGAAGGGTGGGGGTTCCGCTGCGAGCAACGTGGTTGGTCGGGAGCCGGGGGAGGAGAAGCGCGAGGCGCCGGGGAAAAGAGGGGTGGTGTGCCGGGGCGGGGATTGAGCCTGAGGCGGTTAAGAAGCGAGGGGGGATTGGAGACGCGGAGCAGTTTTAGACTTGGAGGTTCTCCAACGTGCTGCTGTTGTGCCTTCATTTCGTTTTTTCGATGTCCGAGAGTTGGAAGTCGGGTTCTTGCTTGACATAACAGTGCGCCCAGAAGGAAATTAGTCGATTATCGGGGGTTTGGGTTTGGGGGATTCGTTTTGCTTGTTCTGGATTATCTTTGACTCGGGGCATCAGACAGCTCGGGCCCAATATGACTCGGAGACGATCTCTCCATCCAGAACTCAGGAGACCCGTCGATCGTCCCGAAGACTTTCAGAAAAGGAGTCCCTTCACAATGCCGAACGTTTCATCTGAATTTCGGGAGATGATCCGAGCCTTCGTCGTGCATCATTCACCCTCTCGAGCCCGCTCGAGTCAGTTGTGAAACTTTTGCCGTGTGTGATAGGGGTCGAAAGCTTCAAGGCTTGAACTCGGGGCCTTTCCGGTCGGAAACTTTTGTTGCAGCAATTTTTGAGCACTGTTGCGTTGGCATGCGAGAGCTCTTTTCTGTCTTGAGTCGAGTTCTGGGAGAGAGCAAAGCTGGCTTTGGTGCCTGTTCCCTGATGTTCGGATGTTTTATGCGGATTTCAGGGGCTCTCACTTGTGGGGGAGTCCATGGCTTTGAGATGCGAAACCTTTGTCGGGTTTTCCAACATCTGAATATTTTTTAATTCAAATAAAAAAAATATTCGAGGAGGACGGGTCCCTGCAAGCCCAAGCCCCTGGAATGGCTATTCTTCGAAATTCGAGGCTGCTCGTGGTTGAGCTTCCCAGAATAATGGCTGCTCCTCTCCCGGATGCGTCGATATTTCCATGTTTTCGCTCAGGCCTCCCCACACATCCCCAACGGCGGACCACTCCGCGGGATTCCCTCCCGAGATTAAATCTCTCTTATCACCCTGCAATCAACCAGCCAGTGTGACCGTCGTCGCCATTTGCGCTCATACCAGGTCCCAGAGTCAATAAAATAATAATCGCCCTGGTGTCGAAGGCATGACGGTTGGACTTCCCCGGCGCCACATGGCGATCCGCCAATGCAGGGTCTTTCCAAGAGAATTCCAGGACTCAGGAGCAGCCTTGCATCTGGGATTCCAGATTGAGTGAATCGGAGGGCTTGGACCTTGCCCACCGAACACAATCGAGACATGTGGCCACCGCGGAACCTCAGGGTGCGACCCGCCGCAAGCGGAAGGCTGCGCCTTGACTGCCCAACTCAGTGCTCACGCGCTTGCGTAGACGTTCCCGGAAATACTCATTTACCGCAATGCCTTCAGCAGCGTTCCGGAACTCGACCAGCTGCCAGAAGTGTCGTCCTGTGCAATGCAGGCCTGCAGCAAATTCGACATGAGCCATCAGGCTAAGATCTCCGAGCCTTGCAACGTGCCGCACCATAGATATGCAGGTACAGACAGACGGACAGGCAGCCAGGCAGCTTCGTCAATCGAGCGCACCCTCACCACTCCGCACCCCACCACACCCGCCGGCCAAATTTGGCCAAGCGAGTCCGGGCCCCTGTCCACACCCCCTCGCGCGGAACAGATGGGCCACCTCCGCAGATTCTAGCGTCGCGCAGCAGAACTTCCATGCATGGCTCCCATGCCGCTCGTCTCCCATCCAGCGGTCCGAATTCGTTCGGCCCTGCTTCGGCTGGCCGCTGGCCACGAGGGAGGCATGGGTGCGAACTCGCACGAGTCAGCCAATGGCGATGCCGACAGCGTACCAGGCAAACGTCGACTTTCTGCATTGGGGATGCCGCCGTCGGCTAAAGGAGGGGAACCATGAGAGGCCTCTGGGACACTGGATCTGGATCCTTGATGCTGGAACGGCCCTCGTGGCCTCGGATCCATTGATGGAAATCCATTTTCCGTCGGAAAAGTTTACTTCCCTCTCTTTGTATTATTGCGCTCTTTTAGCTCTGACGTTGGCGACGGTAGCTTGTAGCCGACGATAATCGACGGCGATAATAGAAGACAATAATACTCAAATAATGGACGCACCAAGCCTCAGCCACAGTGAGATCTTCTGCCATCTGACCAGCAAAATCGGGACAAAAGGCCCGTCAACCCCTCATCCTTCTTTCCTTTTGACTTTCACAGGTTGCCACACCTTTGAATCGCAACAAGGGAATCCAGGCGTCACGTTCCAGTCTTTTCCAGCTTGAATGAGTTGACCTTTCAGGTAAGAATGCTGACAGGAAGATGGTGCTCCGAACCGTATTCGGCATCTTTGACGCCTCACCTCGCAACGTTGCAAATTTCCGCCTGACGCGTGAGGGCTTGTACCGAAGTACCTTGCCGACCAGCGGCAGCGCCACATGTCAAGAACCTCCAGGGAGGGGTCGAAGGGCCAGGATCCTTTCCCAGCTGTCAGAAGTTAGAACTTCCCCAATCCCCATACGTGATTTCCGAGGTCGCGGTTCGTTTCCGAGACGAAACGTCCGTGTCCCCACCCAACGTTTCTCTGGGAATTCATTATTAATTCAAGAATTACACATCCTCTGATCTCTTGCCTTTCGCAACGAGGGGGTGTTCGGCTTCAGATTCCGGATTGGGAAATATCCAGGACCTCGACTCTCGAGGAGGAAGGCGCGAAGCGTCCCGCCACTCTTGAACCACCCACGCGGGATGCTAGACTCAAGAGCACGCGGTCAGGCCCGCCTTTTCGCATGTCTCTCAGTTGAAACCGCCCTCGTGGGATACAAATTCAAAGGCGTCCTTATCGTGCCGACGCCTTCCAGAAAAGAAAAAGCAATTTCGTCAAGTTGTTCCTCGGGTTGAAGGCAGGTACGGAGGTACTTCGCCCCGCACGAGATTGAGATTGCCTTTTGCCGTCGGCACAGCTCGTGCCTCTCGATATCGTTATCATTTGGCTCCTTCATCCCAACCTCCTGGTCCACCCTCCTAAAACGAAACACCCAAGAGTTCAATGAAATAAAGAAAAGAAAAGAAAAGAAAAACAAACGCAACATATGCAAACTAATAATCTTTAATTGATTAACTTTCAGGAACCTTCTTCCACTTCCGCTATTATTCAGCAAGACCAAACTCGTCGAGTCAAGGTCCTTGAGTCAAGGAGCTCGTTCAGCGTCCCACCAAACAAAAGACGAACGACGCTCCGGAGAAAGCCACCCCCTTCCACCTTCGCCCCCGGGCTCCGGGGAAGAAGACCCAACCACCCGCTCGGGATACCTCCCTCCTGCTTCCAGCCAACCAGACACACTTACGTCCTGCACTAGCAAGCCCTTCCTCCGCACCCTGCTCCTCCAACTGTGTTCCCCGAAAAGCCATTTCAGTCCAAGTCCCAGGATCGAGAGGATGTGACGTGAACCGCGCGTGTGCAGACTGCAGGCAAAGCACAGAAACGGTCCTGTACCAAAGTTTTGACCCCAAAAGCAGAAAATGAGAGACGCAGGAGGAGCCAGAAGAAACCCCCTCCCAACCGCGCGTCCTTGACGCGAGAGAGGGTGCGAATCGGGACTTGGCACGAAAAGCTAAAACATTATTCTTAATTCTTAACTTTAAATTCGCACAGTCCCAATTGTTTTTTTATTTTACTGTAAGGCTTCCCGTATTGGAGAGGGAGGGGGCGTGCTCGGGACGGGGATGATCGGGAAGAGAGAGGATGTTGCGATTGCAAGCTGCAGGGACCGCGTTCGGTGATCCCAAGGCGTTGAAACGCGCGCGCCCTAAATCACGAGTTGCCAGTGCAATTCAGGAACGAAAAGATCCCCCCCGCAACCCCCCCAGTTTTCAGCTCCAGCCTCCTCCTTCAGCTCCGCCTGGGATTTAAATATAGAAATTCTTGAATCCCAGCGGTCCTGGGAACAAAACGCGATGTGTTTTGCTGACGTTTGTCCCCTTCACCCAGTCAGAGCACTGATTCTGAGATATCATGAAGATTATCGTGATCAAAGGATGGAGAGAGGAGCCGGGTACGCAAGGGCTGTACTGTACTGTACTGTGCCTTGCATAATTCCCACTCCCCAGTCCCCCAATATTCTGTTCTCTTCTCAAATAAAATAAATTCTTTCTCCTTACATCCATCCGCATCTGCATTTGCATTTTTGTACTACATATCCCCCAGACCCCCCTAAATACGAGAAACCTTCTCAACAATAACTCAGCTGTATGTCTGTTTGTCTGTCTCGGCCGGTTTTATTGGGATTCAAATCGTTGGGCACCGGTTTGCATTGCCAGGAGAACCATTTTCGTACCAGAAGCCCTCCCCCTTACTTTCGCATGCCTCACCCGAAATATCGGGAGCGAGGGAGGTAGGTAGGGAACATGGTACAGTACAGTACGAACTTCAATTTTTATTATTATTTAATTTTCTGTTTTTTGTTTTTTGTATTTTTTTTTTCGCATCGGGAAGTTTTGCATCGGGAGGGAGGGAGGGAGGGAGTGCGCAATACCGCAATGATGTAAGAACCTTAGCTTCCCGTCGCCCAGTGAGTGCCTGCCTGCGGGAAACCCCCCAGTGTTCCAGTGGGTATGTATGGTGCAGGCCCCAGCATCCAAGGGGATCGGATCTCTGCTCTCGCTCTCGCATTTTAAATCAAGCCCAAGCTTTTGTGGAAAGAGAAAAAAAAAACGGCCTTCTCTCTCCGTTTTGGGAATCGGCGAACAGGCGACGGGCAATTAATTGTGTTTTTGTTTTGTCTATTCTTCACCAGCAAGGAAATGATTTCTTGCTGTGCTGTGAGAATAGGTTAGGCGGGTGTCGCTCTCGTATTCAATCAATCCCAGGGCCTGGGGGGGCTTGAAAAACGGATTTCCCTATTCCACAAAGATAATCCATCTCAAACTCCGCCTTCGGTCATCGAAAAAATTAAATACAATACAACAACACAACCCGTGTTGTGTTTGCCTTGCATCCTACGAATTTTCTTATTGGTGCCCCTTTTTTACATTTTTCTATCACACGTAGTGAAAGGCGTGAATGGTGTGTGCTTCCGGATCTCATGCGCGCCAATCGCACACCCGCTCCCGCGGATCCTCGCGCTGATTGGGGGGAGTGGGGTGGGGGCGGGGGGATGGGATTTTCCTGTCACGTTATTCTTGTGGCGACCTGTGTTACCGTGATAACCATCCGTGCTGTGATGGGGGAAATGAGGGTTGTGATACCTTCGTGGGGAAGAGCGTGGGGTGAGGAATAGGGAGGGTGCTTGATGCGCCGTGGCTTGTCGAGCTATTTTCGTAGGCTATTGTATTGCATCAAACAATATTCTACAGTCCAGCAAGCACGCTCCTTGGTTACATCTCCCAATTTGAATGTGCCGCTCAAAGATCAGCCGGATTTTGATGTCCCAATGGGGAACGAGGGGTGCTGTACAAGCGCGACAATCACCACTTTCACTTCATCCCCTATTCCTTCACCTTACTCGCCCCTCCTGGTCACCTTCGCTCTTGGACGGTCGAGGACTAATATCACTGAGCGCTTCCGGGTGAACTCGAGTCCGCGCTCACATCAAGTGGTACACACACCAACGGATGTTTGATCCGCTTTAGGAAAGCTTTATCTACAATACAACTAAAGGCTATGTTAGCAGAGGTGTTGTTGGGTGTAAAGAAACGAGAAGCCACAGACGAACTGAGTCGGAAGATACATATCATGCTTGAGGCTACAAAGGGCACTTTATTTTCAGAACTGTTCTAGCAGTGCCAATGTGTAACCGCCTGTTTTTCGAGTGTGAGCTGGTCTACCAAGTCAGCGTATTGTAATCCGGCTACTACAGTATTCCACCCCCTCATCACATCGCACACCCTGTCGCAGGTAACAATACCTAAGCAATACATACACCGCGCCGCCTCGTTACGGATCGCGGTTCTCCTCCTCTCACCCTCCCTCTCTGTTCGACTTAACATCTGTGCGATATCGCAAATCATCTTGCTTATCCGCGTCTGAACAGAAAGCTTTCAATGCAGGCACTGCAGATTTGGAAAGCTGGTTGAGAAGACGCAGGGCTCAACTGGGTTTCTTTAGTTTGGCCTTATTAAACCTGACTTTCCTCTCTTTACCCTTTTACTTTTCTATCCAGCAAAGGTAATAGTGACGGACAACGCTGTTGGGGGGGGGGGGGGGCAAAGACGCTTTAGCGCGAACATCTGTGGATGTGGGAGAGGAGGACGACTTTTGGGGCGCAGAAGCTATTGTAGAGGAGGATTGGTGGCCATTGCAGTTCTTGCTTAGTCCACCTAGTCATCTTAAGTACTAAAGCTCTCCAAGGCCAATTGATGAGGTGCTACGGTCTCCTAAACTTCCTCTTGTCCTTTCTGGACATCTTCACTCTGTCCCTGGTCCCCTTCCCACCCTCCCAAAACCCTCCCCCTCCCCTCTTCCCACTCATAACCCCATGACAAACCGCACAATCCTCGGGCCGATAATTCTGCTCTCTGGAACACCATCCACAAATCATGCGATTCGCCCACTCATTCGGGTGCTCTTCCTCCTCATCATGGCATTTATCACACGCATACACCTTCTGACAACAGCTAAATCGAAACCATCTATAACTCTTTGAGTAATGGCGGCAGCGTCCGCGTTTTGGGAGCTCGGTTCCAGCTTGGAGACCGAGGGTTTCTTTCTTGCGGCGTGGACCGGAGGAGGGTGGCAGGCGGCCGGATGTGGAGATGCGCAGGAATTTGACGGAGGGGAGTTTGAAGGTGAATTTTTGGTGGCATTCGCGGCAGACGTTGGTTGTTGATTCGCCTTGCACGGAGACGATGCCGGGTGCCGGGTAGGCGGTTGAGCATTGAGAGCAGGTGGGTATGAATGTGCTAAATAGGTAGGTCAGTACTGCTGTGTAGTAGGTGAAGTGAGGAAGTCTACCTAGGCAGCATATCTCCCACAATGCAGCCCTCGAGGTCTAAGAACCCTGCTCGAACGGCGTGTGCGTGAACTAAATCTCTTCGGAAGGTGATGCTCAGTTGGCTGGCACATTTCCGGCAACCCTCTGACTTCATGATGCCATTTTTAAGCCCCTTTATCTCCGTAACGTCCTTGCACCTCTCGCACTTGACTGTGATGTTCAGGACTACAACCCCAAGAAGCTCAAGGCCATAGAGTTCAATAAAAGGAAACGAGATTGCAGTGCCTCGCTCTGGATTCTGGGCCGGCTCTTGAGAGGGTTCCGACTCGCCAGCTGTTGCGGCTTTGACTCCAATTCCACCCTCATAATCCGACGTCTCCTCTTCTGTGTCATAGGAATAAAGATCGTCAGTGTCGGTTCCAGAAGGGTCGTCGGCGTCAATGACCGTCCATTCAGGAGGACGAGTGATGTATTGAATGTGGTTTCGGTCCGGATCTTGTTGACTCTCAACCGATTTTCCCTTATCCATGGAATCAGGGGCAACTGGCGTAAGCGAGGGGGCCAGCTGAGGAACAACCTTTGGCTCAAGAGGAGTCTTCGCCAGAACATGCATATTCTGTGCCAGGAAATTGACATGGCCCATCAAGGTAGTGTCTTTCTTCTCCGTAGACTTCTGCTCAAATCCATAAACAACTGCTTCCGAGTCTGCCGGATCAACTCCTTCAAATCCAATTCTGCAGGGCTGAAGGGGATACAGTAACGGAACAAAGAGTTGAACGGTTTTAACTGCTTGTAATTGTACAGGTAACTCTGCTCGTCGCCTTAGTTCCAGTGGAAGGATATAAGCTATCCCATCGCCAGACTTCTTGTAAAGGGGAAGTCGTCCCATTCTCGCCTCCAGCTGTCTGGTCTCGGACTCTCTTTTCTTCGATGCTTCGGCCTTCTGCTCCTCTGTGAAAATCTCTGCCGGCTTGACATAAGTTGGTGCACCATGGCCATTAGCACTTCCCATAGCTTTGGCATCAGTGGTTACTACTGAAGGCTCAACTGAACGATAAGGTAAAGCTGAAAGATGTCTTGTGTCTTTATTCGGCACTAATTTAACTGTATCTGCTTTTGGAGCTGACAAGAACGCCTCAAGATTCTTGTCAAGAGCTTTCATCAGCTCCAAAAGACTTGTATCGGGCTTGTCGTTGGCTATGGCGTCAAAGCCAGCCTCGACATTGAGAGCAAAGCCTCGTGGGATGTCCTTGTTGCCAACCTTCAGTGTTGGTCTAGCTCCTGGGTACTTTACTGGTACAGAGAGCAAACATTCCAAGGCCGTCATCTCAAACGGGAAGTCAGGATCCGAGGGGGTAAGGCTGATCTTGAGCAAGGTTCCTCCGTCCGCCTGCCTCGTCTCTTTGGGAGAAAACCGTCTCCGGATTTGGCCCAGTTGGAACTCCCTTGGATCCTTGGCCTGCGCTTGAGGGATTGGCTTTGGTACAACGCGTGAAGCAGGGGCTGGTTTCGTAACAGCCTGTCTCCGATCTTGAATCATCCCGTCCTCTCTCGGCATATTCGGTGCACTTGCTGACGACGAAGCCTCTGCCACCTCCCTCTGTGCTGGTCTCGTATTAACTACTGGAGCTCCAGGAAGTCGTGTGTCATCATGCAGGAAAGGACATGCATTGCCTGCTCGACAATAACCTATCCTTCACATCAGCTTCTGATATCGTATGATCATCTTGTCGAGGCTGAGTGTGTAGCCATGTCACGGGGTGTGACACAACAGAAGCCCGGGATTCCCATGACAAAAGCCATCGAGGCATCTCAACAATCCAATGCCAACAAGCACCACCACCCCACGCTGCCCGTGATAGCGGTGAAAATCACTTGATCCACTGAAGATGCTGTACGACACGTTGCATATGCAAACAAGACGGTATTGCACCAATAGAATAAAATCAGAAATATTGCGAGGAAAACAATTACCTGCTCCGAAATATCGACAAACCCTGGCTTTCAGGTGATGATCCAAAGCGCGTGAGGCGGAATCTATGCGTTGTCAGTCATGCCCCGCGATCCCCTCCAGCCAAACCTGGTCCAGATTGGCGTGCACATGGGGTGGGAGAGTGCGAGCGAGGCGGTGAAGAAAGTCTGCGGAACCTACCTGTTGGAGGGGTTCCAGATGCCATGGTCATGACCTGAAAGCTCAAGTCCGGGGGCGAAATGGGCGGAGCTGGGGAATGGGAATAGGCTGACGTTTGTTGGCGTTGCGCCTGGGGCTGGGGCCTGGGGCTGCGGTTGCGGGGTTGCCTTGTCGCGATGATTTGGCTGGACACAAGAATAAGCAGATGACAAACAGAAGTCCAAATCTGACGAGGGAGCTGAAAGGAAAGATCACGATGCGCTCATCCTCGCCTTTATGGCTGTTGTGATCACGGGATCACGGGATGGAAGGTGAGAGGCGAGGCTGTTGATGAGTCAAAAATGGCCACAGGCTGCACACAGAACATGACTGTTTTGGCCTGGGATCTGAGTCATCCCGACTCATTGTGATCCTTTGCATGGAATCCAAAGATTTTAATTCAGTTTTATTTCTGGCTTCAAGGCCAAATCGAGCAATTCTTTTTTCCGAATATTAATTCAAGTAATATTTTATTTTATTTTATTTTATGACTTGAACTCAGGTGAGAAAAGGCCCGCGGAAGAAATCTCGGCCCTCCTCCCAGCACCGATGACGTCGGTGTCATCCCCCAGGTTTTCTCAGTCTCCTCAGCTTCCCTTCCTCTCGGCTTCAACTTCCAACAGCCGCCCACAACAAATACCCGAAATGAGGCGTTTTGCTGGTATGGAGGTAGAGTTACCGCACTTGAATGCCGCAATCGTGTCGCGTGGTACTGTGTTGTTTCGTCAGGCCATGACCCATGTGGACACCAAAGTATCGGGTTCCAACGGTCGTTCCCCCTCGCACTCTTCACAGACTCCAAAGCCCTTCATCCCGTGTTTCATTTCCCCTCACGACCCTCATTAAGCCGTTCGGGCAGTAGTCCCGAGAGTCTCTCCTTCCCAAGACTAGTTCTTGCAAGCCGAGAGTAAAGGAGGGTTTCCCCGCTGCTTGGAATCTTCGGGGAATGTCGCTAGGAAGAGTGGCTGAAGCCACCCTCCACGAGATCAAGTATTTGGCTCCTGGAGAAGGGATGTGGTCTCGGGGACTCCTCCATGCTCAAGAAGGAAGCTTTTTCCGAGAATGAAGGGGACCCACGTTCGATCGAAAATATCACTCCTGGGAATGGCCGATGCCACCTTCCACGAGATAAAGCATGTGCCCCTATGAGACGGGAAGTGGTTCCCGGAACCTCTTCTATGCCCAGAGGACAAATGCCTCCGAGCCAAGATCAAAGAGAGCCCATGTTTCTTCAAAGAAGGTTATAGCGGAAATGGCTGAAGCCGCATTGCACCGGAAACCCGCAAAACGGAAGCCTCTCAGGTTTATGCTTGTCCGTACTAGGTAGGAGTGAATCTGGTGTGCTAGATATTTGCTGCACATCGCTTCAATGTTTCAAAGGTTCTGGTACATTGAGGTTGTCCTCGTAGTCTAGGCGTATTCGGAGTTCTCTGCTTTCCACGAAAGAGATCAAAGCTCCATTTCCCTCGTTGTTTTCACTTGATGTTTCTTTCTCAAATTATGCGATTATTTCAATGTACACGAGTCAGGTGACAGAATACGTATCACCTCAAGGCTGTGAGTTTAGTCTCGCACCTCAAATCCCATCCGAGGATATGTTCAACGTCCCTGTGGCTGTGTTGAGTAATCAGGGTGCCCTACACTAGATCCTCCGTCAAGAACACCGCTCCTCTCCCGGCTCGGATGCAATTGAGGATTCGAAAATGGATCGGTCTGTCGAGAACAATGTCAACAAAACAGACAATGCAGTCTTTGTGAAGTTTCTGCAAAGCGGATGCTGTCTTCCAATTATGTATGCACTTGCACTCCAAACAGGCAGAACTTGTAAGAGGGAAGGTAGGAAATAAGATAATACTTTTAGGGGGATTGCGGGGCAGGGGTTGTGTAGAATAGGGGAGGAAGCCGATGGCAGGAGCAAACATTGATTTAAGATGGTGGGAGAAAAGGGATGGATGTATGTGCTGTACTCGGGAAGCTTTTAGCTGCTACACTCACTTGAATGACGATCATCTGAATCCAACCTCGACTCAGTTTCTCACTACTGCGAACGTCCTGAGCATCCGTAAGAGCCACCTTTGCCCCCTCTCTCGCTCAAAATAACAATAAAAGAACAAAAGCCTAGCTCCCAGGATATCTACAGCCTCTCCACCTCTCTCAAGAAACCTCCTACTGAACCTTCCCCCTGGTAGCCACCGGCCAGATCTCCTCAATCACCCCCTTCCGATGCGCATAATAAAAATCGTGCAGGTTAACCGTCGGATCGATATGACTCGGAATCATCTCGACCCTCGCGCCGAGCGGAAAATCCTCAAGTTCTACCCCCCAGGTGAGCCAGCCATGTTCATCGCCCATGGGCGTATAAACAACACCGGGCATATCCTTTGGTTCAGCGTTCCCGCTATCAGTTGTGAGACTCTTCAAACCTGCATCGATCGTCACTCTCCGTTCGGTTCCGGATTTGGATATGACGGTGGAGAGGATGGTCAGGGAATGGGAGAAGTAAGTGCCGACCGCGTTCCGATAGTCTGAATCCATGAAGATGAATGAGCCGGGCTGTACTTCTGTGATTCCTGGAACGGTGGCGCAGAATTCTGCCGTGCCTGTTCCGCCCGTCGTCACGACTTGGATATCGAAGCCTTCCTCCCGGAGCAATGTCGCTGTTGCGCTGAGGATCACCATCGATGCTCGGCACTCCTTTTCCCTTTGTTCGCGGCTGTGGACATGCTGCAGATGTCCTTCATAGCCTTGCACGCCAATCAGCTTCAAATGACCCAATTTTGCAATATGCTGCGCGAGAGGCAGAGCGGCTTCTGGAGCAACACCCGTACGGTGCAAGCCAACGTCAAGATCAATCAGAACCTGAATCGGGGTCTCGATACCCGAGGCTTTCAACGCAGCATCAATAGCACTAGCTCCTTCTTTACTATCAACGACGGTCTGGATCTTAGGATATTTGCGGAACAGCTCCACGAGCCTCGGAACCTTGGCAGGGCCCACGATCTCACAGGTGATGAGGATATCGTCGACGCCTTCAGCACACATGACTTCCGCCTCGCTGAGTTTGGCGACACATCCTCCTTTGGCGCCGGCCGCGATCAGCTTCTTGGCGAGAATGGGGCTTTTGGTCGTTTTGAGGTGGGGACGGATGGAGACGCCTGTTGGTTGCAGGAGGAGGAAGAGCTTGCGGATGTTTTCTTCCATTATGTCGAGGTCAACTATCATTGACGGCGTGTCGAGGCTTGACAGCCGATCGCCTGGCTTGGGGTCGTACATCGGAGAAGTGGGGCGAGGAGTACGTTGGGTTGGAAGACCGAGAGCTCGTGTTTTTTCCCAGGGATGAGATGATCGATGGCTTCTGTTGCATATATAAGTAACGGTCGAAAGGGGAGAAGAGGGAGAGGTAATACGAAGTGATGTCGAGTTAATGAAAATGTGAAGGGAAAGGTGGGATGGCGGGGCGGTGGCGTTGCTCCCCGGCGCTTGTGGCTGGTCAGAGCCCGGGTGTGGCTGACACCACCTCTGTATCGTGTTTGGTTGGGACCCAATTAGATCATGGAGTGAGACGAAGGTAGAGGTGTGAGGTTGAGACTTGTGCTTCTCTATCTTGTAATGTACTGAGATAGGTTTGAAAAGATATGCAAACTATTCTTTTTATTGTGCCGAGCACATTCCCAACTCCGATCAGAGCAAAGACTACCCTGACTCCTGTTGAGCCTTCGTGTGAATAGTAAGACTCGTCGTCTCTTTGCACACCTGGCCTTCTTCCATATATAAAATGACAATAAACAAAGAGATGCGTTTTGTTATTCAAAAACTCATTCCGAACTCCAGCCATAAAGACTTGAGTCTTCGCGTCACTCCATTTCAAAATCCTAGAACAATATCCAAGACTGATGGGTTCAATGGAGTCCAGCATCTGCGCTTGCAACCATCTTCCTTGCTCTTTCAATCTAGGATTCTTTGGCCAGGCTCCAATTGGGACCTTGCCCATTCATCAGCAAATGTAAAACTCTCAGCCCGCAGAACAAACGTACCTTGATAATATCATCTCTCACATCCTCAAAACCCACCTCAATCATCTTTTCCTTGAACTCATTGGCGACATTGAGCCGTTTACCAAACATCAAACTCGCCTGGTCCAAATAGCTTTGCCACTCCGCTATCTTCGAATCCGCTGGCAACTCACCCTCTTCGGATCTAAACCAGACATCAAATTCCTGCATCTCGAGCCAACCGCCAGGTTTCAAAGCCTGGAGGGCTTCAGTGAAAAGAGCAGACCAGTTGGCAACACTGCCAGACATGCTGCGGCCATGAACAAAGTCATAGTTTGAGTGGTCCTCCTCGGGCCAGCTGGATTCGCAATCGTCAACAACGAACTTTAGGTTCGGCGGAACCCATATTGGTTGGATGGGACTGAGATCGGTGCCTTGTACTTGTGTTGCTGGGTTCTCATCTGCCAGTTCGATTGCCCAAATTCCTGTCCCAGTTCCGAAGTCGAGAACCCGTTGTAACGGTTCTTTGATGGGCGCTTTGAAGAGGTTTCCTCCCAGGACAAGTTTGAAGATATGGTGAAGCTATATGAGATGAGCTTATACATTTCAAGGAGGAGGAGGCAAAAGTACCATGTCTAGTCGATTTTGCTCGGATTCATCGTTTGGCTGGACGATGTGTCAGTTGTAGGACTCGAGGAATCGTCGTTGGGTGCTCACAAATAAATATTCTCCCTCTCTGTATGCATGATATCGTCTTCCATTCTGTGGGTTTGCTCAGATAGATTCTGTAAGCGTAGAAATTATTGGGAGCATGGCATACCTCATACCTAATTGTTCTTTAGCAGAAGTTTCCCAGTTTGTTGAAGAAGCCACTCACGTGTAATTATAAATGCTAGACGCCAAAGAAGCGTTCAATGACGACATGTCACTCCCAAGCGCGCTGTCTGCATCGTTACTGGTCTACTCCTAGAATTAGGATTTTTTCCTGGAATTTGTGATATGCTGAACGCACATCTGCCTCAATGGTGTTCTCCTGGCCTTGCTCAAGGGTCGTCTCCGGTGTGCTGGGTTCTTCTGGTGCTGTGGGCGCACTTTGCGGTGACCCGACAGACTGGGTATTGGTGCCCTCCTCGGCCGCCATCCTTATCAATGGTGCCGGAGGGAGGATCAGAGGTGCGCTACCAACGAGTTAATGCGAGTTTGACGTGAGTTGTTGATCAAGAAGATGCTGATGAATGGCGGAGTTGACGTTCGTCCTGCCAAATCCGGGGCGCGCCACACTAGAAGCGGTTCCTGGCCAAGCACTCCCCTCATCCCCAGCAGCTCTTCGCGCTAATGAAAGGGGCCGCAGAAGGCACCACACCACTAAGACGGCTCATCGCCGACAGAATGTTGCGACCTTCGGCCCTCAGAGTTGTACAAAGCGGCGTATCTGAGACCTTTGGGACTGGAGGCACGTGCTACACATCTTGCAATGGGTTTCCTCGAGACCGTCCCGTATCCATATCTCTCAGCGACAGGCTCGGCCTTGGTAGTGTATCTTATCGCCGGCGCCATATATCGGTTATACTTCAGTCCCGTTGCTAAGTTCCCCGGCCCCAAACTCGCAGCTCTGACACTATGGTATGGAATCTTCATTGCAAGGTTTCAGAATTCACAGTTGATTTGCTGCAGGTACGAATTTTATTACGATGTGGTGTGCCGCGGGCAATACACCTTCCAGATCAAACGGATGCACGAGAAATATGGTCCTATTGTCCGAATCAACCCCTACGAGCTTCATATCGAGACACCAGGATATTATGATGAGATATATGCGGGCGGAGGAAAGAGACGTGATAAGTGGAACTGGTTCACCAACCAATTCGGCATCCCAGAGAGCACGTTCGCGACTGCTTCCCATGAGAAACATCGGATGAGAAGAACGGCTCTGAATCCGTTCTTCTCGATGGCAAGTGTCCGGAGACTACAACCCATGATAGAAGAGACGTTGGAGAAGTTCTTGGGACGCTTTGCAGATTTCCAGAAGTCTGGTGAACCAATGGTTGTCTCTCTCGGCTATGCCGCCTTTACAAATGGTACATGCGATCCTCGGTCTTGACATACATCACTAACTCTTCTCTGCCAGACATTGTAATGGAATATGCCTTTGCACGATGTGATCGCCGGATCGAAGCCCCAGATTTTGACCCTTCGTTCCACGATGCGTCGATTGTTGGGAGCACAATGGGACACATGACAAAGCAGCTCACCTGGGTGCTTCCACTCATGCAAACTCTGCCAGACTGGGTAACTATCAAGTTGAATTCTGACATGGCATCATATGTCAAACTCCAAAAGGTACGCTATTCCCGTGCTTGCTGAGTCGTCCACGCTGAATTTACGATTCTAGGATATCTTCAAGCAAATCGACAGCCTTCAAACAACAACATATGACGGCCATCTAAAAGTCTCACATGACACAATCTTCCACGAAATTTTGAATAGCAAACTTCCCCCGGAAGAGAAGACTTCTACGCGCCTATGGCAAGACGGCCAGGTCACAGTTATTGCCGGCACTCTGACAACAGCATGGGCACTTTCCGTCATGACATACCACCTCCTGACCGTTCCTGAAGTACTCAAGAAGTTGAAAGCGGAGTTGGTATCGGCAATCCCAGATCCCTCAAAATCTCTCCCGCTTTCAGTACTTGAACAACTCCCCTATCTAACTGCATGTATCCAAGAAGGACTCCGTCTTTCCTGCGGTGTCAGCTCACGTCTCCAACGTATCGCTCCTGATGAAGACCTCATCTTTAACGACGGCAAGAAAACATGGATGATTCCCCGTGGAACGCCAGTCGGTATGACTAGCACGCTAGTACACTACGATGCCAGCATCTTTCCTTCACCAACATCCTTCCTTCCGGAACGATGGATTGAAAATCCACGTCTAGACAAATACCTTATTGCATTTTCTCGAGGATCTCGGCAGTGTATTGGCATCAATCTCGCTTATGCTGAGCTTTATCTTGCATTGTCTACGATATTTAGGCGGTATGGGAGTAAAGATGTTCGTGGTGAGGATGATCTGGGCGCTTTTGAGCTGTTTGAGACAACGGATAAGGATTGGGTTATTGTTGGGGACGGGATTACGCCTTTGACCGTTCCTGAATCTAAGGGTATTCGGATCCATGTTGTGAAGTGAAATTGTTCCGAGTTGGATCCAACCTTGGAAAGATCACCTTGATATATAATGTCGATATTCAAACTGATTCTCCTGAGCTCTCATCTTTTGCAGTCCTCACTACGCCGTATCGTTGGCTCTTTTCTCGCAGCTTATGTGGGCTCCTCGAGCGCACATTTCTCCTTATTGCGTCTTGAACCTCTCGGAAAGCTTGTAGATGGTAGTTTGGCAGAACTGCGGTATTAGATCGCACGTACATTTTAATCTATTTGGTAGCGGCAGAGATTTCGGTGGCCGACTTTGTATGGCCGACTTCTGGCATCCTTTCCTTAGAACTTCCGACTTCCCCATAGGGCTGCACATGGCCTTGCTTAATTTCCGATATGCAATGAAAGAGGGGAGTGTTTGTTTTCTTTGCGCATCTCAATCTAAGCGTGCTCCTCTCCCTCGGACTAGCTCAAACCATTTCCTTTTCGTTGCAACTCGTACTCTTAAGCGAAGGCTCTCGAAGCTTCCCCCCTTTCCCCAAATGAAGGAATTGTCAATGGGCAGCTAGCGCTCCCTGGGAGGGAATAGAGAGACCTCTGTTAGCTCCAACCTGCAACGAAAAGGGGGCTGGTTTCTATTCGTTGCATGACGGACTCTAAGCAAGGGAAGCTAACTTGATCTGAGACGAACTCCCTTTTCGTTGCAAGTCGTAGCCGTAAGCGATGCTTGTCCATTTTCTATGATTGCGGTGGTAGCGTAGCCACCAGGTCGCTGTTCTTTGAGGGGATTGTCTTTGGAACATAGCATTGTTATCGCCGTATGAAAATAGCATTGCAACCCCTTTGATGAATACAAAGACAAAAGAAGGCATTGTTCTTCCACAATTGTATTGTATTGCACATTTAAGTCCAAGAGGACTCGAAGTACGCTCTACAAAACCTTCCCTCAACTTTTGATCCAACACCACTTCCCTCATCTACTCTTCACCGAGACAAAGTCAGCTATTTGCACAGTCATGGCTCCCCGATGTTTAGTCAAGCACCACTACCAATGCTGTGGGATTCAAATAAGCTATTTCGCGCAATGCGGCCACACAACAAAAGAAGGAGACCACCATCCCGCCTGCGCATACCACAAACCCAACAACAAGTACCTCTCCTCTCTGGAAGCATTACTCCAACCCCGCCAACTGACCCCCTCGACCTCTCCTGCTCCTCATCAACCCTTTCCCCAACCTTACCCCAAATGTCGTGACTTGCACCGCTACATCCACCTCCTCACCTCCAAATGCCCCGCCTGCGCCAACTCGCCTCAAACCGGCTCCTGGGATCCCAATATCTCGCAATTCGCAGCAACTTGGTCCCCGCTCTCTGAAGCAGAGATCTTCGAGCGAGGCGTCTACTGGTTGAACGAGATGCTGCTTGCGCGAGAAGAGACGTACCAAGGTGCGCTTGTGGACTGGGAGGCGGGGATGAGGGAGAGGCGGGAGATCGATACGGCGTTTGACATACCACTTTTGGAAAGAACGTATGGCTACGATCCCGCTGGTGTGAAAGGAGACTTTTTGAAAAAGGTTGAACGCGGAGGTTGGGAGACGAGGGAGAGGGAAAGGAAGTGTGGTGCCTGTCATGGAGAGATGGGCAATGTGATGGTGAGGAGACTTCCGTGTGGGTGTGTGCTTCATTTGAAGTGCATTCGGCGCTGCTTTGCTGGTGGGAAGGATTGCCCTGGTTGTGGAGTCGGGTTTAAGTTGGTGAAGATCCCGAGACGGGAGGATCCGAGTCAGAAGGGGGAGGGAGAAGGTTACTATCCAATCTGGGAGGATGATGAGTATGTTAATTTTATTTGAATATATGTCCTTACGTTACCATAGCTTAATTCTCAGTGTGAAATCGAGTGATAGGGTATGGCCAAGTGGTGGTAGCAATTACAAGTGGGTGGCCAAGATTGCTGGAAGCTGGGTGGCCATTTGATGTGTTCGATGCTGCAGGGTTGGGAGTTGAAGTTGAGGAGATCAAAGAGGTCGAAAAAGTCGTTGTTAGTATTGAGCTGGAGCCGCAACCCAGAGAGCTGCATGTTCCTGCCACTGGGTCGCACCCCTTCCCACAAAAATCTGATGTTGAGCCACAATAGCCGTATTGGCTACAGAAGTTTCAAATGCTGAGCCGATACAAGTAACGATGGCTCCGCATATACCATCCTTTGACGAGGCTCTGCCGGCAACAGGAGTCGAAATGGATCTCGGAGTCTGGATTGGAATTTGGAAAGTGCGAGTGGTTGTCGTCCATATTGTCGATTCTCGTGGTAATAACACGTTCTGTGACATATGGGGAGTTGAGTTCGGCTTGAGAGTTGTGGTTTTGAAGGGTGCCATTGAGCTTCTTTTGGATGTTCTGCGGATGAAGTTGCGAAAGACAAGTAAACATGAGTTTATCATTACATGAACGCGCAAGCTCTTCCTTTTCAATCGACAGCTGCTAAGTTCGATGGGGAGCGCTCGGTGAATAATCGGGTGTTGCTTGCTCCTACTGCAACACTTGTTGGGTAGACTTGCAGTGTGGAGAAGTCTAGAAGGATTTGATTTCAAGAGCTTTGGGGCCAACCAAAAAACCCAGCCAACCACAAAGATCGTCAACAGGTTCTGCAAGGCTGATATTCTTCCTTATGGGGAGTCCAATGCTTAGAACCCCTTAAGTGCCCAAGCCTGCTCATTGAGGGGGTCAGCTTATGTGTGCTTTGGATGGACATAGGCTATAACATTTGCTCTTAGCTTCGGGGACATTACTCGCTGTCGCTTCCAGCGCTCAGGGGTACCTCGCTTAATCTCAATCACTCCACACATCCGGAAATAGCACTTAATGGTTTCCGAAGGGAGTAAGATAAGCTGAACCTAAAATAAACCGTTTGTTATTCGTGTTTATTGGGGGGTTAAATGTCTCTTCCACCATTCTTAGCTACCTAGGTACAATGTGCCCCGACCCTCGCTTAGCAGCCCCTTTAAAATTGCACTAGCAATGTGAGTTCAAGGGGAGAGCCCTACTCGATTGATGTCATGGGATATGTAAAGCTCACTTGACGATAGAATTAATGAGGTTTAAGAGTAAATTATATTTCTCCTAAGCATACTGCACCCTTGCCATCCCATCTTCCTTGAATCTTTTGGTCAGATTCGCTCTTGTGCGTCAGCTCGTTGGCGTCGGGAGACCTCAAATTGGCCGCAATAAATGAACTTAGATTCCTCTGCACATCAACTAGTTCCATGAAGCTAATAGCTAGGAGTTTGTTTTCTACCAAGCTGGGCATGTCGGTGCTGGCTAGTTGGGAACGCCTACGTCACGCACGCGTCAGCTCCAAGAATGGCACGTGTAGAGATGATAATCGATTTTCGAGATCGCTCTCCTCTGTGGGTACTAGCCTGATGACGTCTTGTGCGCATTTTGCACCTGGCCTCTCCAAATACTCCTCCAAAACCTGGAAATGAGGATTGAGTCTGTCCTCCTGGTCCTCCATCTATCTATCGAGTCTTTCGATGCGCTTAAGTATATCAAGCTCGTCGTTGTCTCTTGCTTGCCCATTGCGAAAGAAGTCGTCTTTGCGATGAAACTGTGTCTCAATTCTCCACCCGAAACCCGAAAAATCATGTCAATTTGGCTCCGGAATTCTCCATCATGAGATCCAAGATGATCGAAGAAGAGCCCAAATGGGTGTCTCATAACAGCATCCCGAAGTCGTTGACACTTATTTTGCTCAGTTGTCTTCGTAGATACCAGAAGTCGTCCTCCGTGAGTTGAGCATAGAGGAACTTCAGTCTCTGCACTTGCTGGATGGCAAGATGCTCTGCTACCACTGTGCAAAGGTCTTGCTCCTCCTTTTCCATAATGCGGAGCTTTGCTCGTCGTACTTGGCTTTTACATGTAAGAAACCAGCATCAGCCTATGCCGGCGCTGAAGCTGATAAGGAACAGTGACCTTGAGACTGAAGCTTCAGCAGAAACCCAACACAACCTTGCATTCTTTTGGGAGACTTTCCTCGTGCAAGGAACGTTTTCACAAACGCTATTTCTTGTCTCTCGATGGACGTGACCGCAGACAACATAATACGAATCAAGGTACTGAACCGCACATCGCGAGCGCGGAAGAGAAGAGAGCGGAGTTGCTTCGGCATTGGGAAGGGAAGATTAGAGAGCAGAATTGCAAGAAAGGCCAGGAGAAGCTCCGAAGTTTCCAAATCTCGTACAACTCAGCTAAAGTTTGCGAGCAAGAAGGAGAAGGATGAGACGATCGACCCAAGGGCCTTGAAGTGAGCACTGACTAGCATCAAAACCCCATCCATCTCCAGTAGTCAGGGAAGCCATGAATTACAATACAAAATTCTCTATGAAAAGCGATTACTCGTAAATACTCATGCTGACGTGAAAGTATCGAAAGAGAAAATGCATCTGCAGTTCGTGGAATATTTCCTTTGATCGAGAGACCCAATCACGAGGGCCTGGGTCTTTTGGATGAAGTTCTCACAACTTTTAAACCGTTGACAAAGAGAATGGCATTTGAAACAAGTAACAACCCATCCTTTCATGTGTCTGGAGCACCAACAAAGAGCCCCGAACAACGCCTTTGCAACCAATACAATTCTAGCACTCCACAATGCCATTGTGCATAAGCATCACCCCATTTCGAGATAAAACATCCAAACATTGACCGCACGCTTACAACACTTCACTATCAACGATGGCTCTTCCTTGGACCTTCGGCGTGGAGTTAGAGTTCACAATTGTCTTCGTGTACCCTCACAATGTAGCTCTGCCAGATCCAACCGAGTCTCGAAAACTACGATTCAAGCCGTACCAGAACGAAATCGATAGATTCATTTCCGAAGAAGGTTTGCCACCCATTCATTCGACAACGGAACTTGCTGATCGCAACATATACAACGGAGAATTCATAAGACATATGGTGACGCCCGCAGTGCAACGCGACATAGCGCAGACTTTGCATGCGGCAGGATTCCCGGGGCATATGGACAATCCAGCCAAGCTTGATGTGACCAACTGGCAGATCGATACCGACGAAAGCGTTAGGGGCCCGCATAACACGGAATACATATGGTCTTCGGTTGAGGTCAAATCACCAGCCTTGGCATTCAACCCAAAGAATTTAAAGGTCGTTGAGGATGTCGGTAAGATTATCACGAAGACATATCTCACTGACGTTGGCGAGTCGGCAGGTCTTCATGTCCACGTATCAGTAGGCGTAAATACCACGTTTCGACTTCAGACCCTGCAGAACTTGTTTGCATTCTTGTTTGCTTTTGAGCCGCAAATTGATACTATATTAGATACCAGATACCCAAATACTTAATTTACTAAATACTAGATATTTAGATATTAAATACTAGATATTTAGATATTAAATACTAGATATTTAGATATTAAATACTAGATATTCATTTAGTTAAACCCTTAATTTAATTAAAGTCTTAGAATCTCTAAGCTTTAATTTTTAAATACTATAGCTTATAATAAACTTTAAGATATTTAGATCTAGAAAAAATTAATAAATTAAGAATAATCTAATATATGAAATTCTAAGATTATAAATATAGGCAAGATACTATAAGCTTAAAAAAAAAGCTATAAACCATTTGTAATTCTAATAATAAAGCTAAGGTAATATTAAGCTTATAAAGGATATAGAATATAAATTTAAGAGAATTTATACTAATATAGAACTATTTAAAAATAAAAAGTAAATAGCAATTTAAATCCCCGGAAATTGGGTAATACTAGTAAAGCCTAATACTATAATAAGGCTCTAGTATATCAAGAAGGCGTAAATATTAAGTAAATTACTAATTACGGAGTAAATTAAATTAGTTACTAGAATACTAAATTATACGTTACTAGAGTAGAGACGAAAACGCTTTTATAAACAACTCATACACCATTCCTATAATTAGAATCCGAGCTTTGCTTCTTAGCTTTATCTATAGTTATAATAACCTTAATTATATAACGTGAACACGTTTTGCTAAATATATTATAAAAAAGCCGTAAATGTCTTAACTAATGAGTTAGTAGTAAATCTAAAGATACGCTAGTATAACCTAATAAATAAGCTAAAATCCTATTAGTAATAAAACTCTAATGAGACATTTTATATTTCGTAAGAAATATTAATAATTCTTAACTCAAATAATTAAAAACTGTGAATATACATGGTTATTTTTTAACACTTCTCTTTGCTATCTATCTAGAATAGGTATTATCTATCAGTATATTAAATTCACTAAACGCTGCCCCTAGACTTCTAAAACTAATCTCTTTTACAGCTAGAAAAATTATATCTTTCGCCCTAATACTCTTTAGTAGATTTCTCG